GTCTATGTTTCTCTTGGAGCAGTTTAACAACGTCACAGATGGATGCGCATCCAATACGTCTGTATGTATCGTGAACTCGTGCTGTACACCACAAGCAGTACGTTTGCCGTTGTCATGGACCAGCTTATGCTCCTCAAATAATGACGCAAGTGAGTTGACTTGGACGCAATGTGCAATAAATCACAAAGACTATTTCGATCACTCTGGGTACCATTGTTGTAAGCACAGCGCTGAGTCCAACCACTACGACTTCCTGTGAGAACGTACGAATGCCGTCGTCGGTTTAACAGGCGTAAAAAATATTTAAAAGGTGCTTTTTGTTGACATGCATGCAAAGCTTTGAAAAAGCTGGCTATCGGTTACTCATTAAACTAATAAATTTTCATTTCATATATGATAATGAAATCTGTCGCTAGTAACTTACTATTTTATTATATATCGAGATTCAGGAATTCTCGATTTGTGTGAGCATGTAAATTGTTACTTTATGTATGTTAAAGGGCTTTATCCTTACCCGTCACGGCAACGCTTTATTTTTTATTTTTTATTTTTTTGAACATAGAATATTTAACGAAAAAAACTGAAGAACATGATCTAAAAGAACTAATTGGAAAATAAAAATTCTATAGTATACAATAGATATGTTGTTTGATTGAGTTTTTAAGAACACAATAATGGAAAACGGCCAAAAAGAACAAGGTTTTCTTTAGTATTGCATTGAGGTTTCTATAGAATGTGCCAACAATGTGTTCGAGATTTTCTTTTTCGACAACACATTGCAATAATGGCGCTGTCTATTATTTTACTCAGAAGTGCATTAGAATTACTGAAACATTAGTATTGGTAACATGATAACATGGCTGTCATCTTGCATTGATGCAGAGTCGCTTTACCTGAGTGTTGACTTTTCTACGTCTGATGAAAGCTGGCAAAAACCAACTGCTGGTAGTCAACAAAGTGAGTCATTTATCAATTGCTTATCGAGCTTTTTGGATGCACGTGGCAGCAGCAGTTAAAAGATATGTTGTGAAAATACTGTGTTCTTTTCATGAAAAGAATCAAAAGGCAGTGTGCGCAGATACTAACCTATGCATTATTAATGTACATGTGAGTTTGGATGTAGTGTGCGTGTGAATGTAGTTGTTGCTGAAGCTGGAAAAGTGTGTGGGTTTTGTTGTACGTCCTTTTCTTAGGGAGCTGCTCATCCACAGTCTCAAGATAGAAATGTACTGGATGATAGGAAGCTCCGAGCATTGTGAAAATGCAGCATCATTTTTCTGAACGCTCATATTTATAAAGAAAACATCACAAAAAATAAATCGCTGCAACTAATTTTTTCCAAGCGATATACCAACCAGTCCATATAACATAACAACGAATACGGTGTGAATATGGGTGCAGCTCTTTTTCTACTCACCTACGCCCGCCCACACATCCATGAATCCGTGTCTGTGCACACTCCTTTGACTTTTTGTCATGGAAAGGATACTGTATTTGCACAATATATCATTTAGTTGTTGCTTTCATTTGCACACAAGAGGTTCGATGCAAAGTCGATGAATGACTCACTTTGTTGACTGTTAGCAGTTGTTTTTTTCCAACTTTCATAGGATTCAAAATAGTCAATATTCAGATAAAACCGCTCTACATCCATGCAAGATGACAGTCATGTTATCATATTACCGATATTAATGTGTGAATAGTTCTGACACACTTATGAGTGAAATAATAAACAACAGCATAGGTGTAGGGTGTTGTCGATAAAGAAAATGCTGAACATACAGTAGGCAAATTCTATAGAAATCTCCATGTGATACTGAAGCACACGTTGTTTTACAAGCCTGTTTGAATTACTGTGTTCTCAAGAGTGGAACTCTTCGAATTTATGTTGTTATTCCTTATGATAAACGTGACTTGTCTCTTAAAGATTTTAAGTAACCCTAAGATTTCGACGAGTTGCACCTACTAGAGGTTGAGCTCTATGCTATATATGTTAATTTCACGAATATCTTTCAATATAAAACACATGGTTCGTGAGTTACGTAGCGAACTATTTTTGTTATGATTCGCAAGAAGGAAGAAAACTAACAACAGGGATTGTAACAAAATAACCATTGTCATACGATATCTTAGCAGGATTGTAAGTTAAAACATGAGAAAATGGACCATGGTGGAACAAGCGGACTTCTGTACTTCTTGTACTTCTTCGTACTTCTTGGTACTTCTCGGTACTTCTTGACAAATATCAAAAATTCTGTTCCCAAAAAACAGAACATTTTTGTTCTGTTTTGGGAAAAAATCGAGGAAGAAAGCGCGTACTTCTCTGTACTTTTCCGTACTTTTGTACTTCGGAAGTACAGAAATCCGCTTGTTCTCCCTTGAGATGGACACAAAAATTGGCAAATGAATAGAACTACTGTCTCATAGAAATTAACAATATAGATAGAATTTCAACAACAAAAATGAAGAGTCTCTACTACTTATTGCTGTCTTCATTTTTTGCGTCGTTTGTTCATTTCGTTTCTTTTCTTCTCTCATTTCGATAATAAACTCACATAGACATTTTCAGCATACATCTCGACGTCGTTTTGCATTCTTATACTCAAATTCTTGAAAAGTTATTTACGAGATATTTTGTCGCAGGATTAAGCTTTCTCTTTTCGTAGACTTGTGAATCATCGTTTAGTGCTCAAACGATCAAATAGTATTTATTTGCGTGACAGGGTGTGGGGTGTGAGTATCAATTTTCTCTTCTAAACATACAACACATACATGACCAAAATATCCAATCGTCTACAAGTTCATCCAGAATGATGGACCATCAAGTAAGTGCTCACTGTTTTTGATCTTTAAAAGAACTTCATGAGCTGAGATGAGTCCACGATTAACGACGATAAACAAACAGATCATTATTGACAAAAGAACACATCGAAAGCCTTGCGAAGGCCTTCGCGTAGTTTCACAAGTTCGCAAAAGTCAATGGATTATCTTATGATTTTATTGTGAAAATGGTATTAGTAAGACATTTAACAAGAATTTACGAGTCATTTTAGCTAACGGCTTCGTTGATATACGGATAACTTCTACTTGAGTCCTTAGCTGTAACGTATGATGTGAAAAAAATCAGTCACACAAAACTCATTTCTCAATTAAGTTAATGCTTTTGCAGATAAAATGTCTCATTTGAGGGAAGACAGATTTTTCAGTGTGATTCCCGGTGTAACTGACGAACAGTTCAAGACAAGTCAGTTTCTAAAGCACTATGACAAAACGAATAAATATCCAGACACAAGTTCTGTGATCGATTCACTAATCAAACTACCAGGTGTCAATAATTGTAATCATCCCATGTGTAACTCGATTCAAAATGGATCAAGTGATTGCAACGCAGTAAGAACATACAGTTCTGATTTAAAGTTGGGTTTCAGAAAATTCTACAGATATATCAACGAGCACCTAATGAAAGACGATGTGTCGACACTATCGAAACTAATGCCATTTATTCGTAGAGCTACCAGTCAAATTAACAGCCATAGCTCATCTAAAGACTGTATCGTCTATCGTGGCATGGAGCTAAATGACGAACAACGTCGTTTTTTCATGAAACGAAAAATATTCCGATTTCCAGGCTTCACATCGACATCTAAGAAGGAAAATATAGCCAAAAGTTTCGGTAACACGTTATTCGAAATACGCATCAATACTCCATGTTATCAAGTCAGGGATATCACAAATATTTCTTACTATACGCTCGAAGAAGAATGGCTATTTTCACCTTACTCTCGTTTCCAAGTTTTGGAAAAGCAAGATGAATTAATCGTCTTACGATCAGTAGATAATTTAGCCAGCATTGACTCGATTAACTCAACTTACGTTGAACATAATAATTCAAGCAATCATGAAGCTGTAACTTACACTTACAATCAAAATCAAGCACCATTGCTTTTTGATTATAAAATCGCATCGAATATTGCCACGAACCATGCTGGGAAAAAATATAAATATACTACCTCAACTTCTAATGCAAACAAGAAATCAGCTCTCTGTGCCATACTTTGATCTGACAAGACAATCATTTTTGATAAACTATCCCGAAAACCTTTGTCTTCTTTAGAAATTTCGACTAGGGTGTGGGTGTGGGTGTGGATGTGGATGTGGATGTGGCTGCAGTGTCATTGTACTACTTATACCCACATCCACGTGCACACCCATAACGACACCCACACATACCCTACTTGTGTTTTTTTTCTGTCATTCTTTCGTTCTACGATATCAGTACATGCTTCGTTACAAACGACGACAGCAGGCAAAAAGAGTAAAAAATAACTGGTAAGTTCGACAGAATCAACGCTTCTTAAAAAGCTGCTGCTGTTACTTTGCTTCTTACAACGGATGAAAATCTGTTTTAAATTGAGTTATAGAACTTATATTGTCGAGAATAGAAAGTTATTCATATTAGAAATCATTTGTAACGCTACTTTTGCATGACAAGAGAAAAACACTCGACGTTTTGCTTATTTGACAACAACAATATTGCAAAACAACCAAGCAAGTTGTTTTTTCATCTGCGTCATACGCGTTTGTCTCGTTCTGATTTTTTTTTCTTTGTATACGAGTCATTTGGTGAGATGCAGTAAGATTCTCAATACATGATAAGAGTAAGAAAAATGTCACGATTGTTCTTCTCTAAGGAAAAAAATGGGTTAGTATACGATCTGATCAGCATTGAATGATTCGCTGACATTCGAGATGAATCAATTCTATCTAGAGAAACCTCATGTGATTGCTATAGCACGTACTCACTATCTATATATGCTGTTAAAGTACGAAAAGAACTACATGAACGAACTGAGAATTATACTAACAGTTGATGTACTCGTTCAGTGAAGACTCTTGCATGAGTCGTTGAGTGAGACGCTCATTTGTTTATACTATAGTTGTGAGAATTATTAAACACTTGTTTGTATTGTTGTCTTTTTCATGAGTTTTTCCTGTCACGAATGAGCAACAGTAGTACAATCGATCGTTACCTTGATGCTGGTGAAGAACCTATCCAAACATTATTACCTATCGAAGGTTATGAAAAAAGACCGCTGGTATCACTAGAAGAAGCTATACAACGCATAAAGCCATTGATAAATGATCTCGACAGAAAAGTTTGGTTGGCGAAGCGAAGTTCTTCTAATCCAACAGATGATCTTACTACGGATGAGTCTGCTGCTATTCATCTGTACACGATGCAGTGGGCTACTTCTCAAGAAAGTCTCTTTGTTCAACTAAACCGAACGCTTCGTTCTGAAGTACGTGACAATTTGAAGCCATGGTTCTCCTATCTTAAACTATTTCTCACAGCCTTGTACAAATTGCCATCAATGAAAGGCACGATTTGGCGTGGTATTCATGGTAATGTTAGCGATCAATATCGAAAGGATTTCATATGGTGGGGCTTCAGTTCGTGTACGGAGACCATGCCAATACTGGAACAGTTTATTGGTCGTTCAGGTGTACGCACAATCTTTATGGTAGAATGTCTTACTGGGAAAAGTATACAAAACCATTCGTTTTATAAGAAGGAGAATGAAATTTTACTTATGCCTGGCACCTATCTACGTGTTGTAGACAAATGGAGTCCGGCAGAAGGATTATACATGATTCGTTTGCAGGAAACAGATCCTCCACACAAACTGATTGCTTCTCCTCTTGACTTTTCTTCATCAATCATGACGACATCTCCTGCAGGTAAAATCTCCATTTCAAACACAATTCAACTAGGTGTTCGATTTTCATGAGTACAATCGATTGATGAAGTTATTTGTTTGGCACATCTTTTTGCTCTCTTGAGGTTACTCCATGATGATGAGACTTTTGAGAAAGAAAATGTATAAGAAAACATCTTCTTAATCTTTTCAAACTACATTCTATTTAAATCTTAATAACTATTTAATTCTTCCCTGGCTACTTCAAGCTTCCGTAGCTATTCAAACTGCCGTAGTTTTTTTAATGCTTTTTGCCAAGCATTTAAAACTTCATAGTTATTTAATTGTGAGTTCGCTGTTTATGTAAGGTCAGATGTTTACAAATATCTTCATAAATAACTGTTTAATATGAAGCACCTTTTAATAATTTGAAGCACTAGTAAATAAATATTAATTGTTATTAAAATTAAGGTCAGAGATTTAGTTAGCATTTATTATTATTTTTGAGCAATGGAACGGCGGGAGGAGAGGGTCGGGAGGGCAGGGAGAATGATGAAAAAATATCTTGATGAAAGTATCTGCCTGTTTATTACTCATTTACAAGGAGTATTATTTAAAGATATTCAGCACTGGTTAATAAAAATTTTCAGGTGCTCATTTACGTAGTATCTCTTTGTTTATGTCGAGTACTATGAGAAGGAAATAGATGGCGTAGGAGTAATCAACAAGTACTAATATAAATTGATGATTGAATATTATAAAGTCAGATTCATTAGAAATAACATAACGATATATTCGGTGTAGTGATAATGACATGATATAAAATTCAATCAATCAATATGCACTTTTTCAAAACAAAATAATAATTATTCTCCTAATGAAAAATCTAGCAAATTACAATGCTTACGTTTTTAAATACCAGCACTAAAGTTTCTTTTGAATTCTCTTCTGAAAACCATTTATTGCATGAAACTTGTTTTTATTATTTACGTAAACAAAAAAAGAAAATGCATAGAATCACGAGGACAAAAAAAAACAGCAGCTATGCATTTTATTTAAATATTAATTAGCAACCTTTGAATTGCAACCATGCGAAATCTTGTGTTGTGTGAGGGATGCAACGGATGTTTAAGCCACAATACACTGATTGCATAAATTCATTGACAGAATTTTCATCTACATATTAATCCGTTTCGCATGCAAGCTTTCTACGTTAGTCCGTTTTCTCTGATTAGCTCCGATATTTCCAAGAAAGTATGTAAGATCTATGCTTTTCCAGTACGTTACCCTAGTCAACTTCGAAAATAGTATCGATCATCAAGTCCTATGACTCTCACTAGTATCTTTCCAGATCTCATATGTCTAACATTGCCATTTTCTTTGTACCGATTTCGTCGGTCTTTTTCTTGCGAATATCCTTTCTAATTATTGTAACAATGTTTTCTTGCATTTTTCAGGTGCAAACGGATCATCTAAAATCCATCCTGCATGTCAATTTCGGTCAGGTTAGCTATAAAGCTCCTTTATTAATCGAATATTTCAATTTTGAAAAAAGTTTCATAAGCCTAGGTGAATGAAGTATGACTGGAAAAGTCAGAAAAATGGTAGGAATTTGGAAGCAAGAATCGGGTGATTGGATTCAATGGACGGCTCTACTGATTAAGACAGGTTCCAAATGAAACTAGAAAAATCCTATCATCAAATCTAATCACCGCATTCCTGCTTTCAAATCCTTACCATTTTACAAAGTTTTCAAGCTAAAAGTGGTATCTTTCCGATAAGAACCAATCGGAAATTCACAGATCTAAACGCCAAAATCATTGACTCCAAAAGATATTTGAGATTGTTAGGCTATGAAAAAGACGATGTGTCTTTAGACAAATCTTGGCTTGATATCCAGTATCACCAAAACAGTAAACAATCAGTCAAATCTCCTGAAGATCTCCAAAAAATGGTACAAGATCCTCCAGCTCCGATCAATGCTATGATATTAGATCGTGTTCAAGGATCAATGATTGGTATGGCTTTGGGTGATGCACTTGGTGCTCATGTCAAATTTCGATCGCGAGACTATCTCGTCAGAAATCCAGTAACAGATATTATAGGAGGAGGAACTCTTGATCTAAAGCAAGGACAGGTAATGTGTTTTTTTTTTTATCTGAATTTCTAATATCTCACTAGATTAGCTTTCGCTGATATCAATGTAAAAAAAAGAATTGTAATACGATCTAAAAACATAGATTATCTTATGAACACGTTTTCATGGAGTAGCAAGAAAATTTTGTGAAGTTACTGTTGTCATTTGTTAAACTAACTATCATAAGAGAGACACTATGATGTCATATGAACAAATTTTGTTGCAGTAAAAGTTCATTTACGAAGATAAAGATGCTTGTTTACTCTACAAAAATATTAGCAGAGCTCTGTACATTAGCTCAGCATTGGCTTCATGTTGTGTGAAATGCAATTGCTAATCAGTGTTAAAGTATATAGCCAGAACTTGGAATCTTCCTTCGCCAGAGATAGTAAATTATAGACACAATTGATTAAACTTCCAAATGTCATCACTATCGATGTTGTTAGGAATATTCTTAGCGAGTGGTACAAATCTATCGTGTTTCACATTTTAATCTAGCAAGAATTACGGTAAAAACTTTTTCGACTAGTTTCTAAAATAACAATTATTGATGGAATGGTTAGTAATGTGATAAAATATGAATAAAAACAAAATAGTATGAACTCTGTTCATTTAGTTTTTTCTTCCAAGGAATGTATTGAACAAATATCAGTCATTTGAGATTCGAGCTATACACTAAAGAAGCATCTTTTAGTTTACCGACGACACTTCAATGGCTCTCTGTCTTGCAAATTCATTATTGGCTCGTCGAGATTTCGTGCCATATGATCAATTGGTTCGTTACAAGTGGTGGTATAAGCATGGTTACATGTCTTCCAACGGGAAGTGCTTCGATATTGGTACGGCTACAAAGGAATCCATTCATGAATTCGAACGTCGTCAAAAACATATTGCTAAGAAACATAACATTCCTCATGAACAATTAGATTTTCTATCAGATCTTGATTTGATGAAGAACTTCGACGTATTTTGCAGCCATGACGGTGCAGCAGGGAACGGAGCATTGATGCGATTGGCTCCTGTGCCCCTATTTTTCCATAAGTATCCTACGGTTGCAGTGAAATATTCCGGTATTAGTGGTCGCATCACCCATGGCGATCAGAAGGTATACGATGCATGTCGTTATTATGGTGCTCTGATTGTGGCCGCTTTACACGGAGAAACTAAAGAAGAATTGCTGTCGAATGACTTCTATGACAAGCACCGACTATGGTTCGGCAATGAAATACTTCATCCTGACATCCAGCGCATTGCTAGTGGATCATACAAGAAAGAACGTGGATACGATAATGGTATCCGAGGGAACGGATATATTTTAAACGCTCTTGAGGCAGCCTTGTGGGCGTTTTGGATCGACAATGGTTCCTTCGAAAGTGGCGCTCTTAATGCTGTCCACCTCGGCGATGATACAGATACCACAACTGCTATATACGGTCAATTAGCCGGTGCTTATTATGGTTATCATCACTTGCCCAGAAAATGGGTAGCACGTCTCTATGCCGAGGAATTTATCAGCGCCGTGAGTAAGTGGATTGTTTATGAAGGAGAGTTGTGGCAAACAAAATATCTCGAATGATACACATGCTATTTCGGTCAAAAAAGGTAACAGTCAATTCTGTTTTCTTGTACTTTGCCATTCCTGCTCAACTTTGTGTCAATATAGCTAAATAACAATCATCCAGTTAACTCTGTTACTTCTTTCTTTTTCAATGTCTCCCGATTCTCTAAATAAATAAATCAAAGAGATAATAATTATGCGCGTGCGCCCGTGTGTGTGTGTAAGTAAAAACAAGATCCATTAGAATGTTCACATTTATCCATTAATTCAATATGTATTCGTGTCACCGATATCACTCTAACCCTATGATTAACTTAATTTTTTAATTTTTTTTCTACCACTATATCCGTATATGAACATTTTGTATATGTTTTTGACATAATATTTGAGCCATTCTAATAAAATTAATAGATTTTTCTGCACAGTTTCATTCACGTGCAAATTTGAAAAAGAAGAACTAGCTACTCATTGAAAAGGGCTGATAAAAGATTCTCCACAAAAAATTTTCGACCAAAATCACAAATACTGAGCACCAAACACTAAATACTCGTCTTATGAAATTATTTTTAATCAAATTTATATGCTTCTTTTTTTGTTTATACAAATTTACATAATTCAAAACTCGACACAAAAAAAATACATTATAGTTTCTTTGACAGAATACAAAGTTAGGTGGCATTAGCATCAAAAAGTTTTGCAAAAATTCAAAATATGCGTCACACTTAGTATAAGCAACATCACAGGTAGTCCTGCTTCAGTATGCGAGCAACGAAAAATGATACAAATTTCTCTAGAAATATTAATAAATAAATGCTCGTTATTGAGATCTTAAAACATTGGTGATAGACTGGTCTTTCGAGAACTTTTTTATACAGTAACAACACCGTTTAAGACATTAGCAAAGGCATGCTACAAGTGGTGAATAAAGTCTCTTAGATGTGAAAATGTTTCTTAGTTTCGTGGAAAAAATCACTACAATGTCTGATGAAATAAATCACCCTCTGGATTTGAAAGATAATGCTACTGCTAAAATCAGGCTTCAATAAAAATAATAGTTAAGTGATGATTCATAAATGTATTTGTCTGTTCTTCGGTATATTTTTCGAAAACGAAGAAACAGTTGATGAATATTTACCAATTATGATAAGAGGCATTGATGAACCCTTATAGTCAATTATCGAAATGAAAATAAAGCTTTTACAAGTCAGACAATATTACAAGTTGCCAACATAAACTAGATCTTATTCCAATAAAAATATTTTAAATCCAATTCCATTTATCGGGAAAATGCTTGATTGTATCTGATTTCTCGATAGTTGTGGCGGGTGAGTGGGTGTGGGTGCGTGTATGGGATTTAGTCTTCATCTTACCCACACCCACACCCCAAATCGTGACTTTGGTCACTGTCATATCAAAAAAACTAAAAGCTTGAAATTTCGGATAATGAATTGCACCGTAAAATTCATGTATATCAAGGTCATTGGTGAAAATAGACATCTTAATGATGTAAAAATAATAAGCCGAATTTCTGCTGAAAGCTATAGATTGAAATTCCTGGAATATCAGTTGTATGATACAAAATGTCTTTGTCCAGCTGAATCACGATTAAAACCATAATAAATTGTATTTTTTTCTTTAATTTTTTTCCTTTTCATTGTGTCTGCCGAAAACATTTCTATCATTTTTGATGAAAGACTTATTCGTTCGAATTGCTCGATATTGAAAACCTCGAGTCAAACTCAATAAAATATCGTTATTTTTTCAGAAATAGACTTTCCCTATTGATATTTCCAAGATTACAAATCTCGAAAAAACATCTTGCAAATCAGATTACACGTTGCGAAACCATTTGATTAAACTGGATGAAAAAACGTTATTTTCGAAAAGAAGCTTTTTCTTGGTAAATTCACAATTTGTCCGTTACCTGTAACCGTTATCTGATAACCGTTAACTTTTTCGTGGTTCATTACTCAATGACTGATAGTGTAGCTGTAACTTTCATCTTCTAAGCGTGGTGTGTGGAGTCGATAAAACCGCTCTTAGTTGTCAGTTTTTTGGAGGCTTTAATTATATGCGAAATAGCAAACTACACAGACTGTAATTGATTTTACAAAAGTGATAAATGTGTATTGTTCTGTTAACAAAAGCAGTGCGGTCGGCACTGTTTGAAACTTGTTATTTTCCTACATGTAAACGAAATGGATGTTGATGGCCTCTTGAAGTATGGTTCCCCTTTAATGGACCAAATGGAGTTTGTGAAAAAGGAAAATATCGAAAATGACAACTATTTTTCTCTTGAAAGATGATTAATCTAAAGTCTCTTTTGTTTCTTAGTGTGCTAAACAACAAAGCTAAAAGTAAAGATCGATCTTTCTCATTTTTTCGATCAGTAAAAATATTGGTGTGTGATCATCTTGTCTCGATGTTCCACTGCAGTTGGAAATATGACCGAATGTATGAATCAATAGAAAAACAATCCCACAAGAGACACATCATCGTTTGTTACTGACATCTTTTCCAACGTTTGACATCTTCCACCGAGATCGATCGAATGAGTGAGTTTGAACTCGAGACACTTTGAATGTTTCAATACAATCTCTTGGTCAAATTTCTGAGAAACTTATCTGAGTAGTAAATAGAAAACACTACTTCATCAGACATGTGTTTCTCGGTTTATTTCTATGCATATTCACAGAACATTTTGTACGGAAGATCGTGGCCCGATATCGAATACAAACAATCGATTTCGCTTCTAATAGCAATATATTAATGTCCATGCTTGAGAATGATTGGAATCATTTGACATTTTTTCGGCTCATATAATTGATCTACTCTCTTTACTCTTGCTTCATGTGAGCTTGAGTGCTGTCTTTCGACATCGACATTTTATCATATACAACAAACGTGTTCTAACAAAGTATTTGCTCGTTTTACAACAACAGAGATTATCAATAAAGACAAAAATACAAGCGTGACTTCATACATTTCAATGAAGAGCTTTATCAAGATTTGTTTTAAGTGATAGCATACAACACATATGAAATGGAAAAATTTCCAGAGATACGCACTTTATTTCATGGGTTGTAGGGGATTTATACTCATCTCAATTGGAATGATTCGTCTTACTCTTGACAGGACAGGTATTAGTGAATGATCACTCCGTTGCGACTAACTCTAGTCTTTCTTCCATCTCTTTCTCTTAAGGGCAAATAAATCATCGCATGAAACAAGAAGCAAAAGAAATTATTGACTTCACAAAAAGAAATAGATACAGCAGTAAGATGGGTGGGTAACACAAAATGTAGGGCGTGAGCAACAATATATTACACTGAGCAATTCATGCTCACACCATTTAGAGTGATATCAATTGAATGAAGTCAGAGTTTTTCTTTTACATTTAGGCAAAGGTTTATCGAGGACGAAGAGATAGAGCCATGAGTAAACGGATAGGTATGCAAATGTTGCTCAAATAGAAATTATCTATTCGCCATACTTTGATAACTGAGTGGTAAGAGGAACGATTTGTAAAGCCAGTATTCCGTTTTGTATTCAATTTCTAGTTAAAGCTTATTTATTCTTTCTATATGTTCAAGAATATACATGAAGAACTATGCGACGTGCTTGTAGGTGTTTTCACGTAATACAAAAGGAAAATAATGGAAATGATCGCACAAGAAAGACAAAGCTGCCATTCGGATCAAATATCATGGTTTCAAATACAACAATTTCATAATGAAGTCTTCAAGTCTGCATAAGAAGTTTTCTTGCGAACGCTCCTTATTCGACAGTAGAAGATTACGATTTTCTGCACGGTCATTTGTAAAGTTTACGGCATCCTCTAAGGTTTCTTTCAGAAAAAGGCGTGTGAAACAATATATTGATGAGCACTATCTCGTAATTACTATCCAATCTGTTTTCTACAATTTTATTTAATTAAAGAAAAAAAAATATTCAAGATTCGATTTAATTATGCATTTTAATATTATATAATAAGCTCTTTAGAAAAATAGCCTCAACATTCGATTCATACTTGTCGTCTTATTTTCAAACAAATAAGAATATAATGCTCACCGAGACAACAACAATAAAAAAGAAATCGCATACAAATAAAATATAAATAAAAAAAATGACGAAAGACACAAAGTTGTTTTATTTTAATGTTGATGATGGTGGTAATCCAAGCCATACGTGTGGTTTACTTGCTCGTTGTTGTTCTTGTTGTTGTTTTATTTGTTGAATGACTAAATCAACTTCTCCATCAGTTTTTAAATGTAATTCTTGGCGTTGTAATGGACTTGTAAATGGACTCACATAACCAACGACAACTTTATAAACTTTACCTCCTCGTTTAACTTCATATGTTGTTGGAACTGTTTGTGGTCTTGATAGTTTTGGCTTATTAAATTGTTGTTGTGGTTGATTTTTATCTTCTTTGAAAGAAGATGATTTGAAAGTTGATGATAAGTCTGTATTTTGCCTATTTAATTGATTATGATTTTGTGATGGTGGACGATGAACTACTTCAAACAGACTCCTTGGAGATTTTGAATCAGTTTGAACTGATTCTGTTGGTGGACAAACATGCCGTTGAGATTGTGAACGAAATATACGTGTTTTTAAATCAAATCGACTTGGTGATGACGGTGGACGATCGATGAGTATTAATGGAACAGGACGATGTTCAGCATAAACAGTATCATCTTTACCTAGACAAAATAAGAAATCTCTTTTTCAATATATTCTTCCAAACAAAGACTTCACTTTTGCACTTATTTTGTTCTTTTCAAGATATTCATTTCATAAGAAAATCTTATGGGTTACAAAATGAAAACAACAAAAGATCGATTTTTTGAAAAACAAAGCTACTATCATCAGAAAGGTTAAATTTAGTCTGTGTTAAACGTTCAGAATAGTCTATTAGAAAAGTCAATTCAATGAACTAAGCATGCTTTCATTTGACTTTTTTTCCAGACTTTCGAATGACAATATCTATGCTGTTAAAATAAAATAAACCTAGAATTTTTAGCATTCAAGTTTTCAATGTTTCCACTTTCCACATCACATTAAACATTAAAAGGAAGAAAACTCACGTCAATCAACTTACTCATAATTAATTGATTTTACAAATGGTCAACGATAAAATTTCTGTCACCTATGTCGCAAGTAGTATTTATATAATTTTTTTTGAGAGTTTTTCAATTAATATTTTATAGTCAAAAAGAAAATAAACGACTTCAAAGTTGATTTAATTGCTATTCTTGAATTTTTATTTCTTTCATTACTTACTTTTATCTGCTCTATAAAATGGTGATTGTTCAATAATACGAAATTCTTCTGGTACTAATTTTCGTTTTTCATCAACACCACCACGCATTTGTCTTTTTAATAATTCTTTAGTTTGTTCTAATGTTAGATTAAGTCCAATATTTTCATTATCAAATAAAACTGTCATTTCTTTTTTTTTCTCATCTATTGATCCATTCTTTTGTATGGCTTTTGATGCTGATGTTTGTCTTCGTTTAATACTTAGACTTTTACGTTTAGCTGCTGATGCTGATAATATTGGTGGTGTAGGTGTTTTTGTTACTGGTGCTGCATCGTCTTCGAGTGTGTAATCAAATTTAACTGGTTCGAAATTCATTAATAATAAACTACTTTGTGTATTAACAAGAATTCTATTCAAAATAATAAACAATTTATAGAACACTAAAATAAGAAAACAATCTATAGACCTATTTGATGTTGCTGTAAGACTAGTAACTGGATCAGAAACACTATTACCACGCATAACACGTAAACAAAATCCACTAAGTACACTCCAAATACGTATTTTACCGTCAGCACAACCAGTTAATATTCGAAGATAAAGAAATTCAATGCATAAAACTTCTCTAATTGTAGAAAAAGAAACAACAACAGATATTTTACCAACTATTGAAATGAATTTATTTTTATTTACTTTGGATGACGAAATGTACATAAAGGTTTATTTAATGGTCCTTGTGCTGTCCATACGCTAGCATAATTATCATGCGATGATGATGCTATATGCCATTTATCAAATTTAACATCCGTAATTGCTAAACGATGTTTGATAGACTATTAAAATAAGCAGAAAACAATTCTTTTTTCTTCTTTTAGTTTCATATTGTCGAATTACTTTAATAAGTGCTCCACTTAGATTATGCCAAACTTTTATTTTTCCTTGAATATCACCTGATAATGTCGTATCATCACTAATAGCAACAGCTGACACAGGATGTTTATGTTTAAATATTCTCCATGGTCGATTATGTTTATATCTCCATACTAAGATTTTAAAAAATTTTTTATTAATAAACTAAATAAATAGATTTCAAAATTCTTACTCAAACAAAGATTATCATTGCCACCAGCAGCAATTAAATCAAGAAAAACAGCTAAACAAGTTACTGTTCGTTCATGTCCATGATATAATTTAGTACAACGACCTGTTTCTATATTCCAACAACGAACAGTTAAATCATAACTACCCTATTTTGTTTTGATTTAGATACAAATATTAAATTTCAGAATTTTTTCAAAACAAAATACCGTAAATATACGCTTTTTACTCTCTTGTACAACAATACAATGAACAGAAGCAGCATGTCCAACTAAAACCATTGGTCGTTCTTGTGCCGATTGCATATCAATAAGTCGAACTCGACCATCACGTGATGTTATAGCTACAACACTTTCACCACTCATATGTACAATACGACGACGGTCAGAACTGCATAGTACAATTAATAAAGAACAATCGAATCAATTCATGAATACAGATAAACAACAATTAAATCAAGAATATACAGAGGAGATGGGTAGCAGAACATCGATTGGAAAGATATAAGGAAAAGCATATATTGTCAAATGACTAATCTGCAATTTTTTATTCACTTACGAAGCTATTTTTTAAAGTAACGTGTAATGATTAAAGAGCTAGAATGGATTAAAAAATATAGAATGAATCTTGTAGCAAAAAGAACAGAATCCAACTTTTTATAGAAATCTTCTCTTGATTTTTCAATTAGTTTATAGGTTAGTTCAATCGAAAAATGTTCACCATGAGTGGCAGTGATTCATTTGTTTTTCAAAAGAATCATTTCATTTTAACTCCATTTTCTCAAAGGTATAATATTTAGAAAACTCATACGAACTCATCAGTTGGCAATTACATAAAACATACTTCAAATTATTATAGACAGTTTTTATTGAAAAACAAATTTATTCAAAATTATTGAATAAGAACTCAAGTTTTTATTTTATTTGGCATTTCCTTAAGTATTGATACTCATGAAAAGTATTGCCCTGGATTTCAACACAATTATTCATTCTCATTCTCAAAGTATTGAATATGTATATATATTGGGCTAAAATAGTTTTATTTTAGTATATACAAGAGGGAAGGAAGTTTTAGGAAAACAATTGCTACACTTTGTAGTGTTGATGGATCGCCCATGCTCGATTCAATTTGGCACGCTTCATTCCATATAATGCACAATTTGATATGCTCTTTAACTTGTTAGAAAACACTTGAAATTTTTTTTTTCTGAAAGTCAAAACATTTATGCTTGTTGATACGTCTTGTCTTCTTTTACAAATTTATAGTATTTATTTTTCCGAATTTTATATGACCTATTGCGATAAAAAAAAATGTTGAGATTTCATATCAAATAACAAAATAAAGTTTTCAAAATGATAGCAGACAAGATATCTATATCATTTTTCGTATCACAACTTTCAAGACTTCAATATCAAATATCGAGGTTTTTCATAGATTGAAAGCAAGCACGAATGTTTTTATAGTTACGTATGACCTATTTTATTCAACAGATATTCGAAAATATAATTCAACAGTTGATAAATAATCATGCAAATCATTGTTATATTTTTGTACTTAAATTTCAGTAAAAAAGAAAATCGATCATTTCTAGTAGCATTAACCTCTTATGGTGTTATGTACTTTTAAAAAGCATTTAATAAAGACATCCTACAGTTAGAAAATATTTTTCTCATAATGAAACAATACCAAAATGTTTTCTTTTGTCCTTCGGTCTTCATTATCAATAATGCATTAATATAGCCTATAGGCTTAAAAAATAATTCAAATCAATTTATATCGAAAATACTAATGGCATTTTATTCTTTTCTTTTTTGTTCTATTGTTCCTATGGAGATGTCCATGACATTATATTCATAATAATTTTAATAAATTTCAATTAGAAAAAAAACTTACTCATCTTTAAGTAAAAGTACATTATATGGACCACAATAAACATTTCGTTCTTCCATTAAAACTAAACGTGTAGGCATAGAATTAGCTTCATAAATTTTATTCCATGTTGAAACATTTTTATCATCGGGTCTCTTTTTTCTTGCTGATGTTCTTTCATTTTCATTAAGTCGAAATAAATCCGGAACAGGTACAAGTGTATCACGAGCAAAATATGGATTACATTGTAAAGCAGCAGAACCCTATATGTATATATACATACAAACAATTACTCTTCAATTAATAGAAAAATCAAGTTTTTTTTAAAAATCTCAATATCAAACTGTGCCGTGATTAATAGAGAAAAAAAAACGGTGCTCAATCTGTGTGTTAATTCAATTTCATTGATATTCTTACACGATATGCAACAGTATCGATTGTTTTCTCCTATCTTTTTCTAATGACGTATTTTGTAATAAAAAATTTCAAGAAATTTTACCTGTAAAAGCATCATATCATCATAAAGCATTTTAGTCATTGTTGTTTCATCTTCAACTTCCATGGCCATTTTTTTCCAACAAATTGAAACAAGTTTACATTTATCAAGAGATTTCGTATCAAGCATACATAAAATTAATTTAGCTAAATAAATTGGTAATTGTCTTATAAAATCTTTATATTTTGGTGAACGTTTTGATGGTGCTGGTTGTTCATTATCAGAATCAATAGCATTCATTGTCGAAGATGCAAATGAAACAGTACTTTTTTGACGCATTGATGATGAAGATGTTGTTTTTGGACGTTTAAGAATAGGCACTGAAGGTGGTAATATTGAGAAAGAAGAAGATGGAATACTTAATGCAGATGAAAGTCTTAAACGACTATTATTATTTAGATCACTTCGGCGATCATCATCTTCGGCTAAAAATTTTCATAAAGACAAAAAATTTTGTTTCTTTTTTCTCTTGAATCAAAACTAACTTACAATCCATATCTTGTAATGACAATATATTCAATGCTATGGTAAAAATTAAATAACTCTCGCACCATTGAAGTATAGTTAATATAAATGAACCTTGAGAATATTTATCTTCATGATTAAACCATACAATAAGTTTTGTGGCTTCTTCTTGCCTTTTTATTGGATCACTATCATCATTCATATTTGTATTATCCATTGATGATCGTGCACTTGTATCAAATTTATTTCTTGTATACGTATAATCTATGCAAATATATATATATATATAACGAATGATCTTTTTTTCGATATAAAAATAAAAGTACCTTTTGCATCGACAAATGGTTTAAGAATTTGTGCTAAATGATTGAGTATATCAGGTTTAAGACGATTGATTAAAGCAAGAAGAAAACGTCGTTTCATAAGATCACCTGTTTGTAACCACCATTCTTTAGCTGCATGAATATGAGCATCAACTTGACATGCTTTACATTGACCGCATTGATTATATGGTTGATTTGATGAACGACATGTTACATTAAATGCATCACGAAATGATGTTAAACCATCACGTATAGCAGCATGAATATTATCTTGCTCGAAATTATTTTCAAATGATGATTTTTGATCTTGCATGTCTAGTTAGAATGAACTGTCAAGACATGAGAAGTTAAGTTTAAAACAAAAAGACAGCTGCCATTTTTATGTTACACAAATATGATTGCCATAGTTTTGTTTTACATTGACTACCATTAGATGGCGATAGAAAACAGATGAATAAGACTTTTTTTGGAATTTATTTCTCAGAAAAATATTAAAATTTGAAATTTCTAAGAGTGAATAGTTCTATAAATCATTATCTATGGATACGGAGAATAAAACCAGACACAAGGTTAGGTAATACCCATGAAGGAACCCTTTGAAGTGTCCCCTTCCAACTACAAAGATCTTTTGCCTATTGATTCTATATAAAATTGTAATCAAAATTCTAGAAGGATTTGAGTTTCTATTGAAATTTGACTGAGATATCGAGTTTTTAAGACGGCTACTTTCTAGATGTCATCGGTTTTCCGAAAACTCGTGTTTTTTTTTTAATTTGCTCTGAAACTTAGTGCATATAGAGAACTCAACTAGGCTAACTTCAATAAAACAAACTTAAAAGTTTTCAACAAAAGTCTTTACAAGAAATAAGACTTTCATGATAAAGAACTTCTCCCATTGGATAGTGTATACAACATGTATTCTTTGAAACCTTCATACCTAGAAAAGACTTTGTTGAAAACTTCTGAATTTTTTTATGGAAGTTAGTGTAGTTAAGTTCTCTATATAGGCAAAGTTTCAGATAAAAATTTGAAAATAAAAATTTTCCGGAAATCCGGAACTTCTAGAAAATAGATACAGTAAAAATTTGATAGCTTAGGCATATATCAATAGGAATTCACATTCTTTTAGAATTTTTATTAAAACACTATGCAGTATCTAAAGGTAAAAAAAATTTATTGAAATCAGCAGGGGGCAACTGAAAAGGTTTCTTCGTTAACTATGATGATTCTCTTCATTAGTTTTCTTTTATTTGTATGAAATTCAAATCAAGTTGAATCAATTATTTATTTAAATACTTGTTATCTTACTTTTTTTATTTCCATAGAAGATTATTTTATCTAACAATTCATGCATGTCTGCTAAACAATATCTACTAACTCTTAAACTACAAACTTTTTTTTCTTTTTACTTCACTACCACCTACTTAGTTTCTTTGTGTTGAAGGTAATGATGATCAAATAACATTCAAAGCATGCAAAAAATTATGTTTATACAAATATGCTTAGTTGAAGGTGAAAATAACTCTTTTTTTTTGTGTTAACTTTATTATTCATGATGATAAAAAAACAATACGTTATTGTTTAACTTAGAGGAAATCAACTAAAATAAAGCAAATAAAATCGCACTAGTAGATTTCTTCGGGGACTAATAACATAACCATTTTGTTTTTCTATTTGATTTAAAGAAAAAAAAAGGACCAAATATTTGTGTTTTTTCGGTCTTTGACAAATATGTACTTGATAATATTTTACTTTTAATTTCTAGAACTTTATTAATGAATTAAAGAAAAAAATAATAAAAATCATCTTTAATTTTCCTTTCTGTTCATAAATGTAAAGTTCACTAGCTAAATTTTTTTGGTACAGCTAACTCATTGATTCTTGGTGATGCTTCATATTTAAGCGCACCATCTGGTACATGTCGTGGAAGAGGTAATTCATATTGATAATTTTTATGGCGTTTAACTGGTAATGCTAATTCATTTAAACGTGATGAACAATTAGCACGTACTGCTGCTGGAGTAACACCTGAATATTTTGGATTACTTATATAACGAGAAAAACCTAAAATTAGTTTCTTAGATTTTGATGATTTCAAATAAAATTAATATTTGAAATTTTACCATCACGAATAGTTGTATCTTTACGTAATTTTGGTTTTGATAAAGACGTAATTCGATCTGTTGCTTGATAATTAAGTGCTGACATTGATACGCTAGTAAATGGTGATCGTTCATATTGATAAACTTTTCGTTCATCAGATTTCGTTGAATAAAATGATGATGAAACAAAAGCCATTGTTCTCGTGCAAAAACGTGGCAACTAGCAACAGACACGATTTGAAATGACAAACAAAAAAAATGTAAAAACACTTTTTTTAATAAGCATATGTTTCGTGTACATGTCTCTGTGTGAAGTGTCAAGTGGAAGCAAAAAAGAAGAACATAAGAGCAGTAACAACAGCAACAACCGTATTTGTAAAACATCATAATAATGGTTCGATCGAATAATTGATTAAGTTTAAAGTTCTTTTCTTGTTTTTACAGTATTGTTGCTAATAGTAAATTAACATTTCGATATAGAGTATATTCCTTGCTAAGAATTATCAAACAAACTAAATTTTATTTGAAAAAAGTAAATACTATCACATGTTACAGTACGAACTAAATATATACCTTCAAGTATAGCTAAATTTTGATGTTTTGTTCCTAGAAGAATACGAATACTTTATGCACTTTTTTCGGTCACAACAAACTATACTAATTTTTTTTTTCTGTTAGACATTTTCTAATATGAAGCCTTGAATGTATAGAAGAAAAAAAACACGATTGTCAATAAAGTTATCGAAGAAGTGAGAGATTAATTTTATATATGTCTAATTTCATATATAATATGTATAATAGAACTCTCGACTTTATTCAATCCAGTTTTGAAGTATGCTATGTTGAAATTAATTCAATGATATGAAGAACGTCTAATAACTGTTGATTCCTTCAAGTGATACTCTTTTCTTATGTTTCTTTAGTAGGATAGACTAATATTTATAATATATATATACTCACTAGATGCTATATTTAATCTACACTAGAATTTGAGCCTTCTATCTCTTACAGTACAGAGATAAGACGCATATAAAATCCATAGAAATTTCTTCAATTAGTTTTAGAAATATCAGCAATGGAAAAACAATTAAGCCATTATTATTATTTATTCGAAGGATTATCAAGAGAGAAAAATTAAACAATTTATTTTTTTCTGATGACTGTAACATGAAAAAACGATAAAACATGCGAATGAGTTACATAAGCATACAAACTGATTTTTAGTGACTAAGTGAATTGATAGACCGCTACCGTTTTTTAATGTTTATTTCTTTTTTTTTTGTTCTTTTAGTTAAGTTACCGTGATTTTTTTTTTAAATGGAGAAAATAAAGGCAAATAATTTAAGAATAGAAAAGGTTTATTACAGCAAAATGCGAGAAGCAACTAATGGCGAACTACAGAGTCGACTGAAACAAGCAATAGAACAATCTGACAGGCAGATACGTTAACATTGATATACATTTTTCTTTCTTCTTATGTTTCAATAAATTCATTTTACAAATTTCCTACAAGCCGTTATTTTGAGTGATAATTCCTAATAAAATATTTAAAACGGTTTCGAAAATTTTAACAATTTTTTTCGTTAGCTTTATTTTAGTGGTTATAAAAGGTAGAAAGTTTAAATTCTAGTATAGAAAAGATCTAGACATTTTTAGTATATAAACTATAAATATCAGCTTATTCCACTGAAGAAGCATATAAGAGAAGAATATGAATTGCAAGGATCAAAACTTATTAGAGATCTAATAATAGTATATCAGATAATAGATATAATAATCTTTTTTCGAGAAACTTCTAGATTATTCTTCATTTTTGAAGAAAGTAATTTATTCGAAAGATAAAACAGCAAAGAGAAAGAATTAAAAAATCCTGACTATTAATTAATTGTATAATCTTTTCGTTAATAAATAATTATATGGAGCTGAAGCTTTGTACAAAAATTGCAAGTGCCTAGTTAAACATAAAAAGGCATTCCAGGGTTATATCTTGTTCTAAGTAGAAGCTAGGATAATTTTAGTGTCTATTACATTTCCAATGGCATGCATTCTGGGTGTAATTATTTTCAGAGCTGCTGGGCTCTACTCTTTTTATACGAATATAGAACAATAACTTGATGGTATATTTCTTGAGAAGTTCTTTTCGTTTCTATACATTTTCTTTACATGAAATGTATCAAATATGATTTATTTGAAAAAAAGAATCTTAGATCAAATTGCATTTAATGATAAATGAATGGCTGAGTTTTTTTTCTCTCTAAATATATCATTTGATTTTAAGCCATAAAAATTTCAATTTTGAGAACAGATATGAAAAATTTTTCTACGAGCTAGAAAGATTCATATACAATCTTTAAAAAGTGGAGGGAACGCAATAATTTTTTTTCATTCTGCAATCTTTTTCATGAGAAAAATAATGATTTTTGTGGAGAAAAAAATGAAAATTTTTTCAATAGAAGATGCACTTCTTCTTCGCTGCATTCTTGATGTTACCGTAAAACTATTTTGATTTAAATAAACCAATCAGAATAGTTTACAAATTAACTACAAATTTGACAAATATTTCAATATCTGACATTTAGAATTAAACTTTTACGATAATATAAAACGAGTTTAATATAACTAGTTACAAGTCATCTTTATTTTCAAAAGACAAAAGAAAAATAATAATAATTTAACTCATTAAAAACGAACTTTGAGCTTTGACAAACAATTTTTTATATGCACTGTGAATGATACTTTCAAAGTATCATTTATTTATATATAAAAAACAAACGTCAAAAAGAAAACGAAAATTATATCTGCATATGTCCTATTTTCTTGTATCTTATATACATACGTAAACATAAATACATACGATATAAAGTATAATGTTTCGATCTCTGTGACTAGACAAAATAAAAGGATAAAATCCTTCATTGGAATGTCCTACTAGAAACAAACAAAAAAACTGTTCAAGAGAAAGACAAAAAAAAAAGACAAACGTAAACAACACAAAATCAATTTTTGATTATTAATCGTTCATGAATATCCGATCGACATATAGGGCATATATCTAATTTATATGCACATTGTTCACATAAACCTGTATGTTGACATGGTTTAAGTATAATATTAGCTTGTGAATCTACACATAATAAGCAATCGTGTTCATTAATTTTTATCGAACGTAATAATTCTAATTTTTTATATTTCGGTAATATAAGTTTATCGTTATCAGATAAATAACCATATTCATTAAATGTTTTAAAAGATTTTACGGTTGTTGGAGGATACCGAAATGGTTTTGAACCAAAATTAAAACGACAATGTTGATAAGACATAAAACTTGCTGCAGCAAAATAACCATCCGTTGTAGTGTTTGATGTTGATGTGAATAATTTTCGTAATGGGGCAAGTGAACGACCATTTAAAGAAAAAATTACTTCACGACGATCGAAATCAATCAAACAACCTAAAAGAATTTTTAAATTAAATTTTATCCACAGTCATTGCGAGGAAACTTCAACTGTTCAATACTTTGAAGTCGAAGATAGTGTAATTTTATGGTATTTTTATAAATAAATGTCGTGGCCTCCTCAAGAACATCAGTAAAAACTGATTCACGAATTTCGACTCGAAACCTTCCATGGAGACAGCCTTTTATAAGAATAGTTTTACGTGAATGTTTCAGATCTTGTCGTTGTTCTTATTCCAAGATACAACTATAGTAGTAATATGTCTTTTACATCGCTCATATAAACCAGCACATTTGATGTTCTCTTATCTCATGATAGAAACAAATCAAAAGACCAGAAAACTTAACAATAGAATACTCCTGTTAAGACCTGTCTCTGTGCAAAGTTTTAAATCAAAATTCGAAAATCAGTTTCTCTGGTATTCTTGAGGAAATCAAGGCATTTGTTTAAAAAATACTGTAAAAGTGCAGTATCTCTATAGCAAAAAGCTAAGGGCACGAACTCTTTTTAGGATATTCATAGGTCATTCGGATATAGATAGTGCACAGTTATAGGACTTCTCTTGTTCATAATATAGTTATTTTCATACTAAAGATATCTTCTGATGCATTCATTTTTTTTTAATACGAAAGGTATTATATTTATATGATTAATAAAAACAAGGCTATGAAAATTTCGAAAATATATTTTCTTGAAAGTAAAACTATAAAGTTTAAGAATTTATCGATTATTAAGACAGAACTCAGTATTCATGTAGTTATTATGTTCGATTTAGTTTTACAACTCTTATCAGCGCTTTCTTTCATCAAAAACATCTCAGCATCTTCATGAGCCTATGAACTTGATAGAATAAATTTTTCTTTGTAATTGAAAATGAAAAGTATGTCAGTTTATAGAATCATCTTACTTAACATCTTTTAATACAGAAAAAAAAATGAATTACTTAACATATAAGTAAAATACTAATGATGGAAGGTTTCCAATTGTCGGGACGCTTTCCAACTGATATTTTGACTAGAAAGTAGATCTTTGTGAGTGTAGAAAAATCTCACAATATTTTGAACTCACCGATCTATATTCAAGAAATATTGAATTTTCAAACTCTTTCATATGTTTTGAAAATCTTCTTCTTTCATTATCAAGAAGAATCTTAAGTCATCTCAGAACTTTATTCAATAGACTCAGCTATTGAAAAGCTTTCAGATAAGTTTAAATCGACTTTACACCAACTACAATAGATAAAAGGCGAAAAATTACATTTGGAGGGTGCGACCGTATCATACTGAAACTTATCGTAGAACTTTTCGATAGTAGAGTCTATCGAATAAAGTCCTCAGATGGCTTAAGATTCCTCTTGATGCTGGAAAAAAATAAGATTTTCAAGATATATGAAATTTGCTTTTTTTTTGGAAATTGACAATTTGATATCTCTTGAACGATTCCTTCGGAAGTGATTGATTTATTCTACATTATCCAATATGAAACTAGAAAAAAATCTTACCAACAATATCTCCAGGTTTCCAAGGAGGATTTGTATGTCGTATTGATTTTGCACCAAACCATATTAAATTTCTACAACCATCATATGCTATAGAATATTGATCATCACCAATACCATAACCTTCATGATTCATAAATTTTGATTTTTTTGTAGCCCAACCAATTTGCATAACACCATCAGTAATAACAAGTACTTCATAATACCAAACACCTGAATTAACATTAAATGTACATCGAACACTTTCAAATGAAACACTATCACTACGAGCTTCAAGACCATCAGGACCAATTTTTAAATATTCACTGACATCTTTATCATTAAGCATTACATTTATATATTGATGATCGATAGTTTCATATGATGGTCGACGATAATCAAGTATAAATACATTATCAAGTAACCATTGAGCATAAAAACCTTGACAAAAGAAAAGAAAAGATAAAATAAAATAAAATTTTACATATGTTTTGTTTCTTTTTTTTTCATACCAATTTGTCGTTTAAGACAAATATCTGATAATGCCCATGATTCATAATATTCTAATACATTCATTTTTGATTGCTCATTATTATTAATCGTTAATGATTGTAATAAAATATGTTTTGATTCAGATGTATGAGAAAATTTTTCAAGAGCTACTAATGCAAATAAAACAATTTTTAATACAGATGAATATTTTGCTGAAACATCTTTATCATCGAAATCCAATGATTTTAATTGATTATAATTATGGATACCCAAATAAATTCGACCAATTAAATATTCCAGTGCAATTGTATCCAACATTGATGCACTAGTTGGACCAACTATAAACAATCATAATAAAGAAATTGATATTTAATAGAAAAACAACAACAAACAAGACTAACCGAGTTTTTCAGCAAGACAACCAAGTACAACTAATGTATTACGTTCATGATGTAAATTATCATCAGATTCACTTTGATTAGATATATCGGACGTCTTCATTTTTTTGATAGAAGATGTCGAACGTTTTGAAGAACGAAGACTGGTAAATGAAGATATCTTGTTTACTCTTGAAGAGAAAATGTACAATACAATCAAATTAATAGATTGAATATTTAAATGAGTAAACTAAAGCTTATATTAACCTATAAAGTCTCAAATAGTATTGTCTTATAGATACTCGTCATGGTCTGAACTTAGAGTGTGATGGTTCTAAAACAAAGCGAATCTGTTAACCATGAAATAGATCCAAAAATTCTTAAATCTATATCGAAAAGACGAAAAAATAGATATTCAATTTTTAAAGAGTTCCGATATCCCAAATCAGTTCTGCAAAATGTTACCACTTGGTTTCTTGTCAATAAGTTCTCTGAGCCGCTACCACTATCGATCGATACGTCGGCTTACATCTGTACTCCTTCATATTCAAAAAGTAATGATACTTCTTGTTTTGACAATAAGAATTTTTTCTATGCTAATTGGATTTCATGATTCTTTTACTATATAAAATATCTTTTGTAAAACTGAAGAAAATCGATATATTGAAAGTATTGTTAAACAATGACTTGTTGTTTTTTTTAGAATCAAAAAATGATAAAGTGATATTAGATCTAAATAAGAAACGATTTACTTTTCTTGTAATGGTTGTTCATTAACTATATCACATATATGATTATTTATAACCGGTGTTGTTTCATCACTTTGAATATTTTCATCATAATTAATATTTGTTACTCGACCAACATGTGGTTCAATCGATGAACTTACTGCATGTTTTTCTAATTGATTACTATTTTGTATATTAGTGATTTTTTTAATATGTTCATCAATAATTGTTTCAAGCATTTTTATTCTCGAACAATTATTTGAACATACTTTTTTTATCAATTGTTGTAATAACTCTTTTGATGGTAATGAACATTCATCAAGTAATAAAGCGATAACTGTTGCACCTAATGGATCATTCATTGGTACACGTTCAATTAATGCAATCATTACTTCTAACCATCGATCTTCATGATTAGCAATACGTGATAGAATTAACATAGCATGAGGTGGTTCTTGATCTGTATCAGCAACTGTTCGAACAATTAAAAGTGTTTCATCAATAAGAGAATTTAAATTATATGGTGAAAATGTACGAAGATTTGCTAATCGAGTGGCGAAAATACTTGGCTCATATGAAGTTGTACGACGAAAAACTGGTGACTCTAATCTTGAATTTGTTCGATTTTGTGATCGCTGATGTTGTTGTTGAATACAATTGCTACAATTACCCATTAAAGATTATCTACAAAGAAAAAAAAAAGGCGATATAAGATAATTCAATTTTGAATACATACAAATACACACACATACACACGTAGAAATACATATCCTCATACTCATTTTGTTGCTTTTTAAAATTGAATAGATACCCAAATAGAAAGAGAAAAAAACTAATAATATAAACATTGAAACAAGAAAAAAGCACACACACATTATAATTCAAATAAAAAAGAAACAAAGAAAAAAACAGATATGATCACCGGGTACAGCAAAAAGAATTAAAAATACAGATATAAACGAAAGGACGGTGATACGTTTAGTATTTTGTTTACAATAATTACGTTTAGATATTTTCTTTCCCTGTAATTTGTTTGATATATTTTTTTTTTCTATTCAAATAGCTATTACTTTGATATGTTTATGGACAAGAAATACAAAAAAAACACACGAGAAAAGCACCGACAAAAATAGATATTTATCTTTAATCTGAATTAGTTGCTTTTTCAACTTGAACTTGAAGACGACGAGCTGAATGTCGAGAATGATTTCCTAATGATGGAACAGAAAGAGCATCAGCAGAATCAGATCGTGTATGTTTGGATGTTGTTGTTGTTGTTGTTGTTGTTGGTTCTCTTCGTTTAATAATTCTAGATCGAAAAATAGTACGCTTTGTTTTTATCGGTGTTTCACCTGGACGAACAAATTGGCCTTCAATACGTTTATTTGTTGTATTTAACAAAGATGAACGTGGTGGTATAGGTGGCGGAGATTCAAATGTTTGGGATTCATCATTAAGTGACGATAATTTTGATGATGAGACTGTTGAAGATGGATCATTACTAGGATTAGTACCATTCATTATACGTCTACCAACAGGTGGATTACCTAATTTTATTTGCAGTGATCCTGATGGACGACGTGAAGAAGATGAAGTACTGGACGGAGACGACGATTTCGTTGTAGATGTTACTTGTACTAAAAGTAAGGTACAATTAATTAATCACACAAAACAAGTGAAAATAGTTTTCTGAAGTAATATGTAAGAGTTTAAGTACAAATAGTATAGTTTTAACAGCAACATAAAGAGTTATTTCAGCTTTAAATATATACTCGATCAGAAATAAGCTGACAGAAGACTAATTAATGCCTAATCATAAACAACAAAGGGAATGAACATTTACTCCCTATGTTCAGTATGGGATCTTATGCCAACTGTTTACGTTTGAGCTTCACTTTGTGTTTGAATGCATGAGTTCCTTCTGGATAGATGATTAGAGAGACAGATCTGACGGTTCGAATCTCTGCTGAGAGTATTAGATGTCGGTGATCTCTTCTACACACACTCCATCCGCAGTCACACGAACAACTATGCGCACCCAACCCACACACAACTACACCAAAACCAACAATACCCGCATCTACACCCTTCAACGCTCCGATAACCTAAAAAAAGAAGGTGACGAGATTAACGTCCCATAATCGAAAATGAAGACATTGAACCCTCTGAGATCATGTCTATTCTTCGTAAAAATGCATTGGAAACAAAGAATATCATCGACTGGAACAACTGAAAGATAATTGATAGGATTGCATTCGTCTCTTCCTTTTATCCCAAAATCCATTGCTATCTTAGCATCAAAACTGATGCTGAATCGAACCGTGAAATTCGCCATTCGAGTCACCTATCTAGAAATGACTCATGCATTCAAGCTTATAGTGAAACTCAAACCTAAATGGTTGGTATAAGACTCCAGGGAATGGACATAGAGAGTAAACGTTCACTCTCTATGCTGATAATAATCTGGCACCAATTAGCTCGTTATCACTTTCGTTCTGACGGAATGTTTGTTTTGTTTCTTTTTTTGTATTTACTCAATTGTGTCTGTCTTAAAAATGAAAATGAAAATTGTTAAAACATCGATTTCGATAAAGCTAAAATGTTCTTTAAATCCGCTGTTAAAACTGTACTATTTGCAACAGAATTGAAAATGTCTGCTTTCGAAAATGACACACTTCCTTTATTTATCATATGAATCAAGCCGATAAGGAATATCATAATGAAAAGTATAACATAAAAATCTCAAGAAATTCACACATTAATGATTTTCTGTTTCGTTTTCCTTACATGGTTGATTCTCATCACTACTTGTCGATGTACATAATGAAACATTACCATTTGCTTTTATCATAAATACAAACATTTTATGCACAAATAAATATTGTTTCTAAAAATGAAATACATATATATTTCAAATAAAATGAAAGTATTCAAAACACTTCTTTACTTACAATTGTTTGAATTAATGCTATACGAAATTGACGAATATGTGTAGCTATTTCATAGATAGGATAAGGTTGATAAGTTTTACTTAATAATAAACGCTATATAAGCAAACAAGATATATACATATAAACTATGACGCGAAAGTTTCAACACAAAAAAAGTTCTCTCATTTTTCGGCCATTACAAGATAATTTATTAGAGCCATAATCAGAGTTTTTTGCTCCTTCCGAATTTATGTTTAGATTTTCTATCTGGAGTAAAATTAAACAACTATCAGTAAATTTTTTGAAAAAATTCTACATTGTATCTATATAAAATAAAATAGCGGTATTGTCCTAGTTTTTAGAATCTTCAACTTGGCATTATTGTCTAGCACTGAATTCTCTACAAAATGAAATATTATAAATAAAGAACTAGTTTCTATGAAAATTAGCGCTAATCAACAACTCACTAATTCAAAAATACAAAAGTAAATACCACACTTTGTAGAGCAAACTTTGCACTACGAAATTGTTTTGCATTTTGAATTTGGTAGGTTTCAGTCGAAATAAAAATTGACTAAAATAGTATTCTATACAATTATCATTTTGAACCTTTTGAAACAATCTGATGATAGTTGTTCAGTCTTACTCTAGAAGGAAAGTCTGAACATATACTGGACAAAAATGAAAAAATTCTGATTCTAACTAACTGCTTCTGACTCTAGCCAATTGTCGTTTTTACTTGACCGAAAAATAAGAGAATATTTTGTGCCAAGACTTTCGCACCATAACTTATATTTTAAAAAACTAGAATGTTATTTTCGTTGAAATATTTTCTAACCTCATCACGAATTAAGAAACGACAAAGATCAACTGCAATAATACTTCCAGTTCGACCACACCCAGCACTATAAACAATAAGAAATATTATTTCCAAAAAAAAGTGTTCTGGTCTTTGTTTTAAACCTGCAATGTACAAGAATAGGTGTTTCAGGTGACAGACTTCGATCATCATATAATCGTAAAAGTAAGTCAAGTATTGGTGCTTCATCGTTAGGTACATCATGATCAAGCCAATGTAAAAAATGATAAAGTAATATATGCCGTCGATTTTCTCCTTGATTTATTACTAATGGGCGAATTTCGTAATGTTCGCAACTAAATGCTTTGTCATTGTTTTCATCCTATTATCAAAAAAGTGTTTCAATGCAAGGAATTAAAAAGAAGAATAGACAAAAATTATATAACTGCATACTTTGCTAACACGATAGAGACCGAATTGAACTGATTTTTCTTCATCGGGCCAATAACGACGAAATTTTAACTGAAAGAAAAAAAAAAGAAACAGATTGAACAAAAGATAACAAAGAAAGAGGTCGATAACTATTAATATTGCTCTAGTATAGAAATATGATTTCTGTTATGTCAAATGATCACACAAGATATCTGAAAGTGAGCTGTGGTAGAATTAGCCAATGGTTCTCACATGTACATTGAACCGACCTCTCTTGATGATAATCAGTATTTTTTATCTATCTATCTTATTAGCAACTGGGCTATTTCGTATAGATGAATAATCATTTTCAAGCGTTTCAAAATGGTATAAAAACATCGAGGAAAAAACACTGACCACACAAAGAAGTCCCAAAAGAACTATTATCGAGCCAAGATTTTGAGCCTTTTTTACTAGTATTCAGTAGATGTCGGTTAGAAAATTACGATTTGGATAAAAATTAATATGATATTCTGAATCAGCATCCAAAACTGAGTGAACTTATGTACATTTCAAGAATTTTCGAAATGTAGTTTTTTTTTCGTCGAAAAATTCACTCCTGGTTCTCTTCCGAGTTGGGTCAAGAAGTAATTTTCATAGAAAAGTTATTTTGACAGTGAGAATCAAGTTCTAAGGCTAGAAAACGATAATAGAAGTCCAAATAGAAGATAAATAAACAATGGAAACAGAGTTTTCATGAAACTCATTTTTTGACCCAACCGTGAGAAGGAACCAGGGGTAGATTTTTCGACGAAAAAAAGTTTCGACAATTTTTAAAATACACGAAATTTTACTCAGTTTTTGGATGCTGATTTAGAATATCATAATAGTTTTCATACAAATTATATTTTTCTAATCGAAACCTACCGAACAGCAGTAAGAAAAGACTCAAAATCTTGTCTCGAGGACAGTGTCATAAGGATTTCTTTGTATGGTCAGTTTTTTTTTTCTCGAAATTTTTATATAATTTTGAAGTCGTTGAAAAGCGCCATCGAGTCATATGAGTGCTAATCTGATTAGTTTTTGAGTTGTTAGATCAAACAGTTGGCCATCCTCAATAGTCATTTACTATTTCAATCGAGGAGGACACAGCACGAACAAGTGTTATAGATATAACTTTATTAGAGATCACTTCGGGATAGAAGAGCGACAATTACCTGAACAACAATTGATCGTATGTTCGATAAAAGCGTGATTCTTTTTTCATGCCTTTCAAACCTTGATTTATACACGTATGATTTAATCGTACAGAGTACAGCGTGAGAGCGAGAGTGACATATGAAAAATAAGTATGCACCTCATGGAATTAATCAGTAGAGGATTTCGTCGAAAAACGATAACTAAATGTTGTCATTTACTTTTTGAATTGATCGAAATGTTACGAAAAGACTGAAACAATATCCATTTGGAAATCTCAAAAGCTACAATAGGCAAAGGATTGTTGTCCTTGAATAGATTATTGGTTATTTTCTTGACTTCTGTGAATCTAATAAAACGTTTTGCTGATTTTAGTTTCCCACATTGCGATTGTTTGTCATAGATCCCGTTGAGGTTCTTGAGTGGAACTTTGACATGACAGAAATTATGTTTTCTGTAGGAGACCGATTTCATCAACTGTCAACGCCTTTCTTTTCTTACGCGTCCAGCTTCAATTTCATTAGCTGTGCATATAACAGATGTTATTTGAAATTCCCAAATCATTCGAAGAAAATCAGTTATTGATTCATCACTTGGTCCTTGAGCTGCAATATATCGACGGTTACCACAAAAATCCTTTATTTAAAAAAAGAAGAATACTTCAAAAATTAAAATTGCACTATTTTTATTTAATTTACTTCAACGAACGATGCATTTATATAATCCGAATTGTTTTCTTGTTCAAGAATAACTCGATATTTATCATCTAGAATTTCATTAATTTTTTTTCAGAAAAAATTAAACTTCTTAAAAATTTTCTTTAAACTTACATGGTAAAACATCTTTATAGCGATTTTTTAAACGATTCATAGGTTTAGCACCTTCGATACTAGGACATTTATCTTTAGCATTAATCATTGCTTGTTGTAATTGCTTTAAATAAAAGGAAATATAAATAATGATTATTATTATGAAAAAAAAAACACAATTCTTTTTCTTTACAGCAAATTGTCGACCGATTTCAGTTGAATCGGGATCACGCGATTGTTCATATTCAGTAATAAGTCGTTCAGTTCGACTACAAACATTATCTTCATCAGGATTTTTCGTCATCTATCTAGAAAAAACAACACACGAAATTTTCTTTGAACTTATTCTTCTTGCATATCATGAGAATGAGAATCTAGTCCATTTCCTCCTCCTATTCCTCCATTAATAATATCTTTTTGTTGTTGTAAATGTTTCGAAAGTGTTTGTATGATTTTTGGTTGTATTAATTCATCAATTTCATAATTTTGTGATATATCAAATATTTCCATTATACTTGTATCATATATTGGTAAACCAAGATGATTAAGAATTTGAATACAATTACTTAAACGTACAATTGTTTTTCGAACATCAAGACTAACAGATTCAATATTTTTAACATAACCACCTGTATCAACCATATTATTATCAGATGATGTTGATATTGGTGGGCATATCCATATAGCACCATTACAACCACGTATAACAGATGCACCACATGGTAAACTATGAAAATGATTTTTAGTACGTTTAACAAGTGATGAACGAACATGTACTAATATTCCTTCACCTAATTTTCCATATCGTAAATTACGAGTTTGAAGTGCTAATGTACCATCTTGATAGATTTGTTGAATTTCAGCAGAAAATAAATCACCTTCCTATATACATATAAAGAAAAAAACAATGAAAACTTAATTTTCTATAAAAATTTGTTATTTTAAATTTTTAAAAGTCAATTATCTTTGATATAGGATTGTAGACTAATAAAAGTTTTATGAATCCTAAATTATTGATCTAGTGGTCTATTCAATGTTAATTGTCGCAATTTTTTTTTGTTTCTAAATAATTACTTTGTGTGGGTACGAAGAAAAGATTAATGAAGTTATCAGCTAATTGAATCGATAGATTTACAAATACAGTCATACATAAATGTTCTGTATATTCACTCAAAGTCACAACTTATAGTATGTCTGAATAAGACAAAAAACGCATGGGATAGTTTTTAATAGTGTTCCGAAGAAAATTGATTTGTGCAAATTTAAAAGAGCAAGTTTTTTTTTATAGAAAACTGCGTTCTCTATTGAAAGAGTCTTTTTTCTTTGAATCTTCCGGCGTTTACATAAAGCAGGAAAAAAGGCGTGTTATTCTTTATACGTGACCAATTATAGTATTTTTTCAATGGCAATTCATTTATGATGAATATGAACTATAGAGCTCGACGTGAGTGTGTTGATTGAAGTATAATTATCAAATTTTAGCAAAAAATAATTATTAATGATGAAAGTTTTTTCCTTTTTTTCGGTATTTCATTCAATAATCATAAATTCTAGAATTTCAAATTATTTGAATTAAATCAAATGTGTGTCAATTATTTTCATACAAATATTAATAAAAATATGTTTAGTCTGTCCATTTCTTTACAGAAAGAAAAAAATATCTCAGAAACGCGTCTTGATTATGTATATATTATTAGTGTTAAATTAATTTTTACATTATAAACTCAGATAATGATAGATGTAAGGACAACCTTAGGTCATATTCATAAACACGATAACCCGAACAATGTTGAAAGAAACCTCAGTCTTTCGTTATTGTTTTCTTTTCTCTTATCTAAAAAGGGAATATCACCAAATGACAAATTACAGATAAGATAAGTCTTATTTCTATCAGCGAGTAGAAAAAGTCGAAAAGAATTCATATTCACGGGTAGCTCTTCTTGACTTATTGCTATTCGAAATAAGTTTTTCAAGAAAATGTTCTACTTTCATCTTAGAACAATTTCAAAATTTGCACAAAAAAAAAAGATATTTTCAATGAGATCAATTCATTGTAAAAAAATATCAAATTTTCCATTGTTTCCTATTCTGAGATATTAAAAGAAAAAGTCTAGCACTTTATAAATGAACTAATTCGATTTGACAACTTTATTTGTTTGATGATTTGTTACTCTACAAGATTCATTTGTAAAACTTTCGCATTTGTAAAAGATCGAGAATAAATATGTATTTACTTTTAAATACTGTCGCATATTTCTTTCATCATCTTCCATTCGTCGTCGATTTTCTCCACCCGGTAAATTAACTGAAGCTAATGGTAAATAAGAATCTAGACGTGATTGTATATCAACAACCCAGCGACTTTGATCAACTTTAAGTACACGTCCAATAACAACATGTCCAACTTCACCTAAATACCGTGCATTTTCAACAGGTTCAACACATAACAATCGATCAACTTTATTAACAACACCAGCAACCGATGCTTTCAAATGAGCTTTTGTTGAATCCAAATATGTTCCATGACCTCGCATAAAATTTGATGTATCATCTGTTAAGATTTTACCAGGAACAACTAATTGCTTTTGTACTGATGGATCAATTGTTGAAGTAGCCATAGCAATAAATATTTTAATTAGATAATCGGTTTGATCAAATATTGAATTAAAAGAAAAAAAAAGTTCAAGCAAAGAATCATACAAACCGGAAAGAAAAGTCACACATATAGGTCTGCAAAAAATAAATAAATCAACAAAATATTCATTGGTTAAAAAATATAATCAATGATAATTTAATTTTATAAAAAAATGTTTTCTAAAATTTCAATACATGATTTTAAATGTTTATTGAAAGTAAAAGAAAAGTTTTTTTTAATAGTTATTCAGCAGTGCATCTGTCATAGTGTTGACTAATGACATCTATCAAATCTTGAACATAACTTCTCGAAAAAATAACATTACAAAAAAGTTGATTTCATTTCATCGAAAAAGTCTATATTACTTTAACTCAAAATAACGGAAAGAAAACATAAATTAATTTAAAACTCAAGTATTCTCTTTTTCAAAATCACTTAATTGATATTCTTAAAATATTTGTTCATTTCTAATATTCAAATAGACAAAATTTTGATCGAACAATATGGTACACAAACGGCAGTATACGACGAAGAATACGAATAATTGTGACCGTCATCATCTCAGAAACTCTTTCTAAATGCCATCAAACTAAAACAAACTACTTGTAAATAGAGATGTAAGATGATTCATTGATCGGCGTTGGTAGCTGAGTTTTTTCGATGAATTTTTAAAAATTCTCTTAATTTCGAGAATAGCGGCGGCTCAGTTGATCGATTTACACTTCTACTTGTAAAATACATAAATCATTCAATTCTTTCAATAACACTTTATTAATACTTGAAAACAAATAAGATCAATTATATCTTTCATCTAAGTTACTTCACATACAATGAGATTTTTCATACACCATCAAATAGCACAACACACACATGAAGCATTTTTTCTATATAAAAAAAAATTAAAAATTTTTTTTTTGAAGAAAAATAAATTCTGCACTCATAAATAGTATATATATATGTATATAATACAAGATATTATTCAAAAAAGAAACTAAACAATTTTCGTAAAGCAAAATTAAAAAAAGGAAATGCACGGTATTTTTGTCTAGAAATGTTCGCGTGGTACAATTACATTAACAATTGGCATATTTGAACGACTATTTAGTGTTGAACCATGAGCTGGAAAAAAAAATAATAAAATAAGATATTTTAAGTATTATTTAACAGATTATTTACAAATTGATCGTTTTTTTGGTTGATTTTTTGTTGTACGATTATTTGGTGTTGAATAAAATGGATCTAGAATATTAAATTAAGTATTTAAAAAACAACAACTAAAAGGATTTATATTTTACCGGTAGATATAGGTTCAGGAGAAAATGAATTTGTACGATGAAAATCATTGCCTCGACTTCGAGACATTGCTGGATCATTGATTGTCACCGTTTTTTTCGGTTTAACACTGGTTATTTCCAAGCCAAATGCGCTAGCAGTATTTTCTTTAGATACAATAGGGTCATTAGAAAATACGGGGCCTATATTTCATAATTGAAGAAAGAAAGAATTCTTTTTATTTATTTTTTTTGTTAAATATATCTTACCCATATCTTCCATTAATTCTCTATGATGAAGATTAGCTCGTCGTTGTGCCGCTCTTGCAGCAATATCTTGTGTTTGTTTTCTTAGTTTAGCTTTACCTTTAACATTATTATTTAAAAATAATGTTGGTTCAACTGAGGAGTCATTTGGTGGTGTTGTTGTATGAACTTTCCGTTGTACTCCACCACCACCACCACCGCCAGTTGTCATATCACCTGTGTTGATTGGTACATCAACACTTTCAGAACTTAAACTAGCAAGAGAATTTCCTTTTGTCAATTGTGGTTTTAATGATTGTTCAAAATTGAAATGAGAATATGATATTGGTTTATTTCCTGTTAATGGTGAATCTTGTCCTAGGTCATTATTATTTGACTCATTATTAACACGGGTAAATAGATCTTGATCAGACAGAGTGCGATGTGAAATTATTGTTGACAATGGATAATTATTACGTCGATTAGCATTATTGGGTAAATGAAAGCTAGTTACTGATGTTGATGCACTTGTTAAATCTTCTTCAGCTATTTGAGATAGAAATGGTAATGTTGATGTTGTTGATGGTTTGCCATTAGCACCTGCTATTGAACGTGGAGAATGATCTAAACATATTGTTGATATAAAATCTATGAAATGAAAATAAAAAATACATACTTTTAAGATCTTGAATAAGTTGACCTTCATCAATATCTCGTGAATAAAGCTGATAAAGTTCTTCAAGATCAGATGGAACTAATATTTGATGTTCTTGACAAAAACAAATAATAACATTTTTTATTATAATTAGAATTAAAATTTTCCAGAGAATTCTTAGACATTCATTAGCAATTCATATCCGTTTTCAGTTCACATGTAAAAAAATATTTTTCTACATATCTCATTACATTCAAGTAAGTCTTTTTGAGTGCATTTACATATTATTCTTTTTTGTTCTTTTTTTCTTATCGTCTATAGATTTTTTTATGTTGTTTTGCATTATGAATAATCGAATTGATGTATGTTTTTCTTTAATACCTTATAATTGAAACCAGAAAAACTATGCTTTTATTACCTTGAATAAGTCGTCTTTGTTGATAAATTAATGTATCACATAAACTTCGATGTTGTGACATACGTAACAATTGTAAATCTTTATGTTTAATAGAATAATCACGAGCAAATATATCAGCTTGTAATTCAATAGTTTTCATTTCATATTCAAAATTTTGTGATAATAATTTTAATAATTCACGTTGTTCTTGAGTATTCATTTTTTTTGTTACTTTCTATATATAAAAATATGAAGAAAATTTCTTTTTGTTTTTGTTTTTTTTACCTCAAGCAAACGACGTGCATCAGCCTTCGATGTTTCAAATTCTTTTAGTTGAATTTTACGCTGTTTTTCTAATTTTGATTTTTCTTGTTCAAGTACACGTAATTCTGCACGAGCTCTTAGTGCCGTATTTTCTGATGCTATTGTATCAACAGTGATTTCCTCAGGAGATTTTTTACTATTTCGTGGACTATTTTCTTTATTTGATTCATGACTAAACAATAAACAATGTTTTTTTTTCTAAATAATTCTCATAATTCATTTTTATCCTACTGTTCAATAATTGATTCATTGCGTGTGCATTCATGGATTACATCCATAAGGCCACTATCAATTTCCAATAATGCTCGTCGAGCATCAATTTGTTTACGATAAGTTTGTAGAATATTTTCTTTTAATTTTAGACCTTCTTCAACACGAAGGCGTTCAGTTGTATTACTATCTATTTAAAAGAACATTATATAAATATAATTGTTTTTGTCTTATGAAGAAAAAATAACCTAGACTGTTAACCTGGAAAACTAATATATGACCTTTTCTGAATGAATGAAAGTGGCAAGTAGTTTTCATAGACATGCTTTTACCTTGATGAATAGGTGTCATCCGGAAGGTGAGAATATAATTAAAAAAGTATGACTCTGATGAAGAGAAAATAAACTAAGACCTGGTTATGTCAGAAGACAAAGCTTATGAATATTTTTTTGTAGTTATTTTGGTAATAGAATCAATTTTCTTCAGACAATAATTAAAAAAGAGAATTTCCGAGTCAATTCCAAGAAATAAAATGTAAAATGATTTTAAACATACCACTAAGTCGGCTAAATCTAGCTTCATTTGTTGTTGTTAAACGTATTTCAAGTTCATCTCTTTGATCACGTAACAATTGAACTTGACTACGTAGATCTTGTATTATTTGTTGATATTGTGCTATATGATAAGATACATCAATAACATTTCGACGTATCTATATGATATAAATATATATATATATATTATTTATTTGAGACAAATAAATTTAACAAACTTTTGTTTTGATATATTTTGCACGATCAGCATAATTAAGTGTATTACGTGATTCTTCAAAATGTACTGATGCAGGTGAAATATGTGCAATCATAACTGTACGAGAATTTCCTCCAAGAGAATCTTTTAATATACGTGTTAATTTACTATCACGATAATTAACATATTTTGTATTTCCTTTTTCACCTATATTTTTAAATTGAATTTATATATATTTTTTTTTTATGAGACAAATGTCAAACGTACTTAAAGCATTGATACAATTACCCAAAGCGAGTAATGAACGATTTATATGAGCACCTTAAAAATAGAATGATTTTTAATTTCTTAAATCTAAATTATTAATTTGTTTTTATTTATTTGCATAATAAAAATAGAACTTGTTTTTTTTGCCTCTATTGATTTTTAATTAAACATAAAATAAATTTTCCTTAGGAAAAAAAAATATTATGTTTTGTTTTTGCTTTTTGTCTAACTCTAAAACAACTAATATTTGTAAGGTTTCAAAATAATTTCATACCTTCCATCATTCGTCTACCAGTATTTTGTGTTTGTGCTGCACGTTCTGATCCAGCCAAATCAATCATATAAAGTTTAGCTTAAAAAATAAATTTAAAAATTTTCTTTATTCGAAAATAAAATAATTTAAATTAATTTTACCAAATCGAACTTGCTCTGTATGTGATCGAGTAACATCACGCTGTTTAATATTAACTTGTAAAACAGCATGTGATCGTGATGATGTTTTATTAGCTTTTGTTGGTTCTTGTGTACGTGCACGATTTCCTTTGTGTAACATTTCCATAACTTCTTCTGGTGTTCTAGCATTAAGTTCACTAAGGCCAGCAACTTGTATTGTACCTTTAGCATCTTCACGTAATTCAAGAAATGAAGATGATGGTGCAAGTAAATCACGTATTAATTCATTATAAATTTCTAAATAAGACATTGATACTTGATATTCTCTTTGACCTTCAAATTTTTTTATTTCAACAAATAAATCATGTAATGTTCGATACATAACACCAGGATTATTTTCTGTGCCTAACATAGTATAAGTTTTACCAGCACCTCAATTTAGCAAACGAAAAAGAAAATTAATTTTTCTATTCATATTCAAATTTTTTCATTTTTTTTTTATTTACCTGTTGCTCCATAAGCAAATACAGTTGCATTATAACCTTCTAAAACACTACCCAAAAGAATTTTTGCTGTTGATGCATATACTTCTTGCTGTCCAGCACGTGCATCAGATACAACATCAAACATATATTTACGTTCGCGTGATCGATTTGCACGTAAAATATCATCATGATCTTCGTCTGGATCAAGTAAAACAACCATCTAAAAATCAATACGATTTTAAGAAAGACAAAAAAAGACAAATAACAACAATAAATTAATAATACATACATTGTCCTCAGCTACTTTATGAGCAATGATCGTAGCACCTTGAAGAATTTCTTCTTCTGTCATTGGTCGAATACGACAAGCGACCTTGATAAAACAAATGAAATCAATCAATACAATAGAAGAAGAAATTTTTAAGATTACTTACAACAATTTGTTGTTCACCAGTTGGTAATACGAGTAAAGGTGTCCCCGCACCTCCATTTTCTTTCAATACATTAGTCATTATCTAACAGTATATGTTAACTATCCTGTATCTAATATCATGTGCAGAAAAAGAAAAATATTCTGATTCTAAAACAAAAAAGCAAGATGATGTAAGATACGCTGTTTTGTTGTTTCTCGTAGGAGTTTAGCGACGAATATTTATCAATATTAGTCACATTTTTATTTTCAATCGATAATCTCTATGTATATATACATATATATCAATAGATAGCATAGGCATGTACTTCTGAACTTTCTATCATTCATAAAATGATAATGATAATGTTCGTCATGAACTTAAAATTTGTTCTGACGTACTCTTTCACATACATTCTCGCTTACGATTCTTACCTTTATCTTCTTCTATTTTGTTCCGTTCGGTTCTGAGTAAGCATAGAGAAAACGAGAAAAAAAAAGAAAATGAAAAAAAAAAAGAGAAAAATAGAGCGTAAGAGAACTTTCTTTCAACCCAAACAAATGCACACACGGAAAAACAATTAAATTAAAAAAAAAAGAAAAAGAAAAAAAAAGCCATTGCCATATTCTCTCTTTTTCTTTCGAACATCAGAATCATTATTATTGCATTGTTGGAAAATTGAAGAAAAAAAGAGAATTTTGTAATATGTTTATTGTCACCTTCTTGTCGTTGTCGATGTCGGCAACATTATAAGAGCATTAAACAGAAGAGAAAAAAAGAAAATTGAGAAGAGTATAGCTGACGTCTGACTCTACCAGCAACAACGATTTTGATTACATCTTAATTCGAAACAAATAGAAAAAGAATTTCTATGGATTCGTATGTTGTGTGTTGACTATTACTGTGCCAATGTTTTTTTCTCTTATGACAAGTGAAAATCATCTTTTAAAAGAAAACAAGTATATAAACTTGATCAGTTTTATAAACAATCGACATACAAGTTTTTTTAACTTTCAATGTTCTTGTTTTTTTTTTGTTTGTTTGTTTTTATTGTCTAGTATACCCATTACAGTATTATTAAAATCATAGATTTTTTAATAAAAAAAAAAGCATTTGATTGATCACCCTCATGAATGTTTATTGACAATCAAAATATATGAAGAAAATAAAACTCATGTTATATGCTGTTAGTAATCATGAATATATGGTGTACTATATCAAACAAAAAAAAATAGAAATCCTAATAAATATTCTTGTTTATCAACATATATTTGATGATCGAACGTCCCTGAACATATTCTTAATAATATATATTTCGAACGATAAGGACAAATCAGTGTGAAATCAAGGGAAAACAATAACATAACATCTAATAAGATTTTCTTGAAAAATAAAAAATCCAATTTTTTAATTAAAAATGATGAGAAATCAGAAAAAAAATCATATTACACAAGAATTGACGTCACATACATCTTTTTGAATATAAATTAACTACGAAATTACTTAGAAACGTTAATCTAATGATTAATTCACCTGTCAAAAAAAAAAAAAAATAGAAAACATTACTGTTCATCATACCGTATGAATAGAGATGTACTCAACCAATGAACTGAACTCGCCACTGATAATTGTTAAAATTTTTGAAATATTCAAGTCAACACTATCAGAACAAAAACATATATAATTGAGTTTGAAAAATTTATGAATCATTACATCATCCGTCGAAAACTGCTTTATCTAGTAGTGTTTGCATCAATGTGTTCTCTACGAATATTTTCTACTTCAAAAACTTCTCGGAACTAAGAAAATTTAAAAAAAATAACCCTTCAAAATTTTCAGTCGACGTCGTTGAAGCTTGAGATATACTTATGTGCTGTCACTACCGATCTATACATCGACTTACATCTCTATTCATCAATTTATTTCAATAAAAATAGTATCGATAAGAGTCCTTCACACACTAGAAGAAAATTATTTCTGATAAGAAGTCAAGAGTCTTACTTGATTTGTTATGAAGTTGATAAGAAATGAGTAAAACTTTACACGCAATCTATACGGCTGATTAATTTCTTTTTGTATTCATTATACACATCAAACTATTAATATAGATTGATTTGACATTAATGTATTTATCCATCACTGATGATAATAATTTAAAATGATACAAACCGATTCTACTATTCCAGCGTGTTGTCAACATACTCTCGTTTTTGGAAGTTAATAATAATGTAACTGATATGTAAAGAAAATATCCTCTCATGATTTCTTCATCATGCTACATTGTAAACATTAATAATGATGACTGTTGGAGATTGTTCGAGAAGTTTTTTTTAATGCTTGCGATTCAGTATAAGAAATATAATAATTCATAGGCCAAACAAAACTTATATTATTGGCTGATTTTATTAATTTACATAGGGGAAACATCAATAGTTTTCCATCTTATTTTTAGCATAAATTAATTTTTTTTTCCTTCGTCAAACTGATGTCCGACAAATACAAACTCTATTTCATCAAAATAGATTTTTAGATTGTTCTGTTTTTTTCATCTCAATACAACTTCAAGATAAATGTTTGTTAAAAATAACCACTAACATGGAAAGAAACTGAAGTATTATAGAACTATGCTTCAGTGCAACTTATGTATCGTAAAATGAAATATCTGAGACAACCTAATAACAGGTCATCTTGTCTCTACTACCCTCGACAATATAATAAAAATAGTTCTTTTATTTTTCTTTTAGTCAATTTCATACATGCAAATATTTTCTTTTCTTTATATGCATAAGAACAAACAATAAACAAAACAAAAAATACAAGTAACATATAAGAATACATAAACAACTTTTTATCTAATTTATCTCAAAATCATATAAAAAAATAGCAAAACAATATTTAATTCAGTTAGTTAAAGATTTGATCTATATTCAATTTTACCAGGAATTGTTGTATAAGCTGTAGGACGTGGTGGAACAGGTGGAGGTTTCTTTAATATATTATTATTGTTATTATTATACTTTTTATTTATTGGACTAGATGATAGATGTTTTTCTTGAATTTTAGTTGTTTCAATAAAATCATTAACACTAAGAGGTAATGAATGTTGTCGATGTAAATGATTAACACGTTTGCACCAATACCATAAACCAATACTAATGAGAAATATTACAAAAATCAAGCCTAATGCTAATAAAATAATCAAGTTCCAATCGAATTCCCATGAAAAACTATTTTTATTTGATGACGAAATCAATAATGATTTATTCGTTGAACTTGAATAATGAGAAAAACAAACAAAATGATTATTCGTTTTGTTAATTTTTATTTCTACATACTTTGTATTATTATTATCATCGAATAATACAAACAACGGTGTTGTTGTCATTGTATTATTTGTTAGATTGATATGAGTTAATGGCATACTTTTAGAAAAATCTTGTTCGTCATTAACGTTTTCTCGAATAAAACGCATCGTTTTATTTAAAATGAAATGATGTTTGTACAAATTTGATAAAACATTAGCGTTTAGAGATACAAGCACGTGTTGATTTTTCTTCGCATGCTGCCTGAACGATCAAATATCGTACATATCATATGATTCTTTATATTTTTCGAATAACAATTTTATTTATACTTGTTAGATGTAAAAGAAAAACAAAACACACGGTAAAAACAAAAATATCCGGCATCATGCTCGTATAACAAAACAACAAATAACTTTGTATATTCGCTAGATTAAAATACCTGAAAAATTTTAAATAAAAAAAATAAAATATCTCAACTAACTATATTCTGTTGAATTTTATAACAAAATGCTCGTGCAGCATTAAAGCGATTATTATAACACTTTTGTAATTCGACATAAAATGCTTCTCGAGCATCATAATCATTCAATCCAACCATTAATGTTTCATATAATTGTTCATATTTTTCTTCTCCTAATGGTTTAAAACGATCTTTATGTACACGTAGAGCATTAAAACAAGACCACAGGTGTTCTTTTATTGATTCCCACAATCGTGAAATGATTTCACCGTCATTTTCACAATTGATCATTGTTAAAGAAAAGTTTATTTTTAATTTATTGTTTTTTCGTTGATTAACTAAAAAAGTTCTTACGAATAAAAATTTCTTCACTAAATGGTGAATGTGGTATATCCATAAAAAGTCCATGTAATCGTTCAAATTTTGTCTTTTGACCGAATGCACAACCAAAATCAATATGTAGTATTTTACCATCATCAATGAGCATGATATTATCGCCTATAGAGAGAGTTTAAGAAAAATATTGTTAAGATATACTTAACGAGCAGTGTTTATTTTACTCTTGAAGTGCAAAAAAAGATTTTATGTAAATTCTTGTTAAATGTTTATTTTTGTTTTTAATCAAGCAAGCATTTTTAGTAACTAAGTGGTATGACCTTTCCATTTGACATAAACAAAACTAGTCATAGTTGTGTACCAGAACAAGTACAAAAGTAAAAGAATACATAATGAAAAGTCGTCGTTCATAACGTTCCTCATGTCTCATAGATTAGAACAGATACTGAAGTCTATATCAAGCTTTAATCGTAACAATAAGATATTATAGATGATCATACACATGATCAAAAGATTTTTTTTATTGATAAATTATTTCATCATATGTCTAATATTCGGAATTACTTCAATCTATAATAAGAACTCGTCTAGAAAAGTGCTCGTTAGAGAAATTCGACATATTTATATTGCATTAATGTCAAAGATTAGAGTAAAAATTCTCGAATGTTAATACTAGAGACCTACTTCAATCTTTTGTGACTCTACTTTGAGCTTTCGCTAAACAACTATACGTCTCTTGCGATGTAGAATATTTTATATTTATTCTAATTCGAAGTTCATCAATGTTGTTTTCTTCTGAAAGAGCTACTTGAATAAAAAGAGAAATATTTTACAATGTCGATCAGCTAATTGTAAAACAATTCCAGACATAACAAAACCAAAAAATGTTGAAAATAAATTCTTTTTTCGTTCATATGATTTTTTAATAAATGTTTTTAATGGATGTGGTAACATTGAATCTTTATTTTCATCAGCTCGTTTAAATTCAAGAAATGAATATGCATTATCAACATACTCAATAAGGCCTTCAGCTTAATCCACTGGAAGTACCTAAATAAAAGAAAAATTTAAGAAATAAATAATCATACTAATATATACAGTGGCTACTAAAATTATTTGATTAGAATTAGTTTCGATTTTTTTCGTTATCGTCAACACTAAGAAGGAGATGAATAGTGATTTAAGTAGAGCATTTTATTTTTACTAAAAATTTTTCAAAAGATAAAAAGGATTGCTAGTTTCTCAAAAATAGGTTCTGTGAAAGCCATATTTATCACTTTGTAGAATTTGAAATTACCATGCAGTTTGAATTACCGAGAACAATAGAGCGAACTATTTTTCTATCAACTGAATGCTTTCTAGCTTTTTCCAACTTTTTTTTCACTAAATTACATAAGCTTGACGCAAGATAAAAATGAAGTTTCTATACGATATAACAACGAAATAAACGACTTTCGTTACTTTGCGTAAAGTTTATGTATTTTAACGAAAAAAAATTGAAGAAATCTGAAAGACATTGTATTTTGTAGAGAATAGTTTACTCTATCATTCTAGATAATTCAAACTGCATTATACTTGCAAGATAAATTTCTTTTTTTTACGGCTTTCGTGATACTTTTAAGTTTTTAATGGAAGATAGTAGAAAATGCGGTGATCTTTTATTTTGTTCAGAATTTTGTGCCCTTTAGAATGGTACAGTTAAAAAATAGTTTCTTGACACCTAAAAACTACCTTGCTCAGTTTTACGAAACCTTGTCATCATAGTTCGTCTTTGAAATCTTGGTACAGAATTGATTAGATAGAAAACTTCATTGGCTAATAAAGTCACTATCTGGATTTGAGCGAATTACTTAATATTATAGAAAAACAACAAAAAATACATTCTTCTTCAACTTTTTTTCGATGCGTGTCATATCTTACTTCATATAGAATAACTTCGGCGTCAACATGTTCTTCTTTAAATATATGATTCATTTCTTTCATAACAGCAACACACAGTGCATCTTATAATAAATCATCGCCATGTTTATAAATACAAGTAAAAAATTTTCTTTTTTTGAAATATTTTCAAAAACAGAGAAAAAAAGCAATAGCTGATGTTTTTGTATTTCCTTCACAATCAACAACAGTAAATTTTAATGGTTTTCCTTTTGATGGTATAAATGATCCATCATGTAATTCAATAACCATGAAATCTGGTGATGTTGGTAATAAAAATGGTACAGGTGTTTGTGTTAAATCGGGTATTTTACTATCAGAAGATTTGACCATTTGACAAAGTATTGCAATAGCATCACGTGCAATACATACAGGTGCATAATTATCCAATATATATTGACATAGTTTTGTATGCTTATGATAATGACATGTCCAATATAAACGACTACAATCAGCATCTGAAAGTGTTGTTAATACTTGAAGTAAAGCACGATTACAATGTTCAAATAAACTCTATAGAAAAAATGGATCATGAACATTAACAATATTTGTTAAATCATGAGTTTCTTCTTCATCTTTTATTCTATTAATATTATGAATCGGAACAATTAAATCAAAAGTAGGCACATTGGTTGTATACAGATCGTAATAAACTAATCTGACTTAAATAAAAAAAAAACAATGGAAATTTTAAAATAACTTTTCTATTAAACATATTCTTAATTTTTTTAAATTTATTAGAAAAATCTCAATTAAAAAAAAACTGGAATATCACAATTTTTTTTGCTTTTTGAAATACAAATTTAGACAAGAATGAAAACAAAACACCAAACAGTATTAATTATTTTTTTGAAAATATTAGTTTCATTTAAAGATATGTAAAAGTAAAATAAAATTTTATTTTTAATTTGTACGTTGTCGTTTAACTGTTGGTTCTGTTGCACGCAAAATATCCTGTCGACATATAGGACATTTAGTTAATTCCTCTTCTTGTTTGTTAGTACAATCATTACATAAACATTTATGACCACATGGTAACAAAATTACTGAACTGTTGTTTGTTAAACAAATACAACAGACATCGCCACTAGAAGCAGTAGTAGCTGCAGGTATTGCATCACCAGTAATAACATCAGATAGTTTTCGAACAAGTTCTTCTGTTTTCAAGTTTCCTTTAATACTATGTTGTTTTGCTAGAGTTTGTAAATCTCGACGAGGTAATGTTTCAAGTGAAGGAAGTGTCTTTTTTTCTGTAAGAGTAGGATCAATAGTTGTAGTAGTTGCAACTGCAGTCATTGTTGTAGCTACAACTGGTGGTGGTGTAAGAAGATTTTCATTCAAAGGTATATCATCTTGTTGAGCAATATCTAATAAATGTTTATATTCTTCTTCATTTAATGATTTATCATCAATAATAGTTATTTCTTTGTGAAAATATTCTACTAAACGTGGATATTGTCGTCGCATTGATTGATATTCATCAATAATATCAGGTGTTGCTGATGCTTGACGTAATTTTAAATAACGTTTCATAAATGATGTATAACGTACAAGTAAAATAGCTTTACGTATACCAGAATGTGTAAAAGAATCAATATCATTTGAAAATTCAAATTCTTGTTCATTTGTTTGTCGTATACCAGATATCGTATCCCATGATGTATTTATTTTAAATTTTTCTTTATTTTCATCTTTTTTCATATCGATGATTTTAAATAAAAGACATCCACCACGTACTTCATTTTTATCATTCATTGGTGATGGAAATTCAGTTATTAATTTAATTGATTGACGGGTTTTAATCGGATCTTGTAATTGATGTACTTCAGGTGATCCATATCCTTGTTCAATTGTATAACGTTCACCTAATAATAATAATTCAATATTAAATCCTATTGGTGTAACTGTATAATGAAATTCAGTATTCATTAATTCATCAAATGTTCGAGCATTTCGAACATTACAATAATTACAACCAATTGTTCGTGATACTGATTGAATAACTTCAGCACCTAAATCAAGACCAACACCAACAACTGTTGACCAAATTGTATGGGTTTGTGCATTATCTTGAATACGTTTTAAAAATGTTTGACCATCAGTTGTTGATACTTCCATATCGGTCAGGAAAAAAATTCGACGACTAATCATATTGTTATCATCTTTCATACCTTTTTTATCTGTTTCTGAATTATATAAATCACTAGCAACTTCAATAGCTCGACTAATATTAGTACCGCCATTAGCGCGTAATTTAAGAATATTTTCTTCTAACTGTGTTCTACTAATTGATGACATTCTTTCCATTGGTTGTAACACTGTTGCAGCATGATTAAAAAGTACAATACCAAGTGCATCATCAGGTGAAAGTTGTTTAAGAAGTGTTAATAATGATTGTTGTGCTATTTGTAATTTTGTTTTACCGGGTTCACCTTCGAATTTATCAGACATTGAACCTGATATATCAAGGGTTATAACAAGATGAAGTCGAGCACGATGTGTACGAATACCTGGACCATCAAGACAACTATTCAAATTAACACTGAGCCAATGTTCAATATTTTTATTTTCATTTTCTAATGGATTAATTGTCGTAGCAATACCAAATGATGGCATAAATAAGTCTGTTGTTGTTGGTTGTGCCGTAAAATGATGAGCATAAAATGAACTTTCATAACTAACATCATATGTTACATCAACAGGAGCTGTTGCTTCAATTTCAGCTTCAGGTATTTCTGGTTTACCTTGCTGTTTAGCTTCAGCCTGTTTTCGTTTAGCATATGTTTGAAATACAGCAGATTGACGAGCTGCTTTACCACCTGTTGATTTGCGAGCTGTTTGCTTGGTGCGAGCCATCGAGATTGAAGTAGAACGCGAATGAAATGAAACATAGGTAAAATACGATCTATTTATCTATGAGTCGAGGGAGTGTACGTTCTCTTGCTGGAATGTAATTGCAACATGTTTGATCAATCTGCTCAACGAGAAAGAAATGACGAATAACTTTATTCCAACCGGCCGAACAAGAGGATCTTTTCTTCATCGGTCCTTTGTGGAGGTAACAGATTGACAACAGAAACGTTAAAGGAAAGCAAGCATCATATTGATTAGTGAGAATATGATTCATTAAATACCAACTAAACTTGTTTAATGGTTCGTGAAAGTGCGTGAGCGTTAGTTGACAGAATGCAAAAAAAACAAAAACAAAATGCTTCGACAGTGTCGACTACAACTCACATCACATGGTAATGTAATATGTGACTGAGTAAGCATGAGTGTATGTTGAGTCCATCAATCCATATTATATCCATTTTATATGCATCACAGAGAAAATAATCAACAGTTGTCGTTAGTTGCCTACAATCTTCTTTATATTATTTATGGCATGGTTTATAGAAATTTAAGAAACATGACAAGATGTCCTTATTTGGTGACTTGGTTATAAATTTTTTTTCTTCTGTATTACTAGATTGATTTTTATCGAATTCAAATAAATTTCACCGCATACTTTTCCTGAATAAAATGTAAAAAGATATTTGTGAGCTAGTCAAACGTTTTTGAAAAATAGATAATACAAGATCTTGAAATTGTAACAAAAGGATTGGTTTTATTGATATTGTTTTAACAATGTCAAGAATTATTCAAATCGAAGAATGTCATTGAAATATCATTCAAAATAAATTAGTATATTCCTCTAGAATATTCATGTTAGTATAAAATTGACCTACACTATTCTATGAAAAATACGAGAAATTTTACAAATCAAATTGTGAACTGTTCGATATAATTTACCTATAACATTTACGTTCGTTGAAAAAACTATTCAAATATTAATTTTTCATTTTTCTTAGATCATTTGATATTTGTTACTGGCTTATTTATAAGAATGGCCAGTTTAGAATCTTATTGTAAATTTAGAGAAATAATTTTCTGAATATAAACTCGTGCAGATGTTGTGAATATGATTGAAACCTAATCGTAGCTAGTCATAAAGTCTTATTAATTCAATAAGATCGAGGAAAACCTCTAAATACTACTACTTACCAATATTTTTATCTCTTCTTTAAATAACCTAACGTCTGTGCCAATAGAATCTATGCCAACATACAAACGTTACGGTTTCAATGGACGTGATCGTCCTAAAGTAGCATGTTTATATTTTACTGATGCTGGTAAAAGACTCGAGCCTATTCATAATGCAAGTAATGAATCATCATTAGAGTCCTGCATCGAACTCCAAAACCCGATCTCAACTCTATAGGACTCTAGAATCAGTCCACGTAAGTCGCAATTGACTACACAAAGTATGTCGTCAATTTAGATTCACAGATTTCGCTCAGTTTTAGATATGTTGGAGAGCGAAGAGTTTTATGAAATTTGATGCAATCCATTTTCAACGATATTCAATCTTCGATTTTTCATAAAGTTTGTACGGACAGCCCTAAAGACAGCAACTTCTTCTGTAGACTTTATATGTCAATAACGGGTGATCTCATTGAGTTGAAATGATTTCTAGATTTATGTACCAGTAAACTGTACCTAGAAGACTTTCGGCTAAAAATATTGCACCTATGATATTCTATGGATCTCACCGAAGTATCCAAAAACCCCTATTTCAGGCGATTCTGAGATCCTATTTCTTATGATTGGAGCATGATTTCAAGCTAAAAGTTTTATTGCCGCCAGAACTAGTCAAGATGTATCTTTGAGAACAATTCCAGTCTCCTATCAGCTAGTACTTCTCCAGGAGATTCTTCTCAAAAGTAGATTTTCAATAAAAATCGTGTTCTTCAGAGGCTGCTTTCTCCCAAGTAATAGAATAGTCTTTATGTGGATATTTGAAAGTTAGAAGTATTCTGTGTGATCTACAGTCGCATATAAAAGTCAGCGTTGTACCTGTAAGAAGAATTAAGAACAAGAGTGGTGTTTAGAGCCAACACAGGTGTTGTGTCTGAATAGTAATCCTTACTTTGGGATTGTAAATGTTTGACACGAGCAGGATATCTTGCTAGTGCTCAACGCAGTGTGCTTCATTCCTTCTCCATGGGTTTCTATTGCATAAAAATAACGAGTTATTGACTTTCAATGATGGTCTATCCAATGCAATATGTCTCAGCTCACGATTGTACGCTTCGAACTCGACGATTTCCACAAAGCTGAAGTTTTGTGACCCGAAATCATTGATATACCGAATTTATTAAGAGCCAATATGTGTCCGATTCTAATTTCTTACTACTATGCAACTGGTTTTGCATGAGTAATTACTTTTAGGATCAATCATTGATGTCAAAATGAACGTTATTCAGCTGTATTGACTATATTGTGCATCCATGTTTCACAATATCAATTGTGAGTTCTAAATGGAGAACACTTTGAAACAAGCCTTACAGCTGTTATGTATCTAATTAGAGTCATAAGCACCAGCTATTATCGTTCATTAAAACGCCAGACTAAGGATTAGCACTCAGATGTACCGCTCGTTTTGACTCTACAGATCAGCCTTTTTCTCAGATGTTCTTAGAGATCCCACGTTGTCATTTATATGAGGTTGTAGATCATATAAAGCACTTCTAATTTCTAAGTATTCACACCAAAACTGCTCTATTTCTTGGAAGAAAGCACCTTTTCAAACTCACGATTTTTATCACAAATCTACTTTTGAGAAGAATCTCTTGCAGAAGTACAACCTGATAAGAGACGAATAACTTTTCTTAGAGAGAGAAATATTGACTACTTGTAGTGGGAATAAATATTTCAGCTTGAAATCATGCTTCAACCCTGAGAAATCGGTTCTCAAAACCGTCTACAATAGTGATTACTCTTTCTATTGTGAGATCTATAAAATATCATCAGAAGTTTGTTTTCAAAGTACAACTAACTGGTACATAGGGTCACAAACAATTTCAATCGCATGAGACTACCCATTATTAGCATATAGAGTGTTCAGAAGAACATTTTTGGAAGTTGCTTTTTTTAGGGCTGTCCGTTAAAACTTTATTAAAAATCGAAGATTCAATATTGTTGAAAACAGATTGTGACAAATTTCATGAAACTCTTCACTCTCCAACATATCTTAAATATAGAATATACTTTGCGTTTTCAGTCGTGACTTACTTGGACTAACTCGTATGTGATCTTCTCTTGCACTTCTTTTCGTGAACGAATTTTGAGTTTGATGAAAGAGCCTGACACTATGTGTCTTTGTGAAGCTTTTTGTATTAATTAAACTATACATACTTTGTATTATTTTTCTGTATTACAAAATACTTTTGAAAATAAAGCATGACTGTATGAACAGAAAGCGAATAGAGCATTTTGTACCAGCACATTAACATAATAGCCATAAAGTAGGGATTTTAAAGTTTTTAATCTAAGAACTTCAATTAAAGTTCAAATAGATTGTCGTTAACGTCAGATGCCAATACCATTGCTGCATGGTGGAAAATAATTTTTGAGCCCAGCACTAGCATGAATATCTATTTACCACAATCTCAGCGGTCAATAAGTTGGTGCATCATACAGTGCAACTGTGGAATTGTTTGAGTTTATATGGATGGATAGAATGGATGAGAGTTGGTCTTACATTCACCCACTGTGAAATAAATTTATCATATATTCATAGATTCTTGCATTCTTTGTTGATTAGACTGTAGATGTGTATACTACTATATCCAAGTGGCAGGGTTAGGAGCTTCGTTTTGTATCGAAACAATCCTATAATTCGTTTAATTATTATAAGCCTTTTAGAAATTATTTTATATGTAATTTCTGTACACTACTGAATTAAATCTCAACCTATATACCCGAATACCCACGTAAGATAATCAGGGCTACCGGTTTGTGTCCAAATGACTTCATGATTCCTTATACCATTATACCTGTTATACATTTTGAGGATTGGTGGATGGGTGTGATGGGTAAAGAAAGGAGTCACAGTCGCCCATCCACACATTGATATTCATTTACTGACACTTGCAGTAGTGTCCTACGGTAAAAATTCTTCTCCATTCCAGTTTAAGTATTCATGTTATTGCGTTTTCATTCCCATAAAGCTTTCCGAAATTCTTTGTCCTGCTTCATTTTTTATATTTCTGAAAAAGTACTATTACTATACACACTAGCCTCACTAGATGACGGATGAACAGTGTCGATTGGATAACACTAAAATAGTGGCACTGACGTCATTGATATTGAAATCCACTGTACCAGTGGAACACTGACACTGAGATTCACTAGATCATGGATACTATAACATTGACACTCATTATGAGCAATAACTCATTGACACAGACTCGTAGTAAATCACTGAGGTTTTGACTCTCACAGAGTCAGTAGGATTTCGTACTTTTCATTTTAATTAGCAATGCAAACAACTAAAATGAGCACTTCTATATTTCCGAAAAACACTAAACATCCGAATAGCCTATAGTTTTGCATGTTCATTCGAATTTTTCAGCCCATCACTTGTAGTCTGTCAATGTGTATGCCAGGATGTGGGTGCGAGTGTGGGTGTGGGTGTAAGCTTGTTGGGTGCTAGTGTGCGTGTAGGCGTATGCGGTATGTTCGTATCTTTTTTGCGTTGATCGGCATCCACAGCTATGTCCACGCCCATGTCATCCTACTCAGCACTAAGTCGTCCAGCTCAGCACTACGCCATCCGGCTCAGCACTACGCCGTCCTGCTCAGCACCACGTCGTCCTGTTCAGCACTACGATATCTAGCAATTAATTAAAAAAATTAAATTTTTTTAGGGGTCAATGAGGTCATTGTAAGGATGGGCCGAAATTCATGTAACCCATCTTATCTCGTGCTTTTTTTTATTGACTCAGACATTCTTCCAATGACAAATCGTTTTTGTACGCTGTTAGCTACAAAAAATTACCAAGTATGACAGCATATTCATGTTAAATTACGCAACTGTCACGTTATCTTACGTTCTGAAGTGACTATAAAACGTCTCATTATTGTTTTTCTTTTGAAACAACAAGAAATATGATTGTCAGTCAGTCATACGCCGGACCAGTATTCAAGTAGATACATTTTCAATAGTGTGCCTCGTTTTCAGACGACGCGTCGATTTATTTGGTCATCTTACCAACATTTTCACCAACATCTTCCTATAACGATATGAATTGTCCCCAATATCATGACTCAAGTGAATTTCAAAATGTCCACAATGTATCTCTGTTCGAAGAGCATGTGATAACGTGGCTTGATACACAAAAGATGAATCAGCTTTTGTGGCTGAGTCACTGGCAAAAATATGAAACACATTGTTTAGAAATAGATCCCACTGCAATATAAGTATTAACTTGATGATCTTATCTCTCAGCTGAAGAAAAACAATTTTGCGCCTTTTTCACACCTGTTAGAGAATCAAATTTTTACATGAAAGCCCTCCAGTCGAGTTTTTTAATATTGAAGGATACTACTAAATCTCCTCTTTTAGAATCAATATCCACTTCCGTTAGACACTCTATTCTCATACAGTTTTCTCGGAGTTTCATCTAAACGATATGTTTTTCTCAAATATTGCTGGAAATGTCCTCATGATTCCTGTCGCTAATGTGTCTGCAGATTTCACATAACCTTCTATCTATTTGCTATGATCAGTTCTGATTTGCTTTATTGTTTACTTCTCAAAGCTGGAGGACGTAAACACCTACGAAGGAATGGGAGTACCCTCTAATGCTGGAAATTTGTCGTTGTTTCGCTTGCTGAGAGCAAAGCATGACTGTCTTTGACTAATTTTTCCTAAATGGTTTTCTTTTAAATCCCTACCTCCCCCCGCTCCGTTAGGTTTTGGTTATGGATAGTTACCTCGAAGCTCTCTCATACCGTAATACGAAAGGGTATAACTGTATGGATGTGGATGTGAGCGTCTACTATGAGTAGACCTACCCACAACCCATCCTCCACAGGATCTAGTCAAGTATCTATGGAAAGCTGAAGTAAAAGCTCTTGAACATGAAATTTTATTCATATTTAACTACTGGGATCATTAGAGTACCTGATAAATTTTAGCTAAAACGGGAGCATACTTATTGAAGATTTGAACGTATAAGATAAAAGGAATCTGTGCTGCGTTTTGTGACATATTATCAAGCTTTAAACATTCAATGTCTCGAGAGGAATTTACTCATTTGAAGGTAAATTTATAGAACAATTTAAAAGCTCTCAGATTCATATATGAGAACAATTTCAAGTCTAACTTCTACAATTCCGTTTCCCACAAACCACTAGTCCGATATCCAAATTATTCGGTAAAACCATCATTACTTTTCCTTAAATCGACATGTACATGCATCTTTTTAAGTCTAAACTTTTCTCATCAAATTCTAATTATGGAATAAACAAGAGATCATTTTTCTTGGAGTATTTTGAAATTTTCCCTCTTCTACTACAAAAATATGTTGATCATTTAAACATCATTCTCTTTAATATTTGTTCTTTCATTTCTAGATTTTGATTTAACGATTTACTTTTATTTGTTCACCTGAAAACAAGACAAGAATTATGAACTACACGTATATATTCAAGTATATTATCATTGGTGATAGGAGTACGCTTCAGATATTTTCAAAATATTTTTTTATGATTTTTCACTATCTCCCTTATCTTGCAGATGTGGGTAAATCATGTCTTTTACTTCAATTTGTTAATAAACGTTTTCGATCTGTGCACGACTGCACGATAGGTATAACAATTTTGAAAAACGAAATCAATATCGTCCGATATAAATATTTTTTAGGCGTTGAATTTGGTACTCGAACAGTCACTATCGATAAAATAGGAATTAAATTACAGATTTGGGATACGGTTTGTGTACGCTTGTATGTTTCATGTTACCAATGTATATCTGTAGGCCGGTCAAGAGATATTTCGTTCGATCACGCGCTCATACTATCGAGGATCAGCTGGAGTGCTTCTCGTCTATGATATCACAAAGTATTCTCAACAAATTTAGATTTTCATTAGAATTTAACTAATTCCTTAGACGAGCTACATTTGACCATTTGACAATGTGGATTAATGAGATGAGAAATCATTCGACTTCAGACATGGTCACCGTCCTCATCGGTAATAAATGGTAAGTTGTTTTAATCTGATTTCAAATCTACATGTTGATATTGTTTAAAGCGACTTATCTGATCAACGAGAAGTTCAAAAGCAAGAAGGTGAAGACTTTGCCCGTGAACATGGAATGATATTCATGGAGACGTCAGCAAAAACAGTCGTTAATGTCGAAGAAGTAAAATCTTGATGAAGTTTTCACTTAGAAAATGTGCCATCTTTTATTCTAATTCAGGCATTTATCAAGACAGCTTGTGAAATTTGCAATAAAATTAAGAAAGGCGGTTTTGATCTCACAAATGAAGTGAGTGTTTGATCTTGTTGAATTTTGGTATTTGATATTCTCGTTGATTCAATTTAGATGTGTGGCATAAAAGTTTGTCGCAAACAGCCGATTGAAGATCCAGATACTAGTGGTAATCCAAATTCAAATCGAAGTAGTGCTTGTTGTATGAAAAATTGACATACATGATAACATATATAGAACACTCAAGTACTCATTTTCTTTGCATGGGTATCTCTGTTTATGCATCTATTATCTTTTTAATAACATGTACTGAATTTTTGCTCAGATACAGGGTACAGAATTAAAACATAGGATGCGTGCGTAGGTCTGGGATGGGTGCGAATGTGTGGGTGTGGCGATTGTTGAAGCTTTGGGTGAAGTGAATACTAATCCACCCACACACGTATCGATATTCTGAATGTGTGTTTTATTGACTCGGTATTGAATTTATTTTATTTTTCTTCGTTTTTTCTTTCAATTTAAGTATGTATGTATTCAGGATACATGAAGACAGACAGGAAAAGACAGTGTGGTGTGTGTTGAAATATTCAACATGAAAAATATTTCTTGCTAACGTACAAAGGTCTAACGCAAAAACGATTTTAATCATACATCAAATATCGTCTTTTCGTGTCATCAATTTGCTTTCAAAAAAATGAAACATGAATGGTCAACAATATTTTTGGCAACCTGCTAACAACAAGTGAAAGAGAACGGTCGTAAGTGATCACCCTAATAGTAATTGCGTGAACGCTCTTTTAAATAATCTTCAAGTGTTAGTTACATTTGTTATGTGCCTTATGATAAAGGATTTTTGTCTTTCGCAAAATGGCTGATAAATCACTCGATAGAATTTTATTCGCTGACCACGAATGTACTATTAACTTGTAATCAACATTAAAACTTGCACGAAGACAAATCATTTTCTTTAAAAACAATAGCTATTAAAAAGGGTATTACTGGAAAGCAATTATTATCGAATGATATTTTTGAGAAAAAATTTCAGCCGAAACGATAGTGCATATCAAAGCTGGTGGCTTTATTAAGTTGTTTTTGAATTGGACAAGTGTTTTATATATTATTATTTAGATAATGTTAGCGTAAACTTTCATACTTACAATTCGTTTATCTACTACCAGATTTAATTCTTGAAACTATTCCAAAACTATATGTTAAAAATTGATCATCTTGATTTCGGATTTAAGAACGACAGTTCAAAGTGTTATCACCCTTGGAAGAACGGCTTACAATTAGCAACCATTTACACACAGGATACATGATCATAAAGACTCTGGTCGGTCTCCGAAAGTAAGATTATTTATCGCAAAGCTAAATCATATTCTTTTGTGGGATCGTGCATGATGTTAAAATATTATATCAAAATATAACATTAGATCGGTGGCAGATTTCGACACATATCCTGCGGAGTCTTGCTCTTCATCTACTTATATTTATTTTATAAATATAAAAAATTCATTTTTCTTTTAGTTTCTAAAATAATATCAAATTCACACCTTGTCATGGCCTGACACTGTTATCAGACCATTGACTGGGTCGCCAGTTATACATTAGATTGAGATAACAGTTTTCAATCATTTCTGTCACGTCACACTGTTTTTCTTATTTCCTTCGTCTTCATGTATGACGCTTTGTTTTATTCTGCCTTCGCAACTCTGAATGTCACAGTCAACAGTGCCGTTCTGTGGCTAGGTTATTTTTACATTTATTCGATGTGGATTAGTCTCAAGGTTTTTCTTTTTCAAGTTGTGTGAGTGTTGTGTCTTACCGAACTGATCAAAATCAAAGCAACCGAATCGAGTACTAACACTCCTTTAGATTAAATATGTATTTTATATTAAATTAGCATTTTTTTTTCCTTTTTTTCGTTCTTTTGAATACACATTCACTCATTCTACTCCTTTCTTTGCTAAAGGATTGAGCAAGAATAACTATCAGTCAGTATAATTTTCAAAAGAGACACATTTGTAATTATTCCAGATTAAAAAAAGGACACAAAATTTTTATAATTTATATTTTTTACTTGTAATGCACCGACGGACGGGTTCATGTAATCATTTGTCATGTGTATATAAAAGAAATCATCAAGGTTAGTTTCGTCTCTATATGAAGTTCTATGGCAGATATTTTAAAAGTATTCGAAGAATTTATAAAAACTGAATCGTCATTACTCAATGACGCTAATTTGAATTTTCATGGATCGCAATCAGTACTACCTAACAAAATTATTCAACAATTGCATCGATTTGTTATTGATTTTACAAATTTATCAAATAATACATTTTCAAGATTATTTTTTTCAGAGCGAAAAGATGCATCATCTTTTTTACCGTCGAGATTCTTGACAGAATTTAATGGTTATGATGCAACACTTGATCCACTGCCTTCTAATCATGATCCTGGGTATAATAAATCTGTGAAGATACATGATAAACAACAAGAGTCAGTATTTCTTGACCAAAAACAACGTGAATCACGTGAACAAGAAGAAATGTTAATAAAAAATAGTTGTAACTCCGAATGCTTTAATTAAAATTAACCAAGTTGCATCGTATTTATGGAGTCATCCGTATAAAAATAATGAAAAATGTGAACAATATGAATATAATTATCTAAAAGCTGTCGGCTTATTAAATATGAAGATTGTATATGTTAATATTAAAAAACAATCTATTCAAGTGTCATCTTTTCAACGGGATGATGGCGAATACAAGCGAAGAAAAACGATGTTTACTTTGAAAGAATCGTTGTTAATGGATCATTATAATTTCGCTGATTTTGAAGAAATTATTAAATCAGTTGATGAAAACAGAGCATGCTCAACAATTATTTGTCAATGACTTGATGTTTTAATTCACTTTGCACACCATTATAGTGATTTATTTTATAATAAATTTACCACGAGTCGGCTTGTCGAACGTATGTTGACTTCAATGTATAAAAGATTTTTGTGTCGAACAATGAAAAGTTGTTGTTTTCAACCAATCGCACGCTTGTTTGTTGGCTCATTTTCACTTTATTGTGGTGAATATCGATGTGACGATAGTTACCCTGATCAAGTATCTTCTTGACTGAAATCATATGTTTATTGTTATCGAAAATTTATAATTGATCATATTAAATTTATTGAACAATGAGATAATGCTACATTATATTGTATAACTGCATTAATTAGTTGCATTACAAAATGTAAATGGAAAATGGTCACTGGAAAAGACTTTATGATTTTGCATAACAAAGAATTTTTAAATTGTTTACTAGATATCCTAAATTATAAACAATTTCATAATTGTATACAATCGACATGGACAAATTCTGAAACAAAACTAATCGATTTAATATTTGAACATTTATTAGAAGTGACAAATATCGATAATCATTTATCAAATCCTTAATCTTGTCTTGAAACAATATTTTTTTCTCCGCTCTACAAATCTAGCGTTCATTACATTTTCGTTATTGATTGAAGAAAAATACGCATCAAATACTGATCTCACCATTAACATTATTCGATTATTAGCAAATATATTAAATGATAGTATCATCACTGACTTGAATATTGTTGAACTATTAGCATATTTTTATTTGAACATGACTGAACAACCCGAAACATAGAACTCAAATAAATTATATTTTCATTTCTACATGACTTTAGTTAAATTAGTCGAAAATTTATCTGTACAAAATGTTCTAATCAATTTAGATCATATTATACACTTTTTCGTGACTAAAATCGAAATAGACTGTCAGTTAATTTATGATATTAAATGGATATTATCATTTCATCCATTTATACAAAAAAAAATCAAAGAAAATCGTCAAAATATTTTACAAATCTTAAGAGATTACGCTACAAAGTTGTCATAATATCAAGGGAAAGAGAAAGAAAAAAAAACTATATCAAGCATTATGGGGTATGTTTTGGAATTTAGGAGATCATCATGGAATAAGTACTATTGAACCTGTCCATGACGATCATGTTGACAATCTATTTGATAATAATATGGAAATTAAATATGAAATAAATTATTGTATATTAAATTATTGTTATCAAGATATAAAATTTTGTAAATTACTTAATGATCAATTAGCATCAAATGATTATCGAACTTGAATAGATGACTCTTATCAAAATGATTTAGTTATAACGATGACAAAAGTAACAGAAAAGGTTAACTGTATAATCGCGGTTATAAGTGAATATTATGAACGTAGTACAGCTTGTCGTGTATGTTTACAGTAGGGATTTAAAAAAACAACTTCACAATATACCAATTAATATACAAAAATATTTTCATATAACTAGTAAATGACTTTTAGATATTCTTTCATCTTTAAAAATATCAATTATTGATTTTAATGAACACAAATATGAAAATACAATTCAATTGTTAATAGCAGAAATAAAAAGGAGAGATAATGTTGACGGCAATATAATATATCAACCAGCAGCAAACACATCATGTATAACTGAAACACATGTATTTTCTGATAATACAGATTTATACATTGCATGTAAAAATAATGATATTGATAGTGTTACATTTTATTTGAACTAAATGACAATTGAACAAATAAATCGAATTGTTGAATCAACACTAAATGGTAGTACTTCATTACATGTTGCTGTATATTATGATCATAATGAAATCGTTAAATTACTGTTATAACATGGTGCATCTCGTTCAATACGTAATCGAAACGGTTTAACAGCATATGAGGAAGCTAGAACTGAGAAAACAAAAGAATTGTTTCGACGAATCAATGATGGTGACAGATTTTGAGGTGATTTAAAAAATACAGATGTCCTTGAATGGGTACTTAGCTCTCAAGAACCAATTTTAAGTCGTTCTCAATTTCGGCATGAACTAACGCAAATACCTCAATCATCAACAATTCAAGATAAATTCATAAAAATTCGTACAACATATATACCATCATTAAACGAACTTTCGTCAAAACATAAAACAATAATCGATCATTTTTTTCTTTCAGGCATTGCCGAAAATAATCTAATTTATTTCTTAAAAGCATATGCAAGTCTAACAAATTTTTATCTAATTCTAAATAAACATTTAGCAATTTATTCATTAGAATATTTTGATCCATTACTTCGAAAATCGATTGATTATGCATTACTCAAATGCATTATGGATATTATTTCAATATTATTAATAGCACCAGAATTTGAACAATATACTTACAGAGACAATTGCTATCGTGGTATGTTACTGACAAAAGAAGAATTATTTACATACAATATTGGATCACAAATTATGAACATGGCATTTTTATCAACTTGGAAAGAAAAGAAAAGTGGCTGCATTTTATGCAGGAGAAGGACACTCGCAAGCTTTACGTCGTACTCCTGATAAAACATTAATACAGTTTTCAACAATTTGTACTTACACAGTAAAAAATAATCGGACAGCCTTTGATAGTGAACGAGAATCTGAAGTACTAGATGAAGCCGAAATATTTATATTACCTTTTTCAATGTTCATTGTACGAAACATAAAATGACACGATTCAATGATAAATAATGATATAGCAGTTGAATTAGAATTAGAAGAATGTGAGGATCAAGAACTAAAAGACAATCTTCTCATAAAAAGACCACTAATTAAGCATAATTAAAGTATATAACTAGTCTATTTGACTATTTCTAATAACTATTTGCTCTTCGTGCGTGTGGATGTATTTGTATCAGATTTTTTAGTAAGCAAGCAATCATAAGATGATCATGTTTTTGTTTCAATCGATGGTGTTGAGTTTGCTGGATGAGTGGTATTTGTGCAGATATGTTTATTTTTTGTGGTGTGATTCCAAGTGTTGGGATCAACCAGAATCTTTTTGAATTGTTTGATTTGGTTTCAGTTTGAGCTTACTTGATCGAGAACAAAAGCGCACAGTATACGACTATTTAGTCTGGCACTGTTTTCAGGTAAAATGAAAAGGCTATTATGTTGAGCACAGTATTGCATTGATATTAAAGAGTTGATGGGACAATTAGTGTCGATTCTTAGAGCGAAGTTCAATAAAGTCTTTTATGAAAATTGTTTTCTTTTTGTTTCTATGTTTGTGACATTGTTTTTTTATTAAATGAAATTGTCTGGTTTTCTAATCAACATTTAGCGTGGTGGTTTCTGGTGCACAAAAACTTGATCAAGTGTTCGGTTAGTATTTACGGCAAATCTGATCTTGACATGAGTGACATCAGATTCTTGGTCTTCATGACATCGTTTTCTTCACGTACAAAATTGGCACTTGAAGGTTAAGCGTACTTTAGTCTCGAATTGGTATTCGGTATATATGATATTTGGATCTCAAGGCTTTTGTTTCTTCAATACATTCAGTATGTGTTGAGTAACATTCATTATTACTTGAAATTTTTTCTCACGTTGTGTCAGTTTATAGAGTCATTTTTGTTGCAATTCAGAGTAAACTTGAGCATTCAGACGTTTAAATACAGCTATAGCATCGTTAAGTTCGACGAAGCAATTAAAATGGGTGCGAGGTGTTGGCGTTCTCTTGACCTTCTCGTCACTCACGCCCATACTAACCAAATCCACTTACACTGACACCATCCACTCCAGCTCCTACGCCCACCGACAGCCACACTCACACTATCCAACCCATACCCGGATCACCTACTCCCGCAACCATAGCCACACCTACACACCCACACCCATAATACGACTACATAATTTGCTTGTTGTTTCCGTGCATTGTTGATGTGAAAAGCTTCTGAACATGTAACAGAAGCTGCCTTAAAAAATCGGGAAAAACTAATAAATTTTTAAAATTTCATGAGTCTTACGCCCCGTAATCAAACGCTTTCGAGACACTAAATATACAGTTTTGTGGAGTGTGTTTCGTTCTATCTTTTAACATATGAACCATGTTTATTGAGTGAATAATTTTAGAGAAAATCTCAAAATATTCCGCATGTATCATAAAAACAACTTTTTTGCAAGTTGATGGGGATGTAATCAATGTTGTCTTCATAACCTTTGAAGGTAGAAATGCAAAAAGCTGAAATTTTGGATTTAATAGTTCCTAACCATAGCTTTCTGTTTGTAACCATAAAAAGTATAGATCAAAATTTTTAAAAGTATGACGTTATTCGATTCTCGCTTAATAAAACTCTACGACATCTATAACCTAAACTGTGGAATTAATTGTCATGTTATTATCAACCAAAGAATCTGGATCGTTGATAGAAGCTAAGTAGTTTCTGGTGAAAGAATCAAGTTCTACTGTTGATTGGTCGTACGTTAAGGTTTCTATTTCATTTTCAGATGGCTTCATATATGGTGTGTCTCACAAGCATGCACGTGCCATACTTTCTGGATAATTGTAATACTTTCGCGCTAGTTTTTGACTACCTAATCGACAGTAAACATCGCCTAAATTGCCACAAATGCATGCCGTTGCAGGATGATCGAAAGGCAGAGCGATGGCGTTTATACGAAGCGCCTTTTAATAAAGTTTGATAGCTGTTTTAAATTTTCCGATTTTATAGGACACAACACCAATATTATCCCACGTGGTGGCTAAATCAGGATGATCTCGCTCTAAAGTTTACTTTCGTATATTCAGAACTTTGCGATGTAAATATAATGCTTTCTTAAGCAGACCGCATCCTTCATATACCATTCCCATATTGCTCAATGTAGTAAGCCAAAGTACATGTCTCGAATCAAGAAAATGTTTCTCCAAAACCAATGCCTTGATAAGGCTTTTCATAGCACATTTATAGTACTTCATATTAATAAAAAGCATACCTATATTATTGTAGATAGTAGCTAAAACGAGATGATGCTCGGGTTTCTTTCTTGACAAATGTTTAAGTGCCATTTTATTATAAAATAAAGCTTTTCTGTTGTTCCCTCGACAATCATGTACGGCAGCAATTCCTAAATAGTTTTCGGCAAACAATTTAGGATTGAAGGGAGATGCATTGATAATAACTTCTTGTGCTTGTCGATAGTAATTAAGAGCACTCTCATATTCACCAACCAGTTGACTTTCGAGAGCAAGATTGTTCAAAACTATATGTGTGTTGAAGTGAAGGGGAGGCAGACTTTTGTTTTGAATTTCAAGTGCTTTTTCTAAATTGGACCTAGCTAATTTATGGTCACCCATTGCACTGTAAACCCTGCTTATGTTCGAATATGTCACTGATAAACTCGGATGATCAGAGGGTAAAAGTTTCTGTTGACATTGCAGAGCCATTTTTTCACACCAGTAAAGTGCTGGCTTCAGCATAGACAAGTCGTAATAAGCCAAACCAAGATTTAAATATCCGACTGCTATCTCTTCATCCTCCTTTATTTTCTTCTTTCGCTCCATTTCAAGCGATATTTGATGATAAGTTATTGCATCCTGGTATTCACCAAGTTCGCTTGAAATTAAACCCATATGTGAGTATATTGCCGGTAAAATCAGTTTTACTGAATTTTGCAGCTCCAGTGCAATCTTACTTGAGCGCTTTGCTGCGGTCAAATCATCAAGTTTGTATTCATAATAAGATAAATATGTATAGATTTGCATTTTTTCTTCTTCTGATGGATGTTCTCTTAGAAGTAATTCACAATAGCGTTTTGCTTGAGCAGTCTGGCCCATCATGTTGAGAAGCTCGCTCATCATAATTAGAGATGATTGCTGTCCTATATGATTTTCGAGATAATACTCTCTTAACGACTCATCAACTCCACTGTTTTCAAGTAGTGTTAAATTCACCAACCAGATATCAGGCGTCAATTGTGTCACATCAACAATATGAAACACACTACCCATGCCAAACAACACTTCACCTTCATCTTTATTGAAGCTAACATCATGAATATCAGCGAATGATACCTTCCATTTGGAATCAGTTTTATTATCGACAAGAATTTCAAACAGAACGCATTCGAAGTAAGGTTTTCCAAAAGCACCAGTTTGAAAAGTAAGAGCAACATCACTCTTAGCTGACGATGAAAAAAAGTTATTAACAGAATAAACGCCACCAATATTATCTTTGAGTTGTTGAAGTTCACCAGTTGAAATGATTTGACCTCGATAAAGTGTTTGAGATAAATTGAATGACAGTTGTGTTTGATGCAATTCAAATAGTTGCTTTTGCAAATCAATAAAAAAATAGCGAAACCTAAAAATATTATCAAGATTTCGTGTTCGAAAAGCACGATTAATCAGGCGAAATAGAAAACAATCACGTGTATACCATTCAATAGCTTGATTCGGCATATAATTTAACTCAAAATCAGATATTTTTTTCTGTTCACACGCATTGTTTGAATAGCATTTTCGACATTCATCAATTAGATCTCGCTTGCTTTGTTCACTTCTTGGTAATCGTACTAAAACATCAATTAGTAATTGAAACCACAAGAAAGTGGTCTTCTCTTTGTTAACATTTTGAAATGATGTTTGATGAACGTCTTGCACTGGAAAAATATTTGCAGGTATGAAATGATGTCGAAGAAATTGAACATCTTGCTGGATTTTTTGTACTAATTCCTCTGGTCTATTAAATACGCCACGTACTTTCGGATACCCATTTGCCCTTTCGCGATGCTCACTTACATCATTACAGTATACATAAACACAAACGATCTGAGTTTGTTCATGAAATTGTGAAAGTGTACTCTTACTAATCGATCTGGATAAGATAAAGAGCACTTTATCGGCGACATCCAACGTAGCAAAATAATCCAGACATTCATCTGTATTATTGAAAACATGAAGATGATCGATCAAATTACCTAGATCCGTTTTACGGTTCAAATAATCCGGTTCGTTTAAATTATTTGTCATCAAACCATCGAGCCAAATAATATCGAATTCACATTCTACTTCCTCCATTATTGCAACGGTTACAATCAAGAGAAAAATATTGAATCTTTTACCAAGTTAACAAAAAAAGTTTATGCTTACAGAACGCAAGAAAAATGTGGCATGAGAACGTGAAAAAATGAATAAAAACGTGTTGCATGTAGCATGTCTTATGCTTAATGGAATTCTTGTGTTTACTTTTAGCAAAACTGTTGCTTGTCGATTCACACATTCGATTGTATGTGATTACTTCTCAAAATTTACTTTGAGCATAGACGCAAAGGAAGGATGAATAATTATAAGTCTGAGATACGACAGCGATGTTGGAAACCCTGTTAGCTCTTGTTTTATCCTTAATTAAGTGTAGTCAAAATAAATAATTACAGAAAAATATCTCGTACCTTTTGTTATCATTTGATTTTCATGCTTAAAATCAGGTATGTTCGCCTCATCGATATTTTCATTTCAGTTATACTTAATACGATTGAGTACATCTGCAGCTTTTTCAGAAGGTGTACAAAGTACAGAAGATTAAAATAAATTTGATGGAAATGTACTACATATAGATACTATATAATTAAGATCATCGGTTATCGAAGTACCAGGTATCATCCCAATTAAAAGATGAAGAATTAACAGAAAAAATCTACCTGTGAACAATGTCTTGTACAGACGATTAACTATCAACATATTTACTGCACATTTCTTGACATTTTTTGTGAATTTGTAAATATTTTTAAGATGCGAATGATTGGCTCTTCTATGATGCGCCCCAAAATACAATGATTTCATAGAAAAATATGACTGAATATCGAAGTACTTTTGCTTACCAAATAATCTTATGGCACAACATAAGCCAGTCACGTTTTTGTTCAAACATAAAAGAGCATTCAAACTAAATGGGCTTCTCTGATATATAGCCATATTCTGTAAACAAATGGTCTCTGTATTTTTCGCAAAAAAGAACCATTTCCTTCGACAAACAGCAAATGCAGAACAAAAGCCAGTTAAAAGAGATAAAAATACTACAATGTGTGCTATTCTGTCATCGGTTATTAAGACAAAATAGGTATTGAATACAAATGTAAAAATTCTAGCTTCCAAGAAAGTATTCTTTTCAAAAGTAATCCTGCAATCGCACATACACCAGCTAAAATAAGATAGTAAATTCCTACTTCCAGAAAATTCAACTTAAACGACTATGAAAAACTTTCATGGAAATTTAATTCGATGTTTAGAGACATAAACTCAGAAAATTCATATTAATATATAACGATTATAGAAATGAAGTATATAATTTAAGTTTGGGTTGGGTTGGGTTGGGTCAGTAGATTCATTTTTACTAGAGAAGCATGCCAGATAAAACTAAATTCTATCACACAGCCTAATCAAACCCGACTCCAGCTCAAACTATACACTTCGTTTTTTACAGCCCTTTAATGTTAAAATGAACTTTCTGACCTAGTCAAACAATGGACTAGGCATTGTACTTCTTCAATTGAGTGTGCAAAAATGATTTCAGAGTTACATCATCGGTATTAATCTAGAGTTTTCGTGCAGTATTGTTGACCTTGTATCATTCATTATATATAGGAGCGTATTGCTTTGTACCTGTTCGTCTGTTTCGTTCGGGAGAGCCGTTTGACAGGTTGCTAGCGTTTGAAGGAACAACGAAATGATATCATACCTATAAACTAACTCATTAATGAGCTCCATTGATCTTCTATTGGCTATGCTGTTTGATTCGTGTCGTGGGTGTGGGTGGATCAGTCATCTATCAATTTAAAACCATAAACACACTTACACCCATCTTGTAGTCAAGTGCTAAAAAATCACGAACTATCCAAGGGTTCCTGTGACATACTAGTAGCAGAGTACTCTAATGGGAAACATATCACCAAAGAAATATTTATCAAAGTTATTTTCAAAATTCTTCTCAAACAAACATATTATCAAAACAACTTCGGTAGTTGTTGAAGCAGATGATATGATTTAGATTGACTTTTACAAACCAAACAAAGAAACACTTGCTCAAAACGAAAAGAATTTTTTTAAATAAATTCTTCGTTTGAAACAAACTCGTTGAACAACAACAAAAGCAAATTGCAGATTGTTACAAAAAACAAGCACACTTTTCTTTCGACATTTGTCAGTTATTACAGACTATGAACTATTTCATAGCAACATATCTTCTCTTATTAACACATGTTACTATAAGCTAGGTTTCTTTTAATAGAGAAATTATTAGATTAGCAGATTATTATTAGGTTGTATTTTGCGTTATTTTAACAACAGATTGACACATATTTTTTTACTAACATGCCACATATACAACTATACTGAACAAACTTTCAATACTTTGTATAGGTTTGACTTACAGTATCGATAAAACAGAATTTGTTTTCTTATTAAAAGTTTCTCGATCGAAATTCGTCTCTATCAATTTTCGTCGCAGTATTTTTCGCATTTCACGATGTTATTTGTAAAATTCTTGAAAATCCAAGTATTATATTATTGAAACTTTTTTTTTGTTTTTTCTTTTCTCTGATTCTAAATAGATTTAATATTTAAATCCTAAAAACAAGATTAATGTAAGTTTTTTCTGTGAAATCTATTGGAATTTAATATCAAATAACTAAATCGGCAATGAAAGGTCAACGTTTCTTGATGCCAAAGAAAATTTCACGTAAGTTGCACACAGTAGTAATCCACGTTTCGCATTTTTTGAGTCATAAAAAATATGACTTCAATTCATGAATATATAGAATAATAATCTTTAGTGATCCTTGAACAGCTTTATATATCTACAGAAGGCTTTTTTATTTGATTTCAATAGTTATTTAATAAAAAATAAAGGATCAATGGATAATTTAATGTGACTTATAATTGAAATCTGTCGTTTTAAAAAACAGATAGTCTCTTGGTGAAAAAGAATTAGAGCCCTGTACGAAATCGATTCGAAGTCAACGACCTTTTTTGCCGAAAGTTCAGTTTTAACATATGAACTTTTGTGACTAGTGGGTTTATAGAGGCTTCCAGACACGAAACATAATCGGAGTTGAATTCGATTCCGGTTTTCTTTCATATTCATAGATATTGATAAGACGTCGTTGAAACTTGCAAAATACATCAGTTTTCACAGTAAATATCAAGCAGTAAAACCTACTATTCAGAAAAGTTCGTTTGTTAAAACGCAATTTTCGTCAGATTTTAGTTGACTCCGAAATTGCTTCGTGCAGTGCTTTAAAAATAACATAATCATTTTCGTTGCTTTCAACATTCGCTTCTTTTTTAATTAATTAATACAATTGATAAACACATGCTGTTTTCACATCAGACGCGATTATCTGAATATTTCTGTTGAGTATAATCATTGCACTCATTCACTCATAGCATGAAAGAAAAACACATTAACTAGAAGAATAACTTAGTCGTCTACTTCTATATTCTTAACACATTTTATCTATTCCAGGAAAGAATTGAATTAATATTGGAAATCATTATAAAGAATATACTCTGTAACAATTGAAATTGAAAATTACAAAGTCAATTCTAATAAGAACAGAGAATATAATGAAATTTATTAAAGAAGACTGTTCTATCAAAAAAGTTCGAAAAGTAAAATCTCGACAGCTTAACATTAGGGAAGAAAAATATCCCAATAAGGAAAATTTCGAACAAAAGAGAATCGCGACAACGTATCATATGACTGCACTAATCCGACATTTTTCAATGTATCTGATATATTATGATGATAATAAACCATTGATATAGGAAAAAAGTGTATATATATCTGCGTTGTTCAAACAAGCAGAGAAAGTCCTTTAAGAAGATCAATGAGGTTTTGGTTATTTTAATCAAATAATAACTCGAGTAAACAATCTACTGTTGAATTTCAAAAACACATGTTATATTGTTGAGTAATTCATTTTCATAATGAATTTCCGTATTATTTATTTTTTCTTTGATCGCTAGAAACATCAAATAAGAGACGATGTTTATTCGGATTACTCGTAAGAAATGTAATTGTAAGCGTTTCATTCGAAGCATCTTTTGGTATGTTTGCTACATAATAAAATAACAAGGAATAGTAAAGAAGCTTATGTTTATACAATGGTACACAATGAAGGAAATTGGAAAAAATATCACTTTTGAATGCATAAAAAAACTAAGAAAACACACCATACATGATAGAAATATATATATATAAATCAAACTGAATGGTAATAAAATGCGAGAAAACTTTTTAAGCAGTTTGACTGTTCGAAATCGAATTTCTTGTGTTGATATTTTTTATTTTAGACATTTTCTCTTTCAAATTCTTTGATAATAACTCAATAAAACATGTTATATCTAATCCAATATTAAATTAAGAAAAACGATCGTATTAACTTACAATTGATTTGTTTCAAATATTTAAAGAATCATGCATTTTTTATAGTAAAAAAAAATACATTCGATGCGATATCATAATTAAACTTATCTTTTTTTTATGGTGCAACAAAAATAAAATTATATCAAAGCACGTCATTGACATTTTCTCTTCTCATATAAATCTATTTACACCATATCTTCACTACTCTGTCCAATACGTGTTCGTTCTGAAAGTGGTGATGATTTATAATGAAAATTTTGATTATTATTAAAATATTCATTTGTTGATGTCTGAATACCATTTGGGTTTGTAGAACCATCATTACGTAATAAAAATTCATCATCTGGTGTTATTTGTTGAAATTCTTTTGCATAAATTTCTTCAGGAGTTGGTCGACGACATCCTAATAAATAACCAATAAGTCCAAAAACAGCTATTGCTAGAGAGATAAGTGCAAGAGCAATAAGTACAATTGACCAAAATGGAAAAAAACCTATAAAATATTAATAACAAAAGATGAGATTGTTTTCTTTTTCAAAATAAAATTGTTAAAAAAATAAAGAACCTCGAAGTAAATAATCGGGATTAATACGATTGAACATATCTGTCCGTCGACCTCCGGATAATTCATAATGTGTTCGAGCTCCATAACCAAGATCCTGTTGTTCTCGTAATTGATCTGGTGTTAAAAATTGTCCATCACATGTAATCAAAATAGTTATTAAAACTCCTAAATAAGATACTTCTTTTTTTAACAAAATAAATTTGTCTATTAAACCTGCTATGGCCTTGACAAAAATCATATTCTGCTAGGAGACCATCAACAAATATATACGTGTGTATATAAATGAAAAGAAGAGAAAAAAAATGAGGCGAATGAGGAAAGGGTCACCAAATAAAGTCGTGAATACGAGCAATAGTGAGAGGAAGGTAAAAAAATGAGAGAGAAGAAAATGGAGGAATGAATATTATGAGTTCAAGTAAAAAAAACGTCCTACGAAGAAAATGTGTCGTTTGTCGAAGGAGAACAAGAAACAGAACTGTCGGTTTTTTTTAACACACATTTACTTATTCTGTATGTGTCAATTGAATGTGTCCTTCATCATGAAAAGAAAATAGAGACTATGATTTGATTGATAAATGCTATCTTTAAATAAAACTTGCATCAGCTGATGGGTCTTGATATTCAATTGTATGTAATTTAAATGGCGAATTCGATATTTCTCTTTGTTTATTGAAATATATTCAAGGATATCTCCGAGGTCGCTAGAATTAGGAAGCAAGGTCGATGACTCATAAGGTTTTTTGGAAATTGATGAGCCAAGGAAAAAACTCAACTGGAGAATCACTTCTGAATATGTTATAAATAGTAGATTTAATATTTCTATACAGAATTTTTTTTTTTTCATTGATCACAAACCTTTCTTAAAGTTATGAAAGTCAGAATAAAACATAGAAGTTAGGTTATAATTACTGATTACAAAAAAAAGAAAGCCATCTTGTTGAATCCTTATTATTCGTCATTTTATATCTCTGAACATATGATTGTCATTTTCATATTACAATAATAAATATATATATTCTAAAATTCCTGAATTGTTAATTTTTCTTTTGCTTATTTCAAGCAATTAAAATTAATTTTAATCTCCGATTACCAAATAAAAATAACTAGTCAATTCGTTCATCAACAACTTTGGCTCTTTCTCACACACACGCGCGCACACATACATGTGAATACCCACAATTTCAAACTGAATCATCTTCATACGTATACGTACAAAACACAAACAAAGAAAAAGAAAATAATGATAATAAAATACTACACAAAAAAGAACGCACGCACGTAATGTGATACATCTGCCTAAGTTTACGCATAAACGCGCACATCGATAATAATAATAATAATGATAATAGTAATAATAATAATATTAGCAGTGAAAAAAAAAATGAGGTAGAAGAAGAAAAAGGCCACACAAATATGCAATTTTAAAAAAGAAAAGAAAGAAATGTCTTATTGTTTTTCTGCTAATAACGACGAAACACACAGAGACAAACAAATACACATAGATATTATTGAGAAAAACAAAGATGACCGGACAGTAAAAAAAATTTTTGTACACTAAAAAAAGGAAAGAACAAAAACAAGACAAAGATACGTATTTTAAAAAACATATATCATACAACTAAATATATATATATATATGTACGATTTCTTTTCGTTGTTAATCTTCTTGGTGAAATATTAATTCAACTAGACATAGAAAGAATATTTATTCATTCCAATTGTCATCAAAAAAAGTATTATCATCATTATTCGATTGTGATTGTACTGACTGTGAAATTGCTCTTGTTGTTGTCGGTGGTGTAACGAGATCATATAAAAAATTCATATCATTATTGGGATCATAATTAGTTCCAGTTGATGTTGAATTTGTTGGTGATGGAGTTGCTATAGATTTTGATTTGATTAATTTTAATCGTTCATTTGACGTATTTGTAAAATATTGTAAAGTTTGTCCATGTTGATATTGATCAAGATCAGTTGATATTTGATTATTATCAACTATTGTTCGATTATGACGGTATAAATTTGGATCAGTATTAACAGTTGGATGAAGAAGATGAATATGAGATAAATTATTTGGTGTATAATCATCATTTTCATTAAGTGAAATATTATTAAGTTCATCATCGACTGCTCGTGGTACAATCATAACTGAATTAGTTACAGGTGTTGCTGATGATAACTGATCAAATTGCTCAGTCTCCTGAGATATATTGTCTTCCATATCGGTGTCAATTGAAGAATTATTCGAATCGAGATCGTTCTCTTTTGAAACTAAATAAAAAAAATTATAATTAAAACAAAACTATATTATTCGAAATTGAAGATTTATACGGCACAACATGTTAGTAAACCCGATAATAATTTCACAATGCGTTAGACTTGCAACAATATCTACTAATTAAAAATTTTTCTAATTGTTTTTTAAAGCATGCAAAACCCAATCACTATAGCGTGCAAGGCATTAAAGGTAAAACTATTATGTGCAAACATATATATCTACACAATATACATATACATATATGTAGTACTTAATAAATTTTTCTTACTTGAATTACTTGGAGATGATAATGTAGTGTTGATATTTGCATGAATTGTATTGGTTGTTGTGGATATCACCGCTTCCTGACAATCGTCACGATATCTATCTGAACTCATGGAACTACAAATGTTGTAGCAATCTCTTTAGCTTTTTATTTTCTTATTCTATACCGAAAGATTTCTCGTTTTTTTTTTGAAAGAAAAAAATTTATTTTCATTTTAATCTAATATTTTTTTTTTGGCTTATTTAATTAAAGTGATAGAAACTTACTTAGAAGCATTTCATTAATAAGATCATCAACTTGTTTTGTATCTTGACTATAACGTGCAACAAGATCAACCATTAATCGAGCTATATTTTGTAATGGTGGTAATAATAATAATAATTCACCAAAACGGCCACGCATTAATGGTCTTTGTTGATTAATATATGTTTCAAGATTAACTTGTACACGTTTACGTAATTGTTTAACTCGCATTGGGTTTGATAAAGATTTATTATCTATAAAACGATGACAAAATTTTCATATATTGAGTCTTTTCTTATCATATCTACAAACCATTGTCGAAAAAAACGATAGCTTTCAGACAAGCATATTCTTTTTCATCTAATTGATTTTCTTTTAATGGCTTAACTATTTCATCAAGTATTCTAGCAGCTGCACGACTTAAACCTGGATCAGATGCATTTCTTGGGATAACATAATGATTACCTAATAGTAAATAATCATCACAGTTTAATGAACGACATGCAACCCCTAATATGAGATTTTCTCCTGTATGACCACGTAAAAGAGCAATCTAGAGAGAAAAAAAACAGATTTTTTTTTCACAAATTAATTAATTATATTTGTTTTTTTCATAATTACTTTATCATTATCGGATAATTCAACAAAACCTTTTAAATCTTTTGCCCATTCAATAAGACTACGAAGTTGATAATTCATTGATATACCAATTGTTTCTAATGTAGCTTGAACACGTTCTGTATTAGATGGTTGCCGATTTAATCGAATTTGTCGACCAATATACTGTAGGAAAAGAAGAAAAAAACAATGACATTTGAAATAATATAAAAACAAAAAACTTTTTTCGAATACTTCTTGAGCTGTTTTTTCAGCTTTTAATAGAGCTGTTACACTTAAATCATCTTCATCCTCATCGAGATCACCAGTAAGATTTGCATTGGATTTTAGATTTGTTGTTCCAAAATTATAAACATGACTACGTTGTCGTCCAAGACGATCTCTTTCTTTTTGTACCGCTAATATATTTCAAATAGATAGAAACAAAACAAAAACATAAATACAATAGAATAATACAAATAGATATATTTACCATCTTTTTTCATACCCATTCGAATACATTTTCTGCAAGAGAAAAACAGACAACAATTAAATTTAGATGAATCAAATTATTATAAATAAACATACTTCCAACGGCAATGTCGACATTGATTACGTTTATCTTTATCAATAGTACAATTATTTTGATGTCGACATTCATATACAGGATTTTTACGAACACTTCGTCGAAAAAATCCTTTACATCCATCACATGATATTGCTCCATAATGTTTACCTATCAAAGATGAATAATTGCAAATTTAAAAAAACAAAAAATAACGTCTTGAAAATATTTTTCTCTTACCAGTTGCTCGATCACCACAAACAACACAATCTAAACCATCAGCATTATTTCCAAATGTTGTATTTGTCGTCGAATTAATACCTAAAGCCATTGCTGTGGATACTGCTGCAATACCATCATCAAGACCAACAATCTCATCATCAACTTCACATTTAATTATAGTTACTGGTTCGCTTATGTTTCCACTGCCAACAGTACGTCGCACTAAAAACAAATCGAGCAAATAAATAAACATACGAAAAAAAAAAATTTGAAGTACATATTAACACTATCATGCCATGCCATCACCGAATCATGCGCAAAGTGCATGACACCTACTGCTGGTTCTTTATGATTGAGTATGTGCAAGTAGACAATGTAAGAGAACGAAAACGGGAGTACGAGAAAAAAACACAGAAAAGATAAGAAGAACGAATGAAGAAATGATAGTCACTTGAAAAGAAGAAAAAGCAGCAGTAAATTATAAAAGATTATTTTGTCTGTAACCCAAGTTAGATGGATGATATATTGAACAAATGGAAAGTTTCTTTAACGATATGTTGAAGCAATAAGCAGTCATAAGGCATCACTTATTGTCATTCATATTTTTTCCTTCGTAATAGATCTCTACTTTCTCATCGTATGGATATGGCTAGCTTTTTTTTCCTCTTTTTTCATATAACTGTTGACATCAATGTCTGTTACAATCGCACAAAGATAGTTTCCTTCGTCTAGGCGTAATTTTTATGGCCACATCATGCTGCTTTTTTTTTCCTTCGCTTTCAAGAACGAGGCAAATATATTGTTTTTCATCGGTTAACAGATGAAGTAATGAAAGCAAGGAAAAAAAAATGTCGAATAAAAGAAGGTTATTGTACGATGTTTGCAGGTATACATACGTCTATCAATTGAAAGAATAGAAAAAAAACGAAATATTCAATACACTTGTATACTTAATCAATCGATATTGATGATAGAGTTTGTTAATGTGACAATATATCAAGAAAAATCTGTTGATTTTTATCTCACCTGAAGATGCCATTATTGATTATATATTCTGGTTAAATCATAATAAAAAATCTAAACAAACATATAAAAATATACATACGATTTGAAGACAAAGAAAAATAGGGTCACGATGAAAACAAAAACGTATGATTAAAATCAGGTTTAAATAGGTGCACGTAAACATCTTATTTTGTTCTTTTCTTTGCAAATATAGATTTCAAGAAGAGAAATTTATCGTTAATAAAAAGAAAAAAAGAAAATGTACCTAAATTTCTAGGGTCTAACAGTGAATAAAATTTCATTATAATAATAAATATATTATTTTCCTTTTAAAAATAACTATTGATAGATTTTCTTTCGTGGCATAATGTCATTAAGAATTGTATTGTTTTTTTTTACTTAAATATATCAACATGATCGTGTTTGTATTAAAATATGAATTTAAAAATGCATTCTAATTAAATAAAATGATATGTTTACCGCAAACTCGTTCTTTGACATAATCAAAGGTTAAATGTACCCACCTCGTGAAAGTACGTCTATAACATGACACTGGTATTCATTAGAAAATAAAATTTCTTTAAAAATTTTTTTGAACGACTAGTCTATCTTATGGAAAACTAGCTTGTCAAAAGGGATACGCTTCACTGAAGTTTTAGGGCGTGCTTACAATAAACATTACGGATAAATAAAATAGATAAATCATTCAGCCGCGAATATATATCACAAACTGCAGCATATGTTCTTTTTTGAATAGAATCTTTTTTCTAATATCTTTATAAATTTTTTTTTTATTTGTCTCAATCTTGTGTTAGTGTTTGAAATATATTTGTCTTAACATATAGATACAAAAAGTTAAGTTAATGAGATTTAGCCTACCGTTTATAAGATGTGAAAGTTCGCTTGTTCTTTTTTTATGATGTTCTTTTAACTGGAAGAAGTATTTTGGTTTCTTGAGCTTTATATAATCGCCTACGTTTTTTTTGTAATGACGTTTCATAAGAACATTTTTTTTAAATAAAAATAACATTCTCCATGATGTAGATAATTTTTATGATTAAAAAAACTAACAAGTAAATGTTTGTATTTGATTAAGTAATTACAGTTTTGAAAAAATACTTTAGAAGTATGTCTATATCAATGAAAGATTAATATTATGATCTGTTATACAAAGCAAAAAACTAAGTGTACTATACTGAATCGGTATTATTTTCGAGAAAGAACTTCTGCAGTATACTTTTGAAAAAAAAAACATTTTTTATCAAATATAAGTTATTCGTAATTATTTCTTAGATATAAAGAGATCAGCCTCTTTGATCAAATTACAACGAATATATCGAATGTTATCATGAATAGAGTGTCGAATGTGAACTTCAGCTTAGCATTGATACAGAAAACTAATAAGAATCATAAACCAGTGACAAACGACATCAATTCTTCAGTCATCTTATCAGTCTTATACAAGAAGTAAAAAATTTTATTATATGACTACTCAAAATTGATACAAATTCTTCTTTTATAAATACATAGAAAGTTTTAGAAAAACAATATGGTACTATTCTCTAGCATTACATTGAACTGATTTAAGAAAAAGAAAAGCAAATGAATTCTTAAAAAACTTGAAAATACACTAACTTACGATACTTGTACATGTTTTGTTTTTATATAATAATTATCATAAAGTTATGTAAGAGTATGTTCAATAGTCAACTAATGCTACTTGAAAAACATCTCTTATTATAATATTTGTCCTACTTAATAAACATAGGATCATAAGCATGTGTCAATTAAATATATTCATAAATGAGATATTTCAAAATAAAAACAAAACAACAAATATTCATAATTCTAATCGAAAATATACACTTACATTAAATAAAAGGGAAAACCTTGATAAATGAATATATGTACTTATTTGACATAATTCTGTTTACAGTAATCTGAAGAGTTTAAAGTTAAATCAAACAGAAAATCAGGTGTATCATAAACAGAAAAGAAAAAAAACAAAATACTAATCCTAGAAAATGATTTCGTCGTTCTTAAATTTCAGTATCAATTTGTGAACGAAATAAGTCGTACAGATATCTACACTCCTACAACCCCGCTTATTGTTGCTTACCTTGAAATAGAATACACAAGTAATTCATAGATAGTCATAAAAAAGAATGGTTTTTTCGTAACAAAACAGAACAAATAAAGAGAGGAAAGAAAATAATTTACACGTGTAACTACCAATAGAAATATTTTTACTGATTCAAACTACTCAAAACAATCATGTATATATAATTGATTACTGTTGATTATGTATGCTACTACTAATATTGTTTATTTTCATTAGTGCCATCTATCAACAATAGAATCATAAATTAGAAAAAAAGAAAATAGAAAAAAAAGTCATCTCGAAAAAATTATTTAAAATAATTTTTTTATTCGAATATATTTTATTTGTTTATTTATTTATTTTTTTTTTTTGATTCAATTTACTCCATTGATAACATTTTATTACCTTTTCATTGATGTGCCTTTGTTTACTGTTGTTCCATCAATACTAATATTGAAATCTATTTTCTTTTCAACATTCTTCCGGTTTAAATAAAAATTAAAAAAAAAGAATTTTTTTCTTAATATCAGAAATTTTTACTTCTGGTATTAATTCATAATGACAACAAATTGTCCATCTTTTGTTCGACATCAATCGCTTGAAGCAACTCAAGTTATACCATTATTCGATTCCACGACAACAACATTTACTTCAACACCACCATTTAAACCAAAAGCTGGCGAAGTTTATGTTATGAAACTTGACATTGGTCATGAAAGTAAGTATTCATATTCCGATGAATACCTTTGTTCATCCGCTGGAAAATTCTTATGAATAAAAGCTGGAATCATCTTGGAAAAAAACAAAGGTATATCACGGATAGTTGATGTATATTTTTTGTTTATTATAGATGATTGGCGTAGTGATGGATATCGTTGGGTTCAAATAGCTGCCAGACGTTTACCAACACATAATCCAGTTATAAAAAAATGTTATTTTCATGCTGGACAAAAAAATAAAAAGAAAAGTAAAGATTTTGAAAAACAAGCATTTGTATCACTAGTTGATCCATCCAAAGTTGTTGTACAATATCTTGGTGATGAAAATGTTGCTGAAGAATTTCCTCATGGAAATTCTAAAAAAAATACTAAACCGTTTTTTCGTACACGTCCATCATTACTTAATAAACTTATATCAGAAGCAGCATCAAATGCTGAAACAGCACAAATATTTAAACAATATACATCAAATAATTCACATTCGCATGATGATGATGATAATGATGATGATGATGAAGAAGAATCAACAGTTAATAATTCAATGGAAACAGAAGAAACAGTTGATGATAACGATCAAAAAAAACCTTTAAATATTAAAACTGAACCTAAAAAACCTAAAATAGGACCTGAAGTATTATCACAACCACGTAATATTGAACAAATACGTAATGTTAAAAGACGTTTAGCACGTCGTCTTGTTGCATCCGCTGATGAAATATCAGAATTATATCGTTTTGCACGTGAAACACCAAATTATATTGTTCGGTTTACATTAATACCAAATATTGTTGCTATTGCTTTTTCACATGAATCTATGCATGAATTTAATTTATTATTAGATCATCCAGATATTTTATCACAACAACAAGTTCTTATTACATTTGATTCAGCATATACAATTAATGCATTTCATGTTACATGTGTTTTCTATCGACATATTGCTATGAAAGAAGAACCATGTATTTTACTTGGTAAGTCTTAAGAACAGTTCGGTGAATATGATTTTTTTATTTTGAGACTTGAAAGATTAAAAAAAACTTCCATTTACGTTCTAGGAAAGTAGCATTGAGATAGATACTTTTTACTCTGATTAATCAAACTTTCATTCGTAGTATTTTCTCAATTCATTTGATATTTTAACCTGAAATAAACTTTGCATATATTCGAAATATTTTATAACAATTACTTTCCTAAATAAGATCATTAGTTTTAAATGTCTAGCTTACATTACAACTTCATAAAGATTAGCTATCTTGATTATATTAAATGATAAATAATATATTGTTATAATAACATTCTTCCAGTTTTTAGGTAAGTCATGACATGGAAATTTTATATATGTATATCTTATCAATTCTTTTTTCTTCATGTCATAGTCTTACGAGGAAACATTTTCAACTGATTCGCACCGTTCGATCTCATATTTTGTTAGTGAGTAAGGTTGATTATATGTATAATATACCTAAGAGAATTGGTACTATTGCTGTTTGGTTTCAGAGTTATGAGCGAAACGAATATTATGATAGATGGTGCCATCATCTACGCGGTATTTTTTTTTTGTTCTTTTCATATCTTAACCAGAACTTGCTTTTTTTGGTCGAACCTTTTAGTACCAGCTTATCTCATTTCACTCAAGTGAAAAAAAAGTATTAAAAAGTAAGTCATGATTAAGATATGAAAAGAACAAAAATATAGTGTATAGATGGTGGTCTCGTCTATCATAGCATTTGTTTAATCCATAACTCTAACACCAAGCAGCAGTGATACGAATCCCTTCACGGATTTTATATGTATAATCCATCCTAGCCACTAACAAAATGTGAGCTCAAACGGTGCGCATTAGTTGGGAACGTTGTCTCGTTAGATTGATGTGAAGTTCGAAAAAACTCTTTATTAGTTTTTTCTTTAATCATTAGGTTGTGCATTACATAATCGTCGTTCAGATGATGTTTATGAATATATATTAACACATTTAAAGCAACAATGTCCAAATATTGAATCACGTTGTTTATTTATAATTGACAGTGAAGGTAACACGTTAAAAAATAATTATTTGTCAATATTTCTACCACATTTACGTGTTATACATACATGGAATTATGTTTTTTCACAATTACGTGCTTGGTTATTACAAAATGGTCGTACACAAGCTGATTATCAGTTTTATAATGCTGAACTTAAATCATTATTATTATGTGCTGATATGTTAACATTTACACGTTTATATGATCGTTGTAAATCAAATTGGACACAAGAATTTCGAACATATTTTGAACAAATTATTTTACCATTAGTTGATACTGATCTTGGTTCATGGGTATTAAAAAAATATGATCTATTCGATGCTTATTCAGGTATTAAAGGTCTTATTTGTGAACCAATGCAAGCTGTGGTATGTTAAATAAAGTTTTCTATCTATTGAAAACAATACATAAAAATTCTCTTGTTTAAATTTAGGCAGCACAATTACGTGATTGGCGTGAATCACGTTTTGATAGTGGTGCTATGGCTTTTTATTGGTTACAAATGTATTTTGTTCAACAAATAAGAAAATCATATTCTCGTCTTGGTGGTATATATACATTAAAACAAGGTATTTATGAAAAATGGGCTATGACAGCTGTTACATCAATAACTGCTCATGAACCAATTAAAGCATTAGTACCAGAAAAAATTGTTGAACATGTTCGAGCAAAAGTTATTATATCATCTGCACATCATCCACATTTACAAGCTAAACGTAGTAATGAACAACAAATTTTAACATTATCACCAATTAAAAGACTTAAAACAACAACAACAACAACATATGATGGTACACAACATCATCATCACCATCATCAACCATGTATTATTGCAACAACAACAACAACACCACATCATGTTACAACAGCTGATATCAAAGCAACATTACTTGCGGCTGCTGCTGCACAACAACCAAGAACAATGACTGTAAGTTTAAAGAATAGTCTATGGTGGATGAAGTTTTGACATGATATTTGCAATATATATATATGATGAATATTCAGAGAGAATAAACATAAGAAATAATTACCAATGGTTGAAATCAGAAGCAGTTGGTTAAAATCCTACTTTTTCGATCTTTCTGAATATGTATCTAGAATGTCGTTATGACGTCAGATTGGCTAAATATCATTATGTTGTTTCAAAAGGCCCAAAATGGTGGTTGTACAGAATACAAATTTCTATTTCTATTGAAACCTATCAATTTCAAATTTAGTAGCCGAATAGTGAACGAATGCTTTTTGTATCCAAGATTTTCATGCCATAGGTTGATGTAAAAAAAAAAAAACAAAAGCTCGTAAATCTTCTATTTAGATACGACGAATAGCTGCCACAACAAGTCCACAACAACAACAGCAACAACAACAACAACAAACAACATTTCGTCTTACAACAACACCATCTACTTCATCTTCACAACAGCCACAACAATTTATCATAACAACAGCTGGTACCGCTTTACCACTTTCACAAACCACGACAACAACTTCAGGACTAGTTGATGATTCATCGATGTATGATGATGGTACAGGTGATTTAAGTGGATGTTTAGTAACAACATCATCACAAGGATCGAATGCACAAACATCTCAAACACGTTCATCATTTGTTCGTCCAACTCTACCGACAAATGTTCTTCGATTGACAGTTGTACGCAAATAAACAAACAATAAAAGTTCTTCATTTTTCTTTTTTCATTGATCATTGCATGTCTGTATCTTGATGTACAGGTTAAACATATTCGTCTGTACATAGGATCAGCTTTACTGTTATTGTTTTCTTTTATATAAATAAGATAAACACAAAAAAAACTTTTATTTCATGGACATGTGATAGAAATCTATATTAGAATACAATTGCATTGTTTACAATCAAATAACTATCGTCATAATAAAATGTATTGAATTCTTCATTTTCATATTCATGTTATGTAATTATTCAATTTGTTGTTACTCTAATCAACATAACAATGAAGAAAAATAATCAGTATAAATTCTTTTCTTTTTTCTTGTTTTGATGTATAATTTTTTTTGTTTTGATTGACTATGTAAAATAAATAGAGGAAAACCTCTCTATTGTGAATAGCATCGGAACTATTGAGAAATCTTCACTTTAGAGGGTTGAAGTATGATTTGCTGTCAAGTAAAGAAAATGTTTCAGGAGGTACACTTCTATATTAATCATAGATAAAAGTCTGATTATTTATTCTTTTGTTCATCTAAATGATTTGAATTGAAAGATTTTTTTAAGTGTAACACAAAATTTAACTGTTTTTAAAAAGAATTCTCTAATAATGGTTGTCTTTTTGTTTTTCAACAAATTCTTTTTTTTAGACCTTGCTGCACAAACCATTCGTACACTTGATCGTCTAGTTTTCATACATTAGCATCTTTTAACTTTCGTCTAACATCTGAATTCTGCTTTTTGTTTTATAATCATTTATTACATCTGCTTTATATTTTAAGATATTTTATATACAGCTGAGTGACAACATACTACATTTTTCACCCAACTTACACTATCATAAATCATTATTATCTTTATTATCATGAATGAATAGTATTCTATCTTGCAAAGAAAGGCCGCGTCGTGAGATCATTCTTTACTGTACGAGTACAGCAGTCAAGTCATACGCAAGATGTGCTTGCAGTGTATAAGGATTAGACGAGAGAAAAGAGAAAGAGGTTAAAAAAAATATATTCCTCCTAGAGTGGTTATAATAGGAAAATGGGATGCAAAAAGGCGTTCGCTGACCAGAATAAGAAGACACTTACTAGTTGAGGTTTTAGTTTGGTTAATTTTCTCATTTAATAATGGAATATCGATTTCAAGTTTGAAATAATATTTTTGAAGAATAACTTTAACCTAAAAAGTCATGTCTTTTTATGATACAGTTTTATGATTGAATTTAAGCCGAATTCGTCTTTATACAAAATAGAAATGATTGAAATTCATTTTTAAAACATCATTCAATGTTTACTTTTATCATTAGCAATTCTTTTTTCAGTTGCTGAATCATGTTGTTGATTAAATCTAATCTATTTATAATATAAAAGTAGATCGATTTTCTTACATTTCAGATTGTTCAGAAAAAAGAACATGTCCATTGATTCACGTGAATAAATCTTAAATCAGGATGATTGTTATGAAATTACAAAGTGCAATAACGATAATTACAGGATTGTGGTTGAGGAAGTAAAAAAACATAAAAAGTTAGACAATTCGTCACTGATATGACAGTGCAAGAACTACAAGTATTTGTTCCGTAGTAGAAACAGACGATACTTGTCACTGTAGTAAATACAGTTGGTGGATATTGACCAGCATACCATCCAGTGACAACTGCTCCACAGTAGTTTGGTGGTACAGGTGAATTGGTCATCAATGCTCCTGCCGGTTCTTGAAAACGAATCCATACAGATGTAGAATTAATGAATGGTGATACATTATCACAGTAATTAATCGATGATGTATAGCCAATGTTTCGTGTTGGATCGGTGTTGACTGTATAATTTAAACATTGAGATGGTGTGACAGTCGTATATTGATAATATGTCGGGGGTGAGGATGAACATACGAAAGGCGTCGTTGATGCTGCATTATTATAAAATACAGAATTTTCAATTAAAAAGTAAAGACCGCTAAGTGTGTATCATATTTTTAATCCTATAAATTGTACTATTTCAACAGTGAGAGACGACGGACAAAGTTTTTGTAAAATGACAAAAACTTGAGAAGAATAACATTCGTACATTCTCAAAAGTTCACAAATGTTCTACATTCAATCCGTCTTGAAAAAGAAAATCATGTTTTGTTACTACACAAGATTTATGTTACAATTGAAAGAATCAACTTCCAATATTTTTTGAATACTTTGAAATGGCTTTTTCAATTATTTAAAATCATTCAAGAGAATTTCCCGTATTTGCCTATTTGTTTACGTAAAAAATCTGGAAAAAGTTCGCTTACAAAGATATTATTCTATACTTCTGAACAAGAAAAGTTTGCAACTGAGAGAGTCCGCCAAGTCTGAATCCGGAACCAATCGGACGGTCTTTTAGCGATTAAGCATATATACTGCTGTATATGTATGTTTTGAAAACTTAACAAAAACACTTGAAGAATATTCAATACCATGTTTTTTATTGTTTACTTTCTTTTTAAAATGAGTACTTAATATAGAAATTATTATACATAATGATTTGAGCTATCTCTTATATTTAAATCTAAACTACGTCAATAAAAATTGATATTTTACTATTTAATAACGGTCTCAGTAAGATAAATTTAATTAATAAATAGTCCATTATGAATTACAATACGGATGTCTCTCTGCCGTAAACTCTGATGAAATCGATAGTAAAATGAATAATAATGAGAGCTTAAAATAATTTTAGTTCTTCGACATTTGAATGTGTTTACATCATTAAAAGAAAAGTAAAGAAAACTAGAAATCAATACATACTTGAAACAGCTACTGTTGTACTAGAACTCATGACTGTTGTAGTTGCTCCATTTTTACTATTGTTTAACACGAGTGAATAAATCGCAATGATCAATCCTGTCACTGATATCATAGTAATAATAATAAAAACAATGATCAATGTTATCAAACAGCAACGAGTTTTTTTCCTGTCCGAATCTGATGATGTTGTTACATCGAAGTCATGTGATTGTCTAGGATAAGAGCTATTGTATATCATGTAAGAAGATTAAGGTACTAGTGTTTTCTTTTGAACAATATTCAGTTAATATTAGAAACCTGTAAAAACTTGTTTTTCATTCTGTACTCTTAACAGTTTTCAAACTTAGTTCAATCAGAAAAACAATAATTGCACTACTTCTCAGTGTAATCAATAGACTACAGTCGAAAAGTCTTGCTATAAATTTTGATCAACGAATTTATTTTCGAATGAAAATCTTTTGCATACACTGAATATATAGAAATTTATATAGTGAAGAGGAAAATAATTATCTTCTTTTTTTTCTGCTTACATGTATTCTTCTCTAGGTAATCTTTCAAGATCATCGACATCGATATTAACCGTTGAAATAGACATAGGTCGTTGTCTTTGCAGGCTACTTGCCATCTATTTTCTTCTCTTGATACTGAAAAATTGTGAGATTATATTCTACAAAAATAAAATTCAATCGATATTATAAAGCTGTTCAAGGACACAATGAAGAATAACAATAATGTCACACCACGCATTAGCATGAACGTTATCTAATGATGAAAGTTCTCAACTAATTGATCGCTTTTGAGTCAGAACTATGTTTATCATATAAATCCTAATGAACTATGAATATCCTATGAAGGGTTTGGATCCTTAGCTTATTTCTTCGGAGATGCTGAATTCTTGCGATATTTTTTAGTTAATAATGTGTCCCCTCCTCAAGAACACTAGAAAAACTGCTTTTCAAATTCCAACGTGAACCTTTACATAGAGAAAGATATCATTGAGAATAATTAGTTCTGAAAGTTTCAGATACTTTTATTCTTCCTATTTCAACAGACGATTATGATAAAATCGTGTCTTTTATATCACTCTTATACATCGACAAATTCGATGTTCTTATTTCAGGATAGGAGTATATCAAAAGTATCTAATACTTTCAAAATCAACTATTATCATTAATATCTGTCTCTGTGATAAGTTTCAAGTCGAAATTCCAAGATCAGTTTTTCTACTGTTTCTGAATGAGAATTAAATCATTCATTTAAAAGCTACTGTAAAAAAAAAGCAGGATCTTCGCATGAATAAGCTAAGAACCCAAACTCTTCTCAGAGTATTCATAGCTTATTAGAGTCTAAATAATGAAGCTAGTTCTTATTTAAAAACAATAAATTAATTGTAATACTTCTCTCGTGACTTAACTTGTCGAAGTCAGAACATCTATTAAAAGTAAAAGCTGTAAATACACATACACTTGTCTTTTTCAAATAGGAATATTTGTACTTTTTGAAAATGTTATTTGAGAATGAATAATATTCAAAAAGAGTGTTATGTCTTCTAATCATGTGTAAGAAGAAGCCTATGTAATTACCTAAATTTCTTTGTTCTTTTTAGAAGTAAACAACAGTCAAATAAAGTATTGCCTATTTTAATTGACTGTAAAATGAAGCAAACAAACTAACAAAGTTGGATTTATTTGTATAAATGTTTTTCACTTTTCAAGGTTGTACATGTTAATCAATTCCTTACTGTGAAGTCGAATTATCTTTTGTATTCACCTGTCTATACATACATTCACTAAAAAAATCACATGTCTATTTTCTTGTTGAAGCGGAATAATAAATTTCAATGAAGAATTAATGTTTTAAAAGAATGTTGGTGATCCTGTGAACATCAATCCTGTTTACATACGAATATGATTACTTTATTGATTGTGTGAAAAAAGTAATGTATAGGACTATTGATTAAACAAATAAAAACTTTATTAAGAAGATATTAAAAATTTGATCATGTAGAAAATTTGCAAGGTTAGCTTGTTTTATTTTCTGTCTTCAATTATTCATTTTTATGATCAGTTTTCATCATATGGTGTCTGTTGAAAAAGCAAAACAAACTAAAGAAAAAAATGTAAACATTTTTAAAGCTTCAAATATAATGTCCTTCAATAACTTTTCGTTTAAATTTCAAAGTAAAAATATGTCAGTTGATGTTGTTAAAACATTTTATAGGATCTACTATGAATCTCATCGATAATCTCAATTGTCTGATCGTTTACAATAATGAATATTACAATAAATAAATGCTGAATGTCTTTATTATTTAAAAAAGATCAAGACAAAAGGAAGAAAGGAAAATTTTTCAACTACTATTCAAATATATACTGTATTTGAATCTAACATTTTACATGTTACAATGATATATTTTCAGATATTACCTGACAAAAATAGTGAACTTTTCTATGTAGAAATTATTGGCATTCAATCGCAATACTTCAGTACATTAATTTCAAAAATTTGAACAAACATTGAATAAAATTTTATTTAAAATAATTTTGAATTCATTTACGGTTTTCATTTCAATGGTTCTCTTGCAAATATTATACCTAAGTTTAATAAAATCTTACACAATATATCATGTTCTAGGAAATTTTCTTAGTAGATTTACTAAGTATATTTGATCTTAAATAAGTTTTGTAAGAGATATTCTATGAAAATGTTGTATTATTATTTTTTAATATGAAAAAACTTTTAAAACACGTTGAACACTTCATTCATGAGCATTCTCACAAACCTCCTGAATTTCATCAAGTTCGATTATTATTTTAGAACATGATCAAATTTCAACCGCAGTAGTTTAATGGAAGCCTTAATAGGTACCTTCCATGCATAAACTATTTGCCTTGTTTCTATTACAATTAATTTGTATTTTTGATTTTACAGTTACTGAGAACTTGAATTGTTATGACACTAATACATGCAATCGTGAAGCAAGCAGATGGGGGCTTAGTTCCTTCCTAGAAGGCTTTGAGCTCCTTTGTACAACTTTTTCCGGTTGATGTCACTAAGGCACAGGTATTTATGTGAAATATGTTGAATAAATAATTTTTGTTTGAATTTTTGGAACACTCTGTACATCAACATATTTCTCTCATGCATATTTTCAATAGACAATAATATAAGGGAAAAGAACCGACATGCAGGTATATATATTTAATTAAAAGAAAATTTATTCTAAACGAATATTGTCAATAGCCCAATAGATATTATGTGCTGCACGTTCAATTTGTGTCCATCGAAATCGTACACCACCGATATTTCGTTTTTCACCAATATTTATCAATTTCGAAGGTAATGTTATATTAAAAAATTGTGCATGTTCTTGATTATACATTGTAACTAAACGCCACCATGATATTCCTTCATCATATGTCCATTCAAGAGCAACTGTTATATTATTTGTAGTTGTTATACAATTATCTTCAGTTGTTACATGAAATGCAAAAGATATTGTTCTAATTGAAAAATAATTTTAATTTCATAATTTTTAAAAGGTATAATAAAAAGATAAAAGAAAATAAAACTTACGTTGCTTGACTAATATTAAGTTCACGAGTTATTGCTTCTACATTACCACATCCACAATCAGCAACAAAATGAAGTGCTTGTCCATTGAAATAATTATTTGTATTATTATTTATATTTACATCACAAACATGACGAATATGTCCTTTACCATTTAAACGAATCCAATTATTAGAATTCGGTCCACTAGTACCAACCACAGATAAATCATCAAATGTTTCATTAAACCATGTTTGTAAAGGCTCTTTACCAACATATTCTTCACAGTATGTTCCTAAAATTATAAAAATAGACATAACAACAACAAAAAAAAAGGATATCTTCACTTACCTGAATAACCTCTAGAACATTGACAACCAGATACTGTACATAAACCCCGATCATGACAATATTCTGGACATTCACCAATAAATAAACTATTCATTGACCATCGTACACCTTCAGCTTGTGTTCCACTCCAACGAAATTGTGTACCACTAAATAAAATAGACACTGATTGATTGAAATGAATGTCTGCAACACACTCGAATACTAGATAAAAGAAAATGTTCGTTTGGATCTCGGGGTAGTATCTGATACCTGTAATCCACCCCGGCAATGAATGAGACTTCGACATTTCAAAATATATTTACTTTTTTTTAAACAGCTAATTTATATAAAAGAATAAGAGTGAAAACTTGAGCAATTTATTATACTTGATATCAGGTGACAGATGTGGAAAACGATATCATTTTATTAAAAGAATTTATTTTTTCAATGAAAATTCCTCTAAAGTTGATGATGAATCATACGGAGAAGTAACTGAATACATGGAAAGGAAAATGAAATATTGTGATGGAAAAAGCATTTATGTATGTGTCCACAATGATGAAATCTGGTACTAACACACTGTCTTCCATTCCATTGTCATCCGCAATAAGCAAACATATCGTTAGCAAAATTAATCTGAGTTTAGAAGCAGAAAAACATCAAGTGAACCTTGAATCATATGCATTTTTGTTGCTGTTTATGGAAGAAACTAAATAGTTTACTTTTTCATATAAAAGTTTGAAAACTATACTGTGACTTTGAAAGTATCGGCCGGATGTCGATCAGCTCCGGTCCGGATCCAATTACGAAAATTCGTATCCGTGCTTAATCTTAATGTTTGCGCAAGAATTAAAGAGAAGTGGATATAACTTTAATAACTCGATAACGGTAATACTAAGCAACTTTTGATTTCCAGCAATCGAAATAGGAGAAGTATAGACGCCTACTTTTTTGATACTGTATAAAACAAAATTATTTTAAAACACATCATCGTTACAAAAAATTAAAAAAAATGGTGTTTGGTTTCTGTATAATTTTGGTTTTAACATGCTTTTCTGGTAGAAAGACTTCAGATCTATAGTTCAAGACACGACTCAGGTGATTATACCCTCATATTTCAATGTTAAGCAAATGTAAATCGTGTATCTATTTTTGTCAAATTAAATAAAATTCTTTTGATTTTTTAGCAAATTCCCATAAAACAAAGCATCGCCTTCATGTATCTTGTTTTAGAGATTTTTGAAAACAATTTCGTCTTATATAGTATCAAACAAAAAGATGTTCGGAGTTCTCATCTTTGGATTTTTGAAAACCGCAAATCACTAACAGCTACCGTAGTCAAGTTATTGAGCTTGTATCGACCCCCCTCCGTTGATTCTTGCGCGACCATTAGATTGAAACAACATCGTTTATATTATTCCTCCTGTAGAGTGCGATAATAGTCGTTCACTTATATACCTCCCATAATAATTGTTCTCCTCCCGGTATCCAAGGTAATGTGACGATTCATGAAGAAGCAAAACATGAATGCAAATTTGTAGAAGTTAACGAGAAAAAAACAGAACAAAAAAAAAATACAACTACTCTCGCTATTTACATCGTTATTCATGCGTATTTAAAGAAAAATAACAAAAACATGCTCACAGCTTCACAAGATATCGACAGTTTTATTGAACGTCAACGATCTCAACTTAATAAACAACCATCTCGACAACCTGTAAATCGACAACCTCCGCCTCCACCACAACCATCAATTCCACCTAATAATGTACAAGATCGACTTGATTTTAAAGTTGCTCGAATTCTTGATGAACCACCACCTCGTATACAATCTCAACAGCCTTATTATCCTCCTCCTCCACCGGCACCATCATATTCTCATAATTCAATCCCTGAACAACAAGAAAATTTCTATTCTCAACAACGTCGTTTATCCAATGACAATAGTGATGATAATCCAGTAGCTTTCTTTAATAAATTTGGAACATATGATGATAAACGTTCTCAATTAAAAGATGATTTAAAACGTGAATATAATGAATATTTACAATCAAAAAAAAATATACCAAAAAGTAAATCAACATCACAATTAACTTCAACAAATCAAAATACAAATAAACGTGTACAATTTCAACCACCACAACAACAACAACACCAACAACGACAACAAAATGGTAAAGTTATTGCGCCATGGGAAAAAAATGATAATAAAACAATAAGAAATAATCAAACAATTAATGATTTACCATTAGGATTATCATCAAATGATAATATAACAAGTCGTTCACGACCACAAATGTCACATAATAATTATGATGAACAATATATTCGAGATCGTGAAGATTATATATCAGAATTACATTCACAAGTTCGTGAATTAGAATTAAGAAGAAAACAACTTGAAATAGGTTTATTAATTTTTATTTTGTTCTTTATTTTTCTATTCGTTGTTTTCTTTTTGTTATTTATAGAAAGTAGTAGATTATCAGCTGGTGGTACATCAAATGTAACTCGTGCACATTATCATGAAGATTTAAATGCCTTAAATTCTTTACTTGCAGAACGATTAGATCAACGAAATGCAGTTGATGTTGAACTTGCTCATATTCTTAATCGTCCACCAGTTTCTGCTAGTCCAACACGAATTAATTCAAATGGAATACCAAATTTAAATATGTCAACTGAACATTCTCAACAAATATCATCACAAAAATATCCACAACAAAATGGACGTCATATACAATCATATCGTAATGATAATCGTACAAGACCAAATGAAAATGGTTTTCAAATTGGTCATGAAACTGATAAAGATTCTGAACAAGCAGCAAAAAAGCGTTATCAACAAGAACTTCAAGCACAAATGCGTGAAGCGCAAATGCGTAAAGCACAAGACAAACGAGCTAAAGATGAATATGATAGAAAATTAGAAGAAGACATTCAGCGTTATAATTATTTTGGTCGTAGTGGTGGTGGAGCGCCAATGCGTGATAAAGATGGTAATGTTATTGCTAATCTAGCTGATGTTAGAAATCCACCACCACCGCCACCAGCACCCTATCAACAACAACAGCAACAACAACAACAACAACACCAACAGTATTTACCACCTGATAATAAAGTTTATTCACTAGGTGATGGAATGAGTTCCATAGGAAATGCACCATTTTATAATGGAGAACAACAACAATATTCAGGAAATTCGGTAAATTAAAATTCTAAATATTTATACGAACTACTTCAGTAGGGAGTCTCAAGTCCTTCCAGACCCGAGCCTGGGTTCATAAAAACATGAACACACAGCTCCCCATCTTTCATGTGAGTTTGATGCTTTATAAGGGTTATGTTTTTGAATAAATTCTTTTCACATAGACATATGTAAAAATGTTGGCTCTATCAGCTGAGTATCAATTAGAAAGTAGATAGAGAACATCTCTCTAAGGATTTGAGAAAAAAATATTCAAAAACTTCAGGGTAGACTACGGTATAAACCGTGTCTACGATGAGGTTTCCAGAAAGATCACTATTCTAGAAACTTTTGTCTTAGTATCATCGAGAGATTCTGAAGAAGATTTTGAACTTCTTATTCGGTTACCCGAGCATTTTTTTGTACTCCGCCACATCATTAACGAAAATTAAATAGATTTCTTTGATAAATCTAGCCATCCACAGAAAAAGCTTTCCATAGAGATTTTGTAACCTAAGGAGTTATCTGCCAAATGTACTACCTACTTTTCAAAAATGCTACTTCAATTCGAAGTTTTTTAAAAGTAAAATGCATGAAATGGAAGCCGATTCTCTATTTTTGTATCATATCGCTAATGCTAAATTTTCTAGAGATAGTTCCTTTGAACAACAATCTCTAGATTATCTTAACATACATATGACATATAAACATTAGCTCTAGAAAAGTTCATTATCCTGAGATATATATATGTGTTGTAAAAGTCATGTTACTAACGAATGATTTTATTTATATATGATTTTGATTGATTGATTTAAATAGGATCGTCCTGGTTCACCGAATCATGCACGTGGTGCAGTTAGTAATGGAATATTTGGTGCAGCTAAAACTGAAGCACAAGTATTACGAGAAGAAAAATATAAACAAGAATTAAAACAACAAATCGACGAAAAACGTCAACGAGAACTTGATGAAATAGCTAAACGTCGAGCTGAAGAAGAACGTGAACTTTCTAAACATTTAGAATGGCAACAACAAATGGAAAAACAAACGGCTGAAGAAGCATTAAGAAAACAAGAAAAAGAACAACAAGAACGTCAACATCAACAACAATTACACGAAGAACTCGAACGACAGAAAAAACAGGAAGAAATTGTTATGAAACGAAGTAAAATTTTCTTGAAAAAACAAACAAAACACTTCATACAATTTATCATATTTGTTCTTTTTTTTATCTAGAACCAAAACGGCAAGAAAAACCAATGACACCAAAAAGAGATGAAACTCATTTTGATGATAATAATGATGATACTAATGCTAATCGACAAAATAGTTTCAATAACCAACAACCACATCAACAAGAACAATCAGAACCTGTCTATCGAAGTTCATCACCTCCAGTACCAACATTAAACAATAAAGGTAAAAAACAAAAATCAACTGTAAAAAATGTACGACGTCAACAATCATATGATGAGATTGTTCAACAACAATCACCACCACCACCATTACCACCTTTAAATAACAATGATGAGTTTATTCAATCACCACCTATCGACGATACAGATGAACAAAGTCGACAAACATATCGAAAACCACCAACTCCTCGACAACCAGGTTTGTTAAGAGAACACTCATGAGGAAACCAAGAAACGGAGGCACTGGTCAAAACTTTAATTTTTCAATTTTTATCTGTGGTTGAAATATCATCATTGGATACCACTAAACCCACATCTTTTGGCACATTTGAATATACTATAGTTAAGTTAATCAATACCAACTTTTGAACACTATCAACAAAGTAGTCAAAATTCATTTCGTAGATGTTTATTTGGACTATGCTTTAATAAGTCAGAGAATTTTTTCAGGCAGTATACTGAAAGATAGACTAGCAATAGCTGAAAAAAGGAGTTATTTAAATTCTGATATCTCATATATTTACTGGGGTTGTGTAGTCTAGCATGAGTGAGAAAAGTCACAATTAACAAGTTCGTAATGGTCGACGTTTGACAGTATATCTACTGACAGTTTTTAAATCAAAATTATTAGAAAAAAATTTACCTTCGGGACGCGAAATGGGATTTACAGGTCTCTCCTACATAGCAATTTTTCAAAAAAAGAAACATTTTTAGCGGTTTTCATTGCCATAGCAAGGTTGTAAAGTAAAATAAATAGCAAAAATACATTAAGTCAATTATATTTTAGAGACTTTTTTTCTGTGAAAAAAATAACCTCTGAGAGACCATAGGACAAAATATTAATAAAATGAAGCCATACTGGACCACCGGTGATTTTTGTCAAAGGAAAAAAAATCTCTAAAATGTAATTGACTTAATGTATTTGTGCTATTTATTTTACTTTACAACCTTACCATGGCAATGAAAACCGCTTCATCTTTTTTTCTTTTTTTTCAAAAGTCACTATTTAGGAGAGACATGTAAATCCCATTTCGTTCTGAAGGTAAATTTTTTTTTCAATAGTTACCATTTAATATGCAAAAAAATTCAGATTGGTATCATTTGACTTCAAAAAAAAATGGCAGTAGATATATTGTCAAACATCGACCATTACGAAGTCGTTTTTTAATAAACTGCACGAAAAGTTCTCTCATTTTCTAAAGCATAATCTTCATAAACATTTATGAGTCTACTTTTTTTGACTACTTTATTAATAGTGCTCAAAAGTCAGTATTAGCTAATTTTACCATTGTACATTCAAATGAGTTAAAAATTTGAATTTGGTGATTTCTGATAATGGTCTTTCGAACGTCGATAAAAAGTGAAAAATAAAAAAGTTTACTAATGCCTCGGTTTCTTGGTCCCATCATGAGTGCTGTCTTTAAATATTCTCGAACATCTTTTCAACATTCTTTATTTTTTACTTCAATAGATGTATCATCAGCACGTAAAAAACCACCACGTAAGTTTATATCAGGAAATAAATCAATCCTAATTGATGATTAATTTTTAGAAACTTTTCGATCTCGACCACGTGCAAATTCAAATTCTGGTATGCCAATGCGTACAAATTCGACAACATCTCTTCGATCGGATGGTTCCGATTCTGAAGTTCTTAATCGTCTTGAACATCTAAAACGACAATTAAAAGATAAAGAAGCACGTCTGCAAGAACATGTTAATCATCATCAAGGTCAACCAAATTCATCATCTAATACAAATGAATATTCAAAAACAACTTATCAACCACCAACACAACGTAAACAAAGTCCACAATTTTTATTTAATGCAGCACGTGTTCATCATCATCGTGATTCACCAACCGCAAATGATAGAACGCGTCGTATAATACAAACAGATGATGATATGGAATTTAAACCAGGTTATTTTCGTGATGATGCTATTTTAATGGGTGGTAGTAATGAAAATCTTAGACAAAATGATAATGACTATTATTCATCATCAAAACGTATTAATTCAGGTAATCGAATATTTACTACAAATATTGAAAAAGAAGCCAGTCGAAGACGATATGGTCATGATCCAACAGGTTTTTATGATCAAGATGATCCGACAACAATGGCAAATTTTGAATTAAATGTAAAACAGATAAAAAAAATTTATAATAAATGACTAAAAAAAATATCTTTTTTTTTTCATTTAGAGAATTGCTGAACAGAATGAAGCACGATTAAAAAAATTACGTGATCTTGAAAATGATGATGCATCCTTATTAGATAGTAATGAAGTACTTGAACGTTTTCAACAAAAACAACGTATGCAACGTGGTGGCAGTCAAACGACTCTACAAGATGATGCTTGGCTCAAATAAAAACTATTTGCTTTAATTTGTAAATTTTACAAAAAAAAAAAAAGAAAAAAAATTATAAGCATTTTTTTCTCTTCTTGCAGAAGGCTAATTCCAGTAGATTTTTCTTTGTTGCGAAAGGGCTTATTATAAGCTTTATTGTTGTCCGTCCGTTTTTTTTATCACTAATGAAAAAAAAATAAAATAAAAATTGATGACAATGTTTCATCTAAAGTTTCAAAAAACAATCTTTGAGTGTTGTTTGAACTCAATTTTTCATATGGATAGAGAGTATCATCCAAAAATCGGTGTTAAAACTGTAAGCCGATATAAGATCAAGTCTAGAGAAATGAAGAGATGAGCTATTACTCAACAGAAGATGCTTTAAATTTCATCAAACTCAAGTATAGTGTTTTTTTAGCATGTTGATAGGATCCCGCAGAAGAGCGGATTGATCCTACCGGAGCTTATGATTATTCTACTACATACTATGTTTCTGTGCTTCTAGAAATAGGTATTTCGTCTCCTGTAGTTTTAAATCACCTCTGCGGAAGAACAAATCTTGATAAAATAATATTCAAGTATTTTCGGTAGTTATTACCGAGCTCTTTATCAGTAGGATCGTCTCTGAGAGTACGATAATTTCGCAAAAAATGAAAACCAAGAACGAAAGTACATCTGTATTTTTTCTAATGATCAAGACGTTCTACCATTGATCATTTCTTCAAGCAAAAAAATAACAAAAAAATCTCATTTATGGTAAGATGTTATAATTATTTATATTATATCTCATCGATAAAGTACATTAATCGTCGAAAATCCCGCTACAAAGTAAAAAGTATCGGAACGGAAATTCTGCAGTGTCACATTTCGGTAATAAATAGTACGAAATGAGTCTTGTTCGACCTTCCCATAAGGAGCTAGATGGCTATTATAGATTTTTTGTTTAGATGATGAAAATTTCATGTTGATTGCCTGATTTATGAAGTTACTTTTGAGTATTTCTCATATAAAAGTTAGTAGGATTTATCAAAACGGTAACCTTTTATTCTGACTACTTTCACTCGTTGATCTTGAAATTTTCTTCACAGAGTTCTTTGCTCTAACCAAGTATTCTCTAAAAAATATCGTAGTCCTGAATGGAATAAAGATTGTTTCTGATCATGAAAATGTATTACAATCGATTAGATCCTCCTATCTGTGACATAGTAAAGACATGCGAAGCTTTATTTGTTACTAATAGGAGGAATATTAACGATTCAAAATAACGTTAACTCACAAAAGTATCAAAAAAAGCCTTTGTTTTTATGTCCAAAGGAAAAACAAATCAGTGTTTTTTGTTCTGAATTCGATGCATTGAAGTAGATCAGTTTCGGATTACTATTTGCGATCAAGATGTATTATTAAAAACAAATATTTTTTCCTCGATTTTTATCACATATTTTGTTTTGATTTCATTCGTTATCAGTGCTCAATATCTTGTATATATTTTCACAATCCATTCTATGTTCTGTAACAATTTGTAATACATTCTCACTTATCTATCATACCTTGAATATGTTTCAAATGGTAATTTGATTGTATGCATATTTAAATAGCCTCCATTAATTAAACTCGTCCGACATGCTAAATCAGTCATATCAATAAGTTTTGTCCATTTTAATGATAAATCAGTTCGATATTCAAGTATACTTGTTAAATTACGACACTGTAATGTTTTCATATCAGCATTTTGATTACATTTTGTATTAAACTATTCAAAAAGCAAAGATTTTTTGAATATTATCCGATTCAAAATGCAAGTAGAGGTGCAATTTTTAGAATAACTTTTCATAGGAATAATAAAGAAACCTATAGTTTTCATCATTTAAGAGAAAAAAATCGAAATCATCGAAGTACATGGAAACTCGATTGATCAACAATTGAGCAATCGAGTACGTTTTTGATAGAGATTATGAAGCTATTTTCGCTTCAACTCAGACTCTTAATAAGATTAGTTGACAGAAAAAAGGCTTTTTCTTTTGATCTACACAAGACCGACATTCCTAACATGTTCTGTTCAAGAGTTATAAGATTTTTACAGAGACTTTCGATTGCAGTCTATTGGCCAGTGATTGTTCGGAAAAGTAGCTAGTCACGGGTAATTCACCATACTGAGTTAAATGGTGGATTACTCTTGCTTAGCTGATCTATCTTCTTCCTATAAAAATCTATTCAAACAATGGCAACTCGCTATTGATGTTGAATCGAACAATAGTATATGAAACTAAAAAAAAAAGAACCATTCACTTGAAGAACAAGAACATGGAATTGTTGAATAAGAATAGGTATAGTAATAACTGAAAATGAACTTTCATGAAATATTAAAGCAGGTATATTATTATTGCATTGATCAGGTTGAGCAAGTAAAGCACCATCAATTGATTCCCAATTTGAACGTGATGAGGATATTGTATAAAAATAATCAGTTATAAAATCAATATTAATCGATTTTACTGAAATAAATATTTTTTAAGATAATATATATATATATAAATCGAAAGAAATAAGTGATATTTTTAAAACTTACTTGATATTATTTTTGAAAGGCCCCATGTAAAATTATTACATTTAGAAGACAATGGTTGAAACCATCGAAATTGTCCTATATGATATTTTGTATTAAGAGTTTTAAGTTCGGCAAATAACTCAATAGATATATTTAGTGTTGTTATATTTTTATTTGGTAGATCAAATCGATCAAGAATCGACCATGTTAATGTACCATCTATTGATATTAATAAATAAATTGAAGTATTACATGTTTTTGAAATATTTTCTAAATTATATGTCCATTTAATAGCTCTAAAAAAATTGAAAAGAAAAACAATTAAGTAATAAATCAATTCTTGTTTACCGCATTGGTCTTAAGTCAATTGGTCGAGTAATAGCTTGTCGATTTATTGTTGTCCATATAATTCTATTTATTTCATGTCGATAAGGATCTAATTGTAACCAATTCGTAGGATTAAAATCTTTTTCAAATGTTTCTCGAAAATCAACCTATGAAATGAAGAATTATTTTCTTTTCATTTAGAGTAAAAGACTCTCTCTTATGGGCACCATCAAAGGACCGACCAAAAGTGCTCATTTCATGTTCTAATCACTTTTCTGCTGTGCAAAATAATCTTTTTTCTACTTTTCAATAATAAATTAATTTAAGTTTTTGTTTTAAGTAAAGGTAAATCAACACGTATTGATATGTTGTGATGTTACTAATTAGTATCAGCTACAAAATATAAGGCAAGTCAATGTTTTTCGAATAACTTTCGACAGAAACATGATAGAGACTAGCGGATTTCGCTATTCAAAAGAAGACATCAAGTGGATTAAAAATTCACTTGAAATTTGATTAGTCAAGTGGTTGAATCAATCAGATGAGCTGTTACGGGAGATTTTGACAACGGTTTTTTAGAAAACTATCCCGTCGGATTGCAAATTATGCTGCGATCATTCGATAGAAAATATCGTTCTCTCGCGATTCACAAAAAAACTGACATCTCTAACTTGTTCTGTTAAAGACTTTTAAAGAGTGTTTCAGAGGTTCCGATTTCAGTCTAATGAACATCGAGCGCTTCGAAGGAGGTCAAGGCAAAGGTAGTCCATCATGCTAAGTTCAATGATGATGCTCAGTTCTGTTTTCAAAACGATATTAAGCCATTATAACAAAATTTTCAAAAACCCTGCTATACTGGTTTTAGGTTTCTTGGAAATTGAAAACAAGTATTACCACTCGACTAAGCGTCATGAACTACCCTTGTTTTGATCTCTGGCATCGAATTAGCGCGTAGATCGAAAGAGAACGGTTTTTTCTATCGAATGATCTCAACATAAGCCGAAATGCAAGGGAATAGTTCTTATTATCCCTGATCTCCTGTTTAGAATAGTGAAGTCCACAGGTCTCTATCTTGCTCATATAGAAACCCATTAACACAAAAACAGCAAGATTTTGGACTCAGGACTGTTGCTGTTTTTGTTTTCTTTTAAATATCCGTGGCTCGTGCATTGCCTTTTTCTATGATTGTTTAACATAACGCAATAAACATAAATTCATTGTTGTTGCTTATTCTCCACACGAGTGATAGAACATTCGTTACATATAAGAAGGTGCTTATATTTGCAGTGTTTTATCCAGATTTTCTCTTCTGGAAGAGTGAACATTTATTTTTTGAAGCATAGACATATAGTACTTCGTAAAATAACTACAAACTTCAGGAGGGACAATCCAATTTTCAAAATAATGCTGTTCCCTTGGTCTTCAAGATGAATAAAACTCTATATATTTTGAGAGGTTCATTCCTATGAAAATTCACTTGTGTGAACTATAGACTATTCAGTATAAGGAGATGCTCGCTTGAAAATTTCTATTTGACATACTAGAGGTGTGATTGCATTCATTATTTGACATTCTCCATTAAGACATCGTGCATTACCATAACAATTCATTAAACATTTATTTCCAATATAAATATATTGAAGATGATTTGTTGTACAATTTGATGAAAATTTCAAACGAAATCGAATAGAATTATTTTGTATTGAAAATACATTAAATGAAATAGTTAAACGATAGAATGTAATATTTTCATGATTAAATTTAATTGGTATAATTTCTAATTCATTTTCATTAGAAATTTCCAACCATGATAATCCAAAATTAATTGAATATTCCAGAATATTTTTTATAAAATCGATACAATTAAATTCAATTTGAAGAATATAATCCGAATTAAAATAAACATCTTTAGTTTCATAAATAATTTGATTAGTTAAATTTATTATTTTAAGAAATGTTGAATTTAATTTTGTATAATTTTTATCTTCTAATGAAAACCAATGTAAATGAGAATGAATATTAAATACATGAAATTGTTCTATTGACCATGGAGGTCGACCAGTAATTGGAGAATTTTGAATGAGTCGAAGTTGAAGAATATATTGAGGTAATAGTTTTATAATACTTATGAAAAAAAATTAAAATAAACAATTGTTCGTTCAAAATTTATTTTTATGATTCAACACACAAGAAACAGTTTGTTTAACAGTTCTACAAATGTTGATTTATATAAACCAAACACTTGATCCTGAGTCATTTTCACAAGACAGTCATTAATTTGATTGATATTTTCTTCTCAATTAATTAGTCTTTTTATTTTTCAATGTGATCAATTTTCGGTAGCTATAATTTTACGACCTCCTGTGAATCAAGTCCTAATGCAGGCGTGAACAAAACTTTACTGAAGATAAAATTAAAAAATGAGAACGGTCGGCTTCACTTCTGGAGAATATTGCCGAGTATCTATCGTCAAAATTTGATGTGGATCCATCGCATCCTTTTCGAGAATCAGCAATAATCATAAAAGAGAGCGGCAACTTTTATCAATAGATATGTAATAAGAAATGATATAGATGAAGTGATCATTTAGTAAAAGTTAAAATATTAGTGATAAATAAAAATTCGTTATATAGTTAAAGATTTAAATAAATAAACGATATGTTTATTATACAAACGATTAAATAGCATTTATCGATTACACTAGGTTTATTTTGACAATTTTTACTTATATGTTTACATTTCTAATTATTTTTACAGCTCTAATTAACATATATTCTTCACAATAGCGTGATTTGGTTTCATTTAATATTCAAGAAACGTAACTTTCTAAAAGAAAGTCGTAGAAAATGCGAAAATGACATATGTATATGACTTACTTTAATTGATGATCTTTGAATATATGTAATGTAATCCATTCATGTGAGTTCATTTGACGATATTTAAGATATATCCAACCATCACCATTTTTTCGAATATGTGTTTTTGACATACATCGATCATCAAGTTCAATATGAACATATGTATCTTCATGATATACATCTATATACTTTGTTTCAAATTCTCGTTTACATGTCTAATGAAAGAAATATTATTAAAAAAATATGAAACATCTTTCATAGAATTCTTACATTATTAAAAATTGTACCACATTTTGAATTGTATATAGTACCGTAACTTGTATAATAAACATGTTTAAGAATATTTAATTCATTTGGAAAACGAATTAATGATCGACTACAGTCATTATTTGCCCAATTTAGATCACATCTAAATACACTCAAAAGAAAATATTTGTTGTTGAATTCATAGATATGTTTACCTGCATCGTCCATTGCTAAGACACATTCCATGACCATTACAACCATTGATACAATTCGAACCAATATACAAGTCTGATATACCGACGATAAACTGCTCATCATTGGATGATATTTGTTCATCATTGAAGTTGATACGAAAACGAACTTGATTTGACCTATTATAATAAAAATAAGTTTTTTTTGTCATAATTTGATTATTCAACAAGATCTTAGTTTCGATACTTTTAACTTCCGTGAGTACATTAGATACTTGGCTTCACTCAATGATTAATAATTAATAAATACTATCAGACTTGATGAACAAGCTAATCTGATATGAACATTCGTGCTCAATCACAATGAGATTTCTATATCGATTAGCCATTCTCAGAAGAATACTAATGACGAAACGGCGTCAGCTGATCGATCACTTTATCACCACTAACTACTGGATTGTAACTTCGTGATTATGCTGATTCCAACTATAAGCATGAGAAATACTCTATGGTCTTCATATGTTGGTTTTCTAGATTAGCAGATATTTTGCTAAAACTATTTTGGATCTAGTTAGATTGTCAAACATATCAAGCTGTCTATAAGACAATAATCTTTCCTATTTTTCAAAAATGATTTTTCATTAAAATCATATCATCTTGATTGAAATGTTCATATACATCTGTTATATGTATTAAAATGGCTATATTTTTTTGAAAAAAAAAACAAAACAATTTAAAACACAAAAAGTTACTCTTTGCTAGACAATTCAATATACTCTATAGTTCGTACCAAAAAAAACTAAACTTTTAATGGAAACTTTGTTAGTTTGAAAAACTAGTATATGAAAATCCAAGGAAACTCTTAATGCTTAGATATAGAATCAGCATTATTGATAACCAATATTCAAGTATTTTTCGTTAAAAAAGCGATTGATTAGTTGATATGATTCCTTGACAAGTAGGCACTAACAAGTCCAATCGTTTCGGTTCAGGTGCTTCTACTGACACTATCCATTAACAATTCGTTCATACTAAGTAATGATTGAATTCATCTATCCTTATCTCACCCAATTTTCATTGATGTTAATTTCCATGTAAAAATTTTCACTCGTCGAGAATGTTCTTTATCAAAAAGTAATACATCATTATAATCAATCGATTGCCAAGTATATCCAAAATCAGATGAAAACGAAAATAAAATATCTAATTATTGAATAAAAAAAAAANCTTTTGGTGAAAACGACAATGCAACTAAATTTAATATGTTTGATTTAACTAAAAGATTACACCCAATCCAAAACATACAGGAAACAATATTTGTTAAATAAAATATACCCGCGTGTTTCAATTAAGACAATTATAGAGGAGGCACTTACAAATACAAAGAATCGACTTTCACTTGAGAGAAAAGTTGAAAACAACTGGCGACCTTCAGTTTACCTTCCTAAAACAGTACTTTTTCCAGTCTCATATAAATGATCGACTTGAATATTACGCCGTTCTCATACGACCAAACCTTTGATTTGATAAGTTTATTTGCAATAGATATGAAATACATATTGGATATGAGTAGAGAACGAAATATAAATAGAAAGATGTCGTACTTGCACTGTCTTTGCAAGTATTTTAAATTTAAAGAAATGCACATGATTAGAAAAAACATAGGTTAACACATTAACCATAACCAAAACTTCCTTAAAAATTTATTTGCACACTTATTTAATGAAAAACAAAAATTATTTACATTTTCTTTTCGATGATTTTTACAAAAGAAACAATGAAAAAGTAACATGATTTGAATAATTGTACAATTGATACCGAGAGTTGCCCTTTAGGAGGGGATCCAAAGGTGGAATCGGGTTGAAAAGGTGTCCATTGGATAGAGCTCGACGAGACCTATCTTGGTATATCCTTATCATTTTTTGGTATAACCTGTAGGCGAATCCAGGTGCGATATACCTTGAAAATCCGGATTCTGACCAGGATTTGACCTTTAGGAGGGGATCCAAAGGTGGAATAGGGTCAAAAAGGTGTCCATTCGATAGGGCTCGACGAGTTCTATCTTGGTATACCATTTTCAGGTTTTGGTATAACCTACAGACGAATCCAGTTACGGAATACTCGAATCCAGCTTCAAGATATCGTACGCATATTTATAATACTCTTTATCGACGTTTAATTGATGAAGATAATCAAGATGATAAAAGAATATGGTGTATTGCTACTTATCCATCTCGTTTACAAACATACAATTTTTTTACACAAACATTTCATTTTATCACTCCATTTATCATTAATATCGTATCGGCTGTTGTCTTAATAGCAAAGAAATCTCGTAAAAAACTAAAGCTTCAAGATAATGTAAATTATAAAGAACTTTTAAAAACACAAGCTCGAGAACATAAACATTTATTTATAGCTTCTGTTGTATTGGTTATTCTTGCGTTACTACGTTTAATTATTTCATTTCTGTGAAGATGTATGAAATCAACAGATGATTCATGGTTATTTCTTACAGGATATTTTATTTCATTCATTCCACCGATGCTTACATTTGTTATATTCTTATTGCCATCAGAATTTTATAAAAAGCAATTTCGTGAAACTCTCATCGCTTACCGAGCTAGAATACAACAATTTTTTAAAATCTTCAATAAAAGTAATTCAAAATCGTTTTTATTGAATTTTATTCATAGATGTCTAAGATTGTATGAATATCATATTCTTTTGAAAAAGAGGCCAACACAGGAGCAGATCCTTCTTTGTAATTATTGTTATTTTATTCGCTTTCTTGTCTTGCAATGTATATCATCGATTTTAATCAAACTAATAAAGAAATAATTTTTATCTGTGCTACTTAGTGTCACTTGTAGAAAATCTATTCATAATATTTAATCGAAAAAAAACATTATTTTTCTTTTCCTCTGGATTTCTAAAAATGTCCTAACATGTCGCATTTGTTTTCTACAAAACAAAATTTTTATTTTACATTAATCCTTTCAGAGGATTCATATTTAAAAGAAACTTATACGAATGTATGGGAAAAATCCTGATTTAATACGATATGTATTTAATTGGGTCATAATTGGCTTAACGATGAAAAGTAAAGTCCTGTTAAATATTTCTTTCACACTAAAGCTGTGAAACATATTTTTATTAAAACTTCCAACGGTTTTTACACATAATTTTTTACAGTTTGTCTGACTGAGTTGTGGCTATATCAGAAAGAAAAAAAGAAAGCTTTCTATTTCAATAATTCTTTACATTTAGAGTAAAAATACGCTTTTACTATTGTATTTGGTGAATATCGTATCCAACAGATGTGTGATTAGATATGGGAACATGATGAAACGAAATGAGATGGACTAATCAATTATGATCAGTATTTATGTAACAAAATAATGTTATCTGTTAAATGTATGCTTCTTCAATAATTCTCTAATTATTTGTTTATTTATTTATTTGATGTAAAAAAATGTTTACAGTAAATTTTATCAGTCCCATCGTAAATATATATGGTCGAATGTACGTGAAATGGTGAATTGAGCGAGTAATTGTTCCCGTGTAATAAATGTTTTTAAGTTTTGAATAATTTGATCATCTGCTAGCGGCATATGGAAACATAATGCACGAACATCAATATTTTCATCATCAGATATTTTCTTCAGAATAACTTGTAAAAATAATTGAATGCTCATGCTATTTATATGTTTGACTTTGAAATATTTCATATGAGGACAGAATGTGCAAAGGAAATCAAAATCTTTCTTATTATTGATTTCTTGAATATAAACCTTCTTTATTTTACTCTTGTCTCTCATTGAGTATATATCATCATAAGTTCTAACAGAAGAATCTTTTGTTTTATCAAATGACAATGAATGCATTGCTAATACAATTAAATCTGGTAATTCGTCTAGTAATTTAATTAATACACTAGTTAAAATATGGTTTTCAAGAATATTTAAATAAAAAATTTGTGTTATTGTTAAAATACGTTGAATTTTTTTGAACATATATCCCTCGAACGTAAAATCAGCCATATGTCCAAATGTTAAACCAGTTAGTTTACAAGGTTCGATAGAATAATTAACATTAATCTCATCTGTATCATCATACCATCGTTTACTATAAAACAACAAAAGTATCTTTGCTTAAGAAAAAAAAAACTTTTCTTTACTTGTACGGATGAACGATATATTCAATATTAATAAATCTAATTTCGACATCAAATATCCACTTGCGTTTAATCCAAAACAATGAAGAAAATTCATTTACTTGTACATGATATACTTCATATTGATTATCATTAAGAAAACGATCAGAATATGTTAAATAAAACTTTTCTAATTGAGGGAAATTAATTGAAATTAAATTTTCCCACAGATGAGCATTAAGAAAATTTATATCATTTGAACTAGCAATTGATAAAATTTTTAAATTTGAAGATAACTTACATAAAAATATTGCTAACGTATGAAATGTTATTTGAAACATATCCAAATAAATCGATTCCAAATTAATTAAATTTCTTAATGAGAAAATTTGGGCATTTGTATCATTATTATCTGTTTTACAAACAGTTAAATGACGAAGACGTGGTGTATAAGATATCAAAGAGATGAGTTCATTTAAAGAACAAGAATGATCAATAATAAGAGATTCAATACAACCAAATTCTTCATCAGTAGCTATAGGAAGTGTGATCGAACTTTCTTTGAAATGAACAATAACTTTGTTATATTTTAATGTCGATAAAGCGAATATTAATCGATAAATATCATTTAAATGCTCCAAAATTTTCAATATGTCGATTGTTAATGAAAACAAACGAGGTAGACAGGTTAAATTTTTCAGAATCAAAGTAAGTATTTTTGGTTCCGTTAGATTAATAATAATAGATTCAAGTCGAATAAATGCTGAATCAAAAGTAAATGGTGGAAAAAATTCTGTTGTACATTCGATCACTGGTAAATGAAATGAAACTATACGATGTCTATTCTTGAGTATAAATTCCTTGTAAAAATTACTAGTTGATAGATCAGATCTTAATTTAGATTTAATTTTAATTGACATAGATGAAGAATTTAAAAGTTTGTGAAATCGATGATTAAGATTGAAAAAAGCTGAATAGAATTCATAAGCATCAAGATAGTCAAAGATTTCATAAAAATATTCATCTGACAGATGTTCAATAGAAGTTCTCGACATATTACAATATATTTCTTCAATCAACGTTAAATTTGAATGAAATGATTAAGATCTAAAAGAAATATATATATATATATATAGAATGTACAATAATATGTAAACAAAGTGTAGTATATTATCATTATCTAACAAGTTGATGATGTTTTTTCTCACATTCTTTTTTTTCTGTAGAATACCAACTAATTGTAGAATGAATCAATTTCATTGTTTATATGATCATCTGAATGTCTTAATCCGTTTCGAAATTTTCAAGCAATACAATAAATTAATTATTTATGGGAGAAAAATAATCTTTAATCAATTAAAAATGTTTTATTTTATATACTATATTAAGTTTACAAGAAAAAATTGCCTACAGAACAATACGAACGTTTTCGTCCTTCTTACAAAAATTATTCGTTCTCCTTTAGAATAAATGCGAGAACACTCAAAATTTTACGTGCAATCTATTATTACTAAATGAATATAATCATAAATTTTTACATTTCTAGCCTTTATGATATGAAACATATATAACAGATTAATATGATGGACATATTTTGTTTGACTCTATCATATATAAACAATATTGCAAGTTGTTAAATCAAACGAATAATTAAGAAAAACGATTAAAATTAGATTTTTCAACGAATGACGATATGAGAAAAGAAAATATAGACATTTCAATTTATAATAGCTAGTTTTTATATATTTTCATCGCATAGTTCTACGATTGGTCTAGTGCATATACCACTTCATGTAAATGAAGTTGAAGGTGTCGCTATAAATAATAAGGACATATAATGTTTATTATTGTTCTAATTTCTTAGATGTCATTATCATTACATATAAATAAGGGTACTGTGGATGTTGGCATAACACTAGCGCTATACTACATAAATCTAATCATTATGTCGTTTCATTAGAGGTAAAGAATAATTTTAATACATTAGTGTTTCGATTAACCAACTTTTAAACTAATCTTTTCATTTTGACACAGCAATATTAAATTAAGGTTTTAACTCTAACACATGAATATTAGTATTTTCTTAATAGTAATTCGAATTCAATGTATCTCAAGTGTACTAAAAGTTTAAATTCTCGTCCTGAATCTAGTCCTTTGATAGAATAAGCCTAAACCTTCATGCAAATAAACACAAACATTATAATTTAGGTGAGGCTAAACCTCCAGATACCAAAATCGAGCAAGACTCAAGTCTCCTTCAACCTATACTGTTCGTCTCAAAGGGATAAGTGCTGTATCCTTGCACCAGATTAAGCTGAAAAGGTAATGCATTCATAAGGACTCCAAACTTGTGCTTTCTCCTTGAACTTCAGGTTAAGAAAAGATTTCGTTTGGTAGACTTTTAAAACGAGTTATTGATTGACAGAATTTATCTATACTCAATAAAATACAAAAAAACCTCTACTCTCTGTCAGATGGATAGTTTCTTTCGAAATTTCTGTTCGTTACCTCCAATGATTAATTAAAAATTCATTTTCTTTTAACTTCATAGATATTTGAATCTGAAGAAAGTATCTAATGAAATAAATTTGAAATCAAAGATTGACTAGACCACAATCCTATTTTGATCGTTCACATCATTTCACTCATATTATTATCAATAGAGAGTTAATAAACTCCAACAGTATGTATGTATACAAGAGAAAAAAATGAGTAGAGAACTGAATAATGTGGAATTGTACGATGAAGATCAGTGACTAATAATCAAAATGATAGTAAAAACATGATCTCTTCGCCTTTTCAATCTAATTTTTTTTCAATATCCTCATTAGAATTTATTTATTAGTTTTATAAAAAGAAGAAAAATATTATTTATTGTAGTCATGTCCATTGTAAATTGATGTAATCATCAAGTATACGTTTAATTGTAAATTGAAGGAGTAATTGTTCACATCTAATATATGTTTGTAAGTTTTGAACAACTTGATCATCTGCTAGTGGTATATGGAAACATAATGAACGAACACGAATTTTACTATTAGCAGTTATTTTCTTTAGAATTGTACGTAGAAACGATTGAATGTTCATATTATATATATGTTTCACTGTAAGATATCTCATGTTTGGACAAAATAATCGAACAATATTAAAGTCTCGTTCACCATTGATTACTTCGAGATAAACTTTCTTAACTTTACCCTTACCTGTAAATGAAAAGAATTCGACAAGTTCCATAATAGTAAATTCTACGGTATCATCAGACGATAGTGAACGAAGTTTGAATGTTATTAAATCAGGTAATGATTTTATCAAAAGAACTAACATATTAATTGATGATTCTTTTTCAGTAATATTTAAATGATAAATTTTTGTAATAGTTAAAACACGATCGAGTCTTTTTAATAACATATTATCATATAAATCACTATTAGTATTTGTTATTATTAAAGTTGTCGATTTAGAATATTCATTATTGTTATCTTGTATATAATCAAACCACATTTTTCTAAAACAAAAAAAGAACTAATTTACTATAGAAAATAATAATCGATATACTTGTATGGACAAATCATATATTTAATATCTGTATTATGAATTCTAATATAAAAGATCCATTTGCGTTCAATCCAGAATGAGGAAGAAAATTGATCTATTTGTCCAGAATACATTTCATATTGATTATCATTATCGATACGATCATTATAAGTCAAATAGAATTTTTCTAATTGTGGATAATAAAGTGAGATTAATTGTGTCCATCGATTAGAATCAAGAAAAATAATATTTTGTGAACATCTAATAGATAAGATTTTTAAATTGGAACATAATTTAGTTGAGAATATCCCTAAATCATAATCTTTATTTATCATTTCTTCATAATGAAACAAATAAAAATCAGTTTTAATCAAAAGTGATGAAGGACGAAGCAGTTGTTGAAATCGAGAATTAAGCTTAGAAAATGCTTTCACTATTTCAACACCATCCAAATATTCAAATATTTCATAATAAATTTCGTTTGATAAATCTTCAACAGAAGTTATTGATGGATCTATTACAGTAAAATATATCAATAATCTTGTTTCCATTAGAGAGATAACTTACTGCGATACATCTTACGTTTTTTCTCCAATGATTGATTGAAAACTAATTTTTTTCTTAAGTACTTACATCCATAGATATTATATCAATATTCTCCACAAGTATATATATATATGTTAGATTATTTTAACATTTTGAATTGCGTTTTATATATATAATGACGAAACAAAGAAGGAATAAAAAATAAAGAAAAATGCGTCGATACGATTAATTTCAGACGGAAAGGCAACGATCAAAGGTCATGAAGTAATGATTCAATAGATTTGAAATGAACTACACCGTTGAATGAATATTTTATCAATCTATTGTTAAGATGTATCCGTAAAATAAATGTCTTTCAAAAACATAATTATACTTGAACGATAAAACATATTAGAATAGATTGAAGATTTTATAAAAAAAAGGAAGAACAATGTTTAGTAAAATCATTTTCGTTGTAGATAAATTTTATCATCTACGGATTAAATAATACAATGAAAAAGTAGGTATTTGTGTTTCATTATATTGACTAATTATTGATGGATTTTATGATTAACTATTGAGGAAGAAAAAAGATAAAGAATAAGGTTGATGATTGAGAATATAAATAAAAATCTCTTTTACAAATAGTTTAATATCAATATTATTAATGACATTGATATGTAAATGATTTATTCAAAAATAAACATTTGCTAATAAAATCTATTTCTTATTCAATATCAAGCATTTATTTCAGATAGACTTTTATAATTTTTTTAAACATATTTTTTAATGACTCGCTAGTTTCTTTTCTTTCAGATATTTTCTTTGTCATGATAATAAAAAAAGCATCAATTTTTAATTTTACAATTTTGGGTGTGAGTGTGGTTGTTGTTCTTTTTCTAATCTACACTCACACCCACAATAGCCACTAAGCTTTGGTTTGAGATTTTAGTAATAGACATTAGACAGTGGAAAACCAGTTAGTTTTGATGTTAGTAAAATGAGATTCAGAACTTCTACTAATATAGTTTAATTCAGTAATCATCAACAATCATTGAATTGAAGATTACGATGAAATGACTCTCTTTCACACAGACAAGTGGTAGAGTTTTATCTGATGACATTGTTAAAGTTGTATCAGTGTTAATAATCATATTATCCTTTTGTTATATCGCCATTTTTATCATTATCTTCTTCCTCCGTTTTTGTTACTTCACTCTAATTCTGTTCTACTTCTCATTTCTTTTTTTCCTACTAAATAAAGATCATTATCAAGTGTAACAATCTTGCTATTACTCTAATGCACTTTAAACTTTTGTTTACTCCTAAGAGATAACAATTCACTAAAATGACGGAAATTGTTCATCAAGCTGATGAGAACTCCTATTCTATAGATACAATTAAAATGTTTGCTCTGACTATAGAATTCTCTTGAATATTTGTTTCAAACTATTTACTCAATTATCATCATTGAATTCAACTTCTATTTGTTATGTCTTTCATTTAATGATGCATACAAATATAGAACTATTTGAAATACATTTTGCTCTAATTATTAATTGCAGATCACAATAAATCAATAAATTTTAAAAAAAAACTTCATACTTAAAGTTAAAAATAACTATACTAGGGAGTCAGATTAAATATATGTAGTTTTATCAACGTATTATTCACATAAAAATGACAAAATAAAATGATGAACATTTGCAAAAGTTTGTTAGGTACCTATATTAGATAGATTTTATTCGCGTAAAAAATAAAAGAAAAAAAATGGCACGATAGTAGTAGAAAGAGTTGCAAGAAGTTAGAAGAAAAAAGTGGCTATAATCAAAATAGAGTTTTCTTGAGTATTTCTGTATTGTAATGTCTAGTGCTGATGTTACTTTAAAATCTTTCAAGAGAATAATTGCTAACAGAGAAAAATAATGCATAGTATATATCTCTTTTTTCTTTTTATTCATCTACGAGTTTTTTTTTATCGAATTAATTTGACATAGCATGATATATTCTCATGCTAATGAATAACTAAAAATAACAGAAAAACACTTTCACAATAATATTATTGAGCAAAATGTTCACGACAGTAATAATTATTTTTTTTTGTTTATTATACAACATTATCAATGACGACGCCTATCGTCGTATACAAGAATTCTTATTTTGATCCAATTGACACGAGCTATGTGCTGAGTAATCCTTCGTCAATTAGTTTAGTCAACACATGTCTCTTCAAATGCTATTATAGTATGATCTGTTTTACGGTTAGCTACTTTGGCATCAATCAAAGATGCATACTTGTTTTTGCTCAAATAACCCAAGGATAATTAAATGTGTCATCAACTAGGGCTAATGCAAATGTTTACAACTTTGGAAACAGAAGTATTGGGGGTGAGTGAGAAATACACTTATACAGGATGAGTAATAATATCTTTTCAGGGGATAATAATGCTGTGATTTCAAGTAGCATACATAACAAATTTTATATTAAATTAAAGCGCGTTGTAATGCGATTTGCCATTACTAAATAGTAAGGGTAATGACAACGTTTCAATGTCGAATTCAGGAAATTTTCAGAACTTAACACCTCATGGGCATAGAAAAATGTGTTTCATGACGCAGTTCAAACTAGATCTGATTCATATTGATGAATATTACAAAGTAATCGACAGTTGGCTTGGAAACATTGGAGCAAAAATAGAAACAAGTGTTGTCAGAGACGAAACACATGCGTTATTATGAAGAAATTGTGAAAAACACAGTTGAGATGTTTTGACAATTCTGGAAACAAAAACATTGATTTATCTGAAACTCTTTTATGTTCGTATCTATGTCGTCTTCATGCTGTAAAGAAAACGAATAGTCACCACATTGATTATTGCTGTCATTCATCAAATCTTGAAAAATAAATAGTGTTTTGTGATGTTCATCAATTTGAATCAGATCTAGTTTGAACTAACGCTCTCATGAATTCGACATTAAAAATTTGTCATAGCCCTTACTGTTTAATAATGAAAAATCTAATTTTCGACGTGCTTCAATTTGGTATAAAATTTGTTCTGGATGCTATTTGAATATATAGTGTTACCTCCTAGAAAAATATTCTTACACATTCCGTACAAAACAACTGACTTAAACAAAATTTTTCTCACTGCAACAAAGATCAGACAAATCTTTCAAACAAAAGAAACTCTTGTTCTCTTGTAACAGGGTGTATTTATAACGGTACATACGTTACTATATAAATTTTTATTTTACGTATGCCAGATATGTTAAAAGAAAATATTCCGATCGTAGTCTTGTCATTCCATAAATTGAATTCGATAATCGCTTTGGAATTTCAATGAATAAATGACTCTAGACTTGTTAAATTAGAACTGCTCTTAGAAAAATTTAATCGTTCTCGCCTTAGACTTTTAAGTTTTGTCTTTCGAGTATCGATGTACTAGTTGCTAGATGAATTGCTCATTTTCATCCTGAGGGCATGGGCCTGTGCGTGGGTTGGTGTAGGTATCCAGAATGATGCTCCCAGACACTTGCTCCCAGCGACAGTTGCTCCCGCGACAGTTGCTCCCCAATGACACTTGCTCCCCAATGAAACTTGCTCTCCAAAGACATCTGCTCCCCGAACACTTGCTCCGCAATAATACTTGCTCCCCAATGACGCTTGCTCTTAAATAGCAATATCAAATAGAATTTTTATTAAATACAAGTACAATGTATATATCTATTAGACTAAGACAGATTATAACAATAGAAAAAGAAAAATCTCATTCTTCATATAAATAATTGAAATATTGACATTTAATTAATTAGTTGTGGTGTAATAGTATAAGATCAGACAAGTAATTACAAGAAAGTATGAAAACAGGACATAGCATTGTCACTTTATTATATTTTAATATAACAGTAATTCTCTTGGTAATCTACAGTATTCTGATATCTTTTGTTCTGTATTAATTATTTACGGATACATCTATATCACAAATTTTTGAAATTTAAGTAAAATGCAATAAAAATAGCTATATGCTTACAATTCATGAATTACACAGTAATTTTTAAATACTGCACGAATTTCTAATTATCTCAGCCTGCTCATATTTTTACTAATTTTCAAGTCTTTACAAATTATTTTGAATTTTTCAATACAAGAGTCACAGCTCGAGACCAAGTGAAATTGGGGAGCAATTGTTCGGGGAGCAAATGTCTCTCGGGAGCAAGTGTTTGGGGAGCAAGTGTCATTGGGGAGCAACTGTCGCGGGAGCAAGTGTCCGAGGAGCAAGTGGGTGTGGGTGTGGGTATGGGTGTTCATGAGAAAATGATCTACACCCTACACTCACACCCCACATCCACACTCTATATATTAGAGTTATGAGTTGAACATTATCTTCATCTTGTGATAGGTATATCTCAGCTGCCTTGATATATTCATTTTTGAGAAACCTCTCATTCGAAAGCTCGCCATCCAAAATATCTCTAGGACGGGGCTTGGGTGTGGGGTGCGAGTGTAGGGTGTAGATCATTTTCTCATGAACGCCCATACCCACACCCCACACCCACACCACCCCAGTCTTGCAAATTTCCAGTACGAAATCTTTTGAGGAACAATGTAATGAACTTTTTTGGCTTGAATATTTGCACACTCACCCTGCGTGATCTTGAGATAGTGGGTGTACATGAAGGTCAAATCTAGAAATTTTTCAATTTGGGTTATTTTGAATCAGATTCAGAAGCCTTTAGAAAAGCATTGTTTTAGTGCTACGGATTATGTCCTGAATTTGGTTTTCTATTCGACTTTGAGAAACTTTTCCAAGAAGAACAAACTGCAATAGATGGTTGTGTAAACTAGTCTTTTGATGACGCTCACTAGGCTTCATTAGGTTATGACTAAAATTTCCGCACATCTCTTTAAGATATGTTTCCAAAAGCTTTATTAATGAAGAGGAAAGCTAGATAATATCCAATATCTTCCGTGGCAACCAGCAAGAAATAAGAAAGCTATACTAAAAACCAAACGGCCATAAAATGT